ATTTTAAAATATTTCATATTTTTAATATTTTTAACTATGAATATATATATATATATATATATATATATATATATATATATATATATATATATATATATATATATATATATTCTGAGGTTTTCGCGGGTATTTGTATGTAGGTCTTTGGTTGTTCGGGTTTTCTCCCGAGTAAAATTGGAAGTGTCTTGGCGACGTTTCGACGAAGTCCCATTCGTCATCTTCAGGCTGGTGTTTTCAGCTTCGTGCTTCGAGCAGCAATGTGTGGTCTTAGCTGTTTCTTCCTTTTAACTGCCAGTGGGGGTATGAACTGATTGGGTGGGAGCTTGGCTGTGTTCTGATTGGGTGGAGGTGTGTTCTGAATGGTTAGGGGCTTGGCTGTGCTCTGATTGGCTGGGGGAGTGTTCTGTTTGGTTGTGCTCAGGTTAGTCTGAGTTGCAGAGGGGTTTAAGATTTTGGGCTGCCTTGCTATTTTCTGGCTTCGCGTTCGTGGTCGTGCCTCCTCTTCATGGAGGGTGTCAGTTTGCTTCATGTATGGATTGGAGGGGTTTAAAGTGGCTAATGATGCAGCTGTGGTCTGGCTTCTGGTTTGTGGTCGTGCCTCGTCATCGGTGTGGCTTTGGGTTTGTTTTTTGCGTGGATGTGTGGTGGTGACCTCCTGTGTGGTTTTTGTGAGTGTGGGTCTGGTATCATTTTTTGTGTTAGGGAGTCGTTTGTCAATAAGGGCGGGTTTCCAAATGGCTGGTAGGCGGGAGGTATCATCTCGCTTGTTCATGCTGTGTGGGCGTTTTTCTATCTCGATGGCTTCTCTGATTATTCTGTTATTAAAATGTTCACTTTTGGCAATGGTTCTGGTATTTTTAAAGTCAATTTCATGTCCTGTGGCTTTAAGGTGTTGGACCAGGGAAGATGTTGGTTCCTCTTTTTTGACTGAGTTCTTATGTTCTTCAATGCGTGCACTTATTCTTCTGTTGGTTTGTCCGATGTATGTGGTGGGACAAGTGGTGCATGGGATTTCGTATACTCCTTGATTTTCTAATTCAATTTTATCTTTGGGGTTTCTAAGGATGGTGGATATTTTTCTGTTTGTGCAGAATGCTGTTTTGATGTTGTGTTTATGGAGGATCTTACTGATTCTGTCTGTGGTGCCTTTTATGTATGGGAGGAGGGCTTTGCCGTTTTCTTGTTCTTTGTCTTGGATTTTAGTGGGGGTTTCTTTTTGGATTAGGTTTGTAATCTTATTTCTATGGAATCCATTGGATGTTAGTACATTGGTGAGAGTGTGTAGTTCGGGTTTTAGGTGTTGTTCGTCAGCTAAGCGTTTTGTTCTGGAGATGAGTGTCTTGGCTACAGAGTTGATCTGTGCTGGGTGGTGGTGTGAGAGAGCGTGCAGATAGCGGTTTGTGTGTGTTTTCTTCTGGTAGATGGTGTGTCCTAGGGAGCCATTGGATTTCTTGTAGACTAAGACATCCAGGAAGGGAAGTTGGTTGTTAGCTTCTGTTTCCATGGTGAACTGTATTTTGGGGTGTAGGCTGTTGAGGTGTGTGAGGAAGTTGTCCAGTTTTTCTTTCCCATGTGGCCAGATTATGAAGGTGTCGTCTACGTATCTGAGCCAGAGTTTGGGTTTGTGATCCGATTTTTCTAGAGCTTGGGTTTCAAAGTGTTCCATGTAGAGGTTGCAATGACAGGTGAGAGGGGTGATCCCATGGGTGCTCCTTCTGTTTGTTTGTATTTTTGTCCATTATAGATGAAGTATGTGTTGGATAGGCAGTGGTTGGTCAGATCTAAGATGTGTTTGGGGGGGTTATATTTGTTTTGAATAGCTGTCAAGGCTTCTTTGATAGGCACTTGGGTGAAGAGGGATATGACATCGAAGCTCACTAGTAGGTCGCTGGGCTGTAAGTTTTGTTTCTTTATGATCTCTATAAACTGGAATGAGTTTTTTACGTGTGAGGTGATGGATTCTGCATAGGGCTGTAGTTGTTTGGCGAGAAATTTGGCTAGGTTTTGTAGAGGTGAGCCTATGGAGCTGACTATAGGTCTGAGTGGGGTTCCTTCTTTGTGTATCTTGGGGAGACCATAGAGTTTGGGGCATCTGGATGATTTCTCTCTGGGAATGATTCTTTGCTGGATCTCTTCGCTAATGGGGGAGGCTTTTATTTGGATCTGGTGGTTTTTTCCAGGTAGGTGGTGGGATCTGTATTTAGGGGTTTGTATGTGGAGTCTTGGAGTAGGTTGGTTAATTTGGTTTGGTAGTCAGATGTGTTCATAACCACCGTGGCGTTGCCCTTGTCTGCTGGTAGGATTATTATGCTGGTGTCTTCTTTCAGGTTACGTAGTGCTGTCTGTTCCTCTTTGGGTAAGTTGCTTTTGGGTGGCTTGCTGGTGCAGAGGATGTTGGTGATTTTGAGTCTGATTCTGTTAGCGTCGTCGGGGTTGATTTTGGTCAGGCTGGTTTCAACTCCACATATAATGGTTTCAGTGGGGATGTGTTTGGGAGCGACTGCAAAGTTGAATCCTTTGGAAAGGACATTGGTTTCGGCTTTGGTGAGGATCCTATCTGAGATGTTATGCACTGTTTGTTTCATGTGTGGCTGTGAGGGAGGAGGGGTTTGTTTCTGGCGTTCTTGTAGTCTTCGGAGTTTGTTGGTGTGTGTATCTGTCTTGAGGGTGGTCTGTGTTTCGGCTCTCCAGACGGCGAGTTGTTTGGATTTGTCCCAAAGTGCGGGGTGGATCTTGTTGCTGAGTTTGAGGTGGAGTGTGAGGAGATCTTTGTTAATTCGGTCTAGGAGGAATCTTTTTGTGTGAAGTTCATTTCTGATTAGGGCCAATTCTGTTCTTTTCAGGATCCGTTTGGTGGCTGCAGAGTTGGAGTGGAATTTCAGTTGGAAACATGTGGGGATTAGATTTTGATCTCGGCAGTTGCGTAGGAATGCGAGGTCGCATAAAATGGAAGCTCTTTGGACTTCAAGTTTTTCATAGGTCCTGGTCAGATGGTGGATTTCCTCCCCGTAGAGGTTCGATATTTGTTTTCTGAGGTTTTCGCGGGTATTTGTATGTAGGTCTTTGGTTGTTCGGGTTTTCTCCCGCGTAAAATTGGAAGTGTCTTGGCAACGTTTCGACGAAGTCCCATTCGTCATCTTCAGGCTGGTGTTTTCAGCTTCGTGCTTTGAGCAGCAATGTGTGGTCTTAGCTGTTTCTTCCTTTTAACTGCCAGTGGGGGTATGAACTGATTGGGTGGGAGCTTGGCTGTGCTCTGATTGGCTGGGGGAGTGTTCTGTTTGGTTGTGCTCAGGTTAGTCTGAGTTGCAGAGGGTTTAAGATTTTGGGCTGCCTTGCTATTTTTTGGCTTCTCGTTCGTGGTTGTGTCTCCTCTTCATGGAGGGTGTCAGTTTGCTTCATGTATGGATTGGAGGGGTTTAAAGTGGCTAATGATGCAGCTGTGGTCTGGCTTCTAGTTTGTGGTCGTGCCTCATCATCGGTGTGGCTTTGGGTTTGTTTTTTGCGTGGATGTGTGGTGGTGACATCCTGTGTGGTTTTTGTGAGTGTGGGTCTGGTATCATTTTTTGTGTTAGGGAGTCGTTTGTCAATGAGGGCGGGTTTCCAAATGGCTGGTAGGCGGGAGGTATCATCTCGCTTGTTCATGCTGTGTGGGCGTTTTTCTATCTCGATGGCTTCTCTGATTATTCTGTTATTAAAATGTTCACTTTTGGCAATGGTTCTGGTATTTTTAAAGTCAATTTTATGTCCTGTGGCTTTAAGGTGTTGGACCAGGGAATATATATATATATATATATATATATATATATATAAACAAGAATTCCAGGTATAAACAAGAATTCCAGGTATAACTCAGTTTGGATAACAATGAAAAGTGGGGGAGATAGTGAGCGAGAACTATTGGATGGCCACCCCCGAGAAGCACACACATACATTGGGGAGTTAACAGCACTGGCGAGCAGGGGAAAGACCCTGACACGCTGTGTAGATGTTTTTGATGAGAGGGGAGGAAGTGCTCCGGAAATACAAATCCCGCACGACTGGAAGAAAATGAGAAAAGGTTATAAGCTCCATTCAATAAATGCAAACCAATGTTAAGACTTTTATGCTTTTTTGTTATATTGAGACCCATGTATGTATGTATGTATGTATGTATGTATGTATGTATATAGGGTGGGGAAGATAACCTAACCAATTTGCTACAACCCTTCCTCCCCATTGTGGAAGGAGGATAGTGACATCCAACACATATCAAACTCCAACATGAATCTGTCCAGGAAACCTCTGAAAGAAAGACTTCCAGTCCAGAATGAAGATAAGTAGAAGGCTGAAACAAACTAAATTTGGAACAACAATTTGCCTCCTCCTGCATCACTACTGAGAAGCACAGCATGAGTTCTCACATATATTTTCTATTAGAACTTGAGTGATTGTGATGCTATCGATTTCAAATCAAGTAGAGAGATGGTGATACAATAACAGGTGTGCACGTTTCATTTAACAAGGTGCATTAATAGCATATTCAAAGTGCTTTGTGTTTTCTCCAAGACTTGAAAAGCAGTACAAAAGATGATTGATTTCTTTGCAACTTGCTGCAGTAAGGCATACTTTCCTAACATTTATTGTGTGAAGCTGAGAACTTGGGAACTAATTTTTTGTAAAAAAGCATTTCTCTAAATTGAGATAATTAGGGAAGCTTTTAAAACTCTCCAATAAACATGACTACTTTGAAATAAAAATGCATTATTTATGAAGAGCTCAGTGGGATTACTAAAATCACTTAGTTGGAAGAAAATGTTCCCTAAATCAGAGCAGATAGTGCAGAAGTGCAGCAGAAGCTAGACAGGGGCACCAATTCTATCTTCTCGCCTCCAACCTGTGTTTCTATTAGCACATAAACTAAGGGGGGGGGAGTTATCTTACATTTTGCTTCAGGTTCCAAAATAGCTACAGCCAGCATTGTTTCCTAGCATAAATGCAGAAGAAGAAAATAGAGAGCAGGTGTTGAAAGCCAGGGTCGGGAAAGAAACTATCTCAAGTACCAAAAGGTAATGTTTCTGTTGGGCAAAGTCCAACTTGAGATACTCTCTACCTAAGAAGGCAACAGCATACACACCAACCGCAGGACATTGTCTATTTTCCATCTACTCAATCCTTTTCACTTAAAATGGGGGCGGGGGACACGATGCGTTTGAAAGCCATCCCCACAATCTCTCCAAAGTAAATCCTGGCCAGAACTATACTCCCTTCTTCAGGGCTCATTCATTCCCCCCCCCCCAAATACCATTTTGCTAGGGAGGCCCTATTCAGGTACCCCCTTCTAAAACAAGCGTAGGGCTGTAACCCTGCTCAGAGGCCGGTAGCCCAGGACTCTTGCTGATTGATATGAGCATCTGCCCCCAAGCTGGTCTTTTACCTTCCTGCTATCTTATAATACTCTCATTTTCCTTTTTTTTTTTTTTTTTAAATAAATGCCCCCTCCCGTTCTCGAGAGATACCCACAACATCTACAACTCGCCTTTCTTTCATGGGGAGATTATAGCCTTGCCACCGAGGCCAGCCTGTCCCCGGCTGACCCCACGCGGGGCGGTTTCCAAGCAATTTGTTTGCCCTCCCCGGGTGACCGGTTTGTGGTTCCTGTTGTTATGGGAATAATCGCAACGCAGCGGGGACTAACGCCTTCCTATAGCCTTTGCAGACTTCCTGAGAAAAATACCGAGCGTCTCTCGCCTTCGCCGGCGCGGCCTGAGAGAGAACTTTCCCGCGTCGGGAGCCGCCGAAGGTAAAAGCGTCCTCTCTCTCTTCTCCCCTCCTCTTTTTGTTGGAAGCGGTCGGTTCGTTCAGCAAAGGAGGTCGAGGAAGGAGAAAGAGATCCGACTCGTGAAAGTAACGCTCCTTTTACTCCCGTCTCCGTTGTAGTCACTGCGGTGGTAGGATTGTTGAGAAAGAACCCCACCCCCCACTCAACTCTGTCCTAGAGTAACTTCTCATTTTGTCTGGCGCCAACTAACTGTGCTGGTCTTTGCTTCCCTGTAAATCCCAGAATTATCGTTCAATGTTTTTATAGAAAAAAACAATCTGAAATAGCTCTCAAATAGCTGCATGAGTCTTGCAAAAGCATTGTGGAGGCTTCATGAGTTCCTATACTGTCCTGTAGTAGTTGCCAAGTGCAGTACCTCCTTGGAAAGCTTTCCATAAACCTCCTTAGACATCTTCATCTATGGAATATTGGCTCTAAGGAGCTTGTAACATCTGACCTGATCATAGTGCATTTAAAAATACCAAGAGAAATCAAGTAACAAAAATGCCCAAAGGGCTTTGGTATGATTATACAAACATCTTAAGGATATATTTGTCATTGGAGCAGAGACTTTATTACTCTCAAGGCTGATTTTCTATTAACATAGCTGGTTGACTGTATCACTTGCATCTGGACTTTCCGTGTAAAACATAGAGGTCGAATATATTTTATTCCAATAAATTTTGGAATAAAATATGTTGACTTCTGTTTTTGTTACAGATTCTCTAATAGCAGGGAAATGATTCCAGGTACCACAATCTTATTTTAAACTATTGAAGTGTAATCCTAATAACTAATTCAACTATCTTTACATAGCCCAAATACCCATGTATCCAAGAGTGTAAAATTAGGTTGTAGGCACCATATATAATATTTAACAGGTAAAATGAAAAATTTTACCTGCTGTTAGCAGATGGCATATTAAACTGTGGCTAATGTAAAACAGATCGAGCCAATCAGTCATATTCTTATGATGCACAATAGATGCAGAGAGATTATTTACCTATATCCATTGGTTATTTTTAATTAAATTATGTGTTTTCAGCAATTTGTAGCTTTTGGAGTTCATACATAATCAATGTTAGTGCAATGTGTTATTTTGCTGTTTTTGCACATTAGAGAACAATATGTTTCCAAATCCAATTTCTTCCTTGATTCCCCTCAAATCAGCTACACTAAAACAGTTTTACCTTTCTCAATGATTGCTGGTGCTTAAATGGGATAATGATTGTCAGGCAGAATAGCATAATACTTATGAAATTATTATACTGTATCGCTGGTCCCAGCTCATAATGCTAATTGGCATGTTGAAGAGCAAGATGTCCATCTTTTTGGAGACAGTGACATCATCTGGGCCACCTTTTATACCTCATTTCATCACATTAAATCATAAAACATTAAGATCTGGTCCCAGAATTATTTTCTCTTTCCCATTCCTTTCTGCTCTTTTATTTTTTATTGTGTCTTCGTAAAACCTAAACCTAAGGACAGGGATAGTGTTGCTTTTATTATTCTGCAATCTCGTCTTGAAGTCTTTCAGACTGAAGACCAGACACTGCAAAAGCTTTAAAGAAGCAGTGTAATTAGTTGACTACTGTTGAAATGTCTGATTGATTAATATTCAAACTGAAACATTTTCATGAGAGGATGGCTTGAAATGTCACACATGATAGTAAGTGTGAAGCTAGACATTGTGGCTTGTACTCTGTGCTTCATAGGGCTTAGAATTACACGTGAATTAGTTGTAATGGCTTGTTCAACAAACAGTAATTAAACTAAACCAGATAGTCACAATCTGAATCTGAAAAACAACTTATGGAACCCCTAGCAGTGTATCATTGCAATAAAACATAATAAACAAGGCTTTCTGATTCCTCTGAACCGGCATCAGAAGAAAATTTTCTGTAACTATTTCTTTTATCACTTTCATCTGTACTTGAAGTGCATTTGCTACTTTTATGGGATATTTGACTCAGCAGCCTATTACTATGAAGCAAGGTGACTTCAATAATCTGTGCTTACTTTCAACCGCAGAATTTATTAGCACAATGTGGCAACATTATGATTAAAATGCTTCCTATCAGGTACTAATAATTGTGATTTTTCTAATCATTACTAAGAAAAAAAACCCAAATGAGCAGGGCTTCTACAATGTATTCTATTTGTGTGTCCTATAAAATATGCTAAGGCAACACCACAAAAACCACACGAGGGGTTTGTGTGAAGTGGAAACCAAGCCTTAATACTGGTAGTCCTCTACTTATAACCATTCATTTAATGACCATTCAAAGTTACAGTAGCACTGAAAAAAATGACTTATGACTGCTTTTCACACTTACAACCGTTGCAGCGTCTCTGTGGTCATCTGATCAAAATTCAGATGCTTTATGGCGGTTGCAGTGTCCCCTTTTGTGATCTTCTGACAAGCAAAGTCAATGGGGAAGCCAGATTCACTTAACAACCCCATTACTAACTTAACAACTGCAGTGATTCACTTAACCACTGTGGCAAGAAAGGTCCTAAAACTAGGCAAAATTCACTTAGCAAATGTCTCACTTAGCAACAGAAATATTGGGCTCAGTTGTGGTCATTAGTCGAGGACTACCTGTAAAAAAATGACTTGTTGTATTTGAAATTTGTGTTTCCAGTTGAAGGTGTTGTTAAAAAGGGCAATATGGTGTTTTTCATGAAACTTTTCCAGCTTTCCCATTTAATAACTACCTTCTTGAGCTACCTTTTTCTTGCATGGCTATTTTTGATCTATTTTTTTTAAAAGAACTTTTCGCATGGCAATCTGGAGGAAACAGAAGATCACAATTTATACTTCAGCTGTTGTTTCTTTTTTGCACAGCTTCTGCAAATGTATCTGCTTCCAAGAAAAGCCTTTTGGGATATGAGACTTTATCACTAGTGGTGGGCAATAAAGGAACAGAAGCTTAATAGTTCTTTTATTTCAGATCAGGGCTTTGCACAGTTCTCATCTTACCAGCTAGAAAGTATGATGAAGGGTTATATCACGAATTTTCCATTTTTTTTCAGGCTACACCAACCTTTTAATTAAAAATAACAAAACCTTGGGATTCTTTATTTAGAGGCAAAACTCTAATAACAATAAATTCACATGTATGTACACATACATGGAAAGGACACACATACATACATTTGAAGACCTCAGGTTTTCTCAAAACATGGTGTGGAAACCCTGGCTTAGATGAATATAGTATCCAGTACACACATACACAAAGCTGTTCATAAAAATGCTGACTATTATTTCTGGTCTCCAGGCACAGAGGAGGCTCCAGGCTAAAACAACTACAAAATTAAGCTGCTGTAGCTGCACCATTTCCCCTCTTTTCATTATCTTGCTTGCAGTTGTATTAGTATCTAAGCAGAGAGATAAAAATTAGAGACATTAAACCAATCTGTTCATGGTGACTTTGACCTTGATCAGACCATCTTTGCTTTTATTCTTGCACACACACAGAGAGAGAAGGTTGTCCCGGAAATGACAACCTCATAGATGGTTAGTGGCTAGAACAGTGATGGCGAACCTTTTAGAGACCGAGTGCCCAAACCGTAACCCAAAACCCACTTATTTATCGCAAAGTGCCAGGGCCGCATCAGCATTGTGCCTTCGGAGGGGGGCAGCGGGGGGGGGCATGGCCCACTGGGTGGGTGTGGCTGCAGTGGTCATGGCAGACTGGGTTGTCATGGCCAGGATGGGTGTGGCCACCTCCAGATTGCCCTTGGGGGGATGCCTGTGGGGCTGGACAAGATTGGGGGAGATCCAGGGGATCTCTGGTGGGTGGGGCGGTGGGTAGCAGGCTCAACCTGTGGGGTAAAGCAGGGGATAGGGCAGGGGTGCATTGCTGCAGGGCAAGGCAAGACGAGGCAGGGGCGGCTGCTGCCTGACACCATTGGCCCCCGCACACAGAGGCCAGTGAGCGCATGGGGGCATGCTCTACCACCTCTACTTGAGCTTGCTAGCCAGCTGCTTCACCTCCTTTGTGCTGGGTGGGGCTGTTGCTCTGGGTGCCAGCAGTGGCCTAATGGATCTGCGTGAGATGCTGGCGGCGGGTGTACCCACAGAGAGGGCTCTGAGTGCCGCTTCTGGCATAGGTTCGCCATCACTGGGCTAGAATATAAGCAAGGATATCTTCTTTTAGGGTATGTTGAACTATTTTCAGTTTCTTCAGCTCTAACACCTGGTACATAACTATGAAGTTATGTTATGCTAACACACAATTACTATATAGGACAGGGATGTTAAATTGCTGGCCCGTTGGCCGGACACGTCACCAGGAAACCGCACCCACCCCATTGCCGGCAATGGGGAAAAAGCTCTGATACATTGTGCGCCATCACATGACGTCACGAGTTCGACATGTCTGATTTAAGAGAATAATCTTTACTGAAGTAATCTGAATTCCTTGAATTCTCACTTACAGAAAACAAAAGATGCCACTTTGTTCTATGTAGTTATGTGATAAATTTATTCAGTATTCCCAGATAGCTTTTAATAAATATGATTTTTTTTTAAAAAAAATGATGGGATAGATAGAATGCATAGATAGCAAAGAGCAAAGTTCAGATTCTTTTTCTTTCCCTATCATAGCAATATAGACTTTCTCAGGACATGGAACTGCAACCAGAATAAACATTTTTAAAGATCTAAATCATCCTATCCATTTGTTTAACTGTACAATTTAATTGAGGGGGGAGTGAAACCATGGCAGTTGCTATTGATTTTCTATGCTATAGTGGTAGCACAATAGCTTCCTGGCTGTGATTAACTCCTGTTCTATTTTTAAGTTACAATAAATCCATTAATTGCATTTGGTTTAATCAATTCAACTCAGTTGACCAATAAATGTTTAGAACTTTTTAAAAAGCAATATATTCAAGAAGCAGTCATGCTTGAGTCACAAATGAGGTTTGATTTAGAATAAATGGACATCTTTTCAGAAATGGAACAGATAATTGAAGGGAAGCTGTTGTTTGCAGCAGCAGTACTTTCATCGTTACTTTCCGGAAAGGTCAAGAAACAGGAATAATCTTAGCATGTGAAATCTAGATGTACTAGATGCTTTCATAAAACTAATTCTGCTGGCAGATTAATGCCTTAAGGCTAAGCAATATCTGAAAAGCAAAGAAGAGTTTGTTTTAATTAGAGCTGAAACAAGGTTCCTTTGGAGAGATTCATAGACAATGCAGAGTTGAAGTGTATTCCCTTTAACTTAAATTTCAAGGAACTGGTGATCAAATTTGAGGATGAAGGACAAAACTCATCTATCTTTCCCATTATTTTGCTGTCTTATATTTTGCTGAGTTCTGCCTGAGGAAGCCTCTAGTACTGTGGTGGCGAACCTATGGCACGTATGCCACAGGTGGCACGCAGAGCCCTCTCTGTGGGCACGTGCACTGTCAACCCAGTCCTAGGCCTTCAGCTGGGTTTTATAAAGCCTTTTAACTTTAGGCCTCTGCCACCGTGTGCAAAAAAAAAAAAGGCTCAATCAATCAATAAATTTCAACTCGCAGGAAAAAAATCTCGCAAAGTTGGAATTGATTGATTGAACTTTTTAGTTCCATCCGGTCTGCTGTTACCACCGCAGCCTTGCCCACCCAATGGGCCACACCCACCCAATGGGCCACGCCCACCTGGCACCTGAAGATACATAAGTGGGTTTTGGGTTGCAGTTTGGGCACTCAGTCTCTAAAAGGTCCGCCATCACTGCTCTAGTGGTCCTTTTTGTGATACCTTCAACTACAGCATCCTTCTGGACTATCTGCATAGGTTCAGACTGGAGGCACTGATTTGCGGTGGTTAAGCTACCAGTCCTACGTTTTGAGATGTCGGGGGCTCGTTTTTTTCTTTTAAATTTTTACATGAAAATGCACAGAAAGATCATTTATCGGTTAAGAGTGTGGCATCTGCAACATGTTGATGATATTTCAGTGTATATTGCTAAATTAAGCCTGCCAAAGTCTTGTTCTTATACCTGAAATAAGCATAATAATTGTGAATCTTCACAATTATTGCTGCATGCATGGGTGAAAGTCATAGCCAAGAGGCCCCTCTCTGGGGAAGGATCTTGCTCCAGTGACTCACACCGTTATCACTGCTGGGTATAATACTGTGTTACATAGTGCTGCCCTTGAAATTTACTGAGAAACTGCAGTAGGTTCAAAATCCAGTGACCTACCTCTCCAGTGACTTCTTTTTTAGTGTTCAATGCCCTGACCGTATTACACATCTATTGTCTTCCTTGCATTGCTTATTAGTAAGCTTCCTAGTACAATTCAGAGGGCTGTTTTAGCCTATGTAAGGCCCTTTCTGGCTTGGCACCTAGGTACTTCAGGACAACCAGAATCTTAAAGAATGAAGCAAGCACAACATTAAGACAAGCATCCACTCTAAAAATGTATTGCCTTGAACTTTTATTTTTAAGTTTTTAAACGTGCTGTTTGCTGTGTGCTTAGGTTATCTGTTCTTGCATTATTTTTTAATTTAAAAACAGTCCAATAATAACTCTTGTTTTCAGTGTTGAAAATTTGAAAATGTAATGCAGAAACAGAAATCAACATTCAGGCTGTAGAGTAAGAATATTCAGCTTGGGAAAAGTGGCTAGTTGAAACGCTGACCAGTAATCCTTCACTAATACGGAAGATAAGTAGCAGCATTCCAGTGGGAGATAAGATTGTACTTCAGAAGAGCAACTTTAAGTGAGAGTAACATGAAAACCACTTGGGTTAGGGTAAATGTTACCCTACTTTTTTCCCTGACCATATTTACTTCAGAGATTTTCTTTTTTTTAATGAATATTGCCTGAAAGATTATGTCCCCATCATAATCTATCTTCATAGGCTTCATAAGAGAGGCTTTTGTGATCATGAAAATAAAATCCTGAAATCTGATTGTCTGCATTGTCTTTAATGAGACCCACAGCACAGCAAAGTATTTGAGAGATGCCTTGGCTATGAGAGAAGCAATAATTTCGCCTGGTTCTGTCTCAATGGGGAAGCTAACCAATGATGAATAGACTACCTGCTGTCTATCAGCCTACTTATGCTTGGATGTTACAGGAGGGAATGACAAGTGTCTATACTTTACTACTGTATATAAAAAAGTTATAAAATGTAGTTCACTATTTAGAGACAAGGGAAAGAAATTGAGACCCAAAATACCATTAGAAGTGACATGCCCAACCCCATTTTATTGCAAGGACAAAGAAACACAGGATAATGATTAAAACATTTACCTCTTATTCAGAACATCAAGGTTCTGTTTCCTGACTTATTTACATAAAGGATTTATGGGAAACAGATATGGGAAAGACAAAACAGATCAGGAGGACAAGCAAACTGTGCCTTCTATATGTTTTGGGCTGCAGATCCTATGACTTCTTGGCAGTGACAGTCCTGGCTAGGGATTATAGCAATTGAAGTTCAAAATAATTAAACCTTAGATTGCATACTTTAAGTGAAACAACACCGGATTGGGTAGACAGTTAGCAGCAGCATCACTTTTAATAGAGTCATTCAACCAAAGCATAGAAATTACAAGCTGTTGGGTTCATGTGTTTGTATGCCTGTAATGTGTTATATGTCTATATGTAACACATGTAACATATGAGTCCACTATCCAGTTGTCGGTTGTCAGCGAGAAATATAAAAAACTCCTTAAAACCTAAATTCTTTCTGTCCTTCTAAATTAATCTTTGCCAACTACTGGAGCAATCTTCCATTGAAATTAAACAATTTATATAATAGACAAATGTATTTCCAAGGAATTGGCTAAATGTTGTCTTACACAATTGGCTACCAGGCAAAATTTAGTCATTGCATAAGATACTCTGCCAGTCATTCAGAAAGTACATAACAATTTAACTTATTCCCAAGAATAGTTACAAACAGTTCCTTTTCTTCTGTCTGTTTGTCTATCTCTTTATTTTCCTTCCTCCCTTCCTTCCCTCCCTCCCTCCCTCCCTCCCTTCCTTCTGACTTTTTTCCTTCCTCTCAGTGTTGGTGATTGACTGGACAGGTGCCTGCAGGTTTTTTTGGAAGATTTCAGAAATGATTTGCTATTGCCTCTTTCCTAGGGTTGAGAGAGAGTGACTGGCTAAAGATAACCTGGCTGGTTTTGTGCCTAATACGGTACTGGAACTCACAATCACTAGGTTTTTAGTCTGATGCCTTAATTATTGCACCAAACTATCTCTCTATAATTAATTCATATTGCCCTATAAAGGGAGCAATATACTTTCTAATGAGTTCTACATTTTTTCAAAAACTAAAGAAAAACAGAGCATGACACAAGCCACAATGGCATATCTAGTCATATCAATTATCATAATTTGTGTTTATGGAGAGCCCAATGCTGATCAAAAAGACCTTTCTCCCTTACTAATGACTTCTTAACTATAATATTTGTTTTGGTCAGAAGTCAGCTATCCATATCCCATGTGAAATTGCACATTTACTTAAATTGAAATCAGAGAGGCTAAAATATTTTTATTTATGGTGGAATCTGACAGTTGCGGCCCAAGATCTGTCTCATGGTTCTTTTTATTTTATTTTTTTAATTACTTGCTTTGTATTAATATTTAGAACAGAGGTATCCAACCTTAGCAACTTTAAGACTTGTAGACTTCAATTTCAGAATTCCCAAGCCGGCATGTTTGCCTGAGGAATTCCGGGAATTGAAGTCCACAAGTCTTAAAGTTGCCAAGGTTGGATACTCCAGTTTAGAACAAGGCAATACTTTATATGGATGGTTATGTTAATTTGGTATCATAGTTATTCATCATCACTCTCACATCTAAGTACCAAATATACTGCGTATTCTATCATTTTCTATTAGTGCTGCTGTCTTTTTTCACTTGAAGTGTTGCATTATTTATGGCTATTAGGCTCCAGTTCCAAGATAACATTTTCCCATTTCAATGCAAGAAAGATGGATCCCCAGTCCCAGACTGAATTGCTTCATTTAAACAAATCTAAAAAAGGGGGACGGTTTGTTTACCAAGTCTATGTATACTAAGAAGCAAAGTACTGTAAGCAGGTTGCTATCCATCACTTTTTCTTTGAACAGGTAGACGAACTTCCAAAGAAAGCACTGAATAAATCACCAATAGTGCTTATTTTCTAAGAAAGCCTCTGGAGGATAAGTCAGGGGTAGAAATATTCTTGTACATAAATATAGGATAATGGTTTGCAGCATGCAAGGTTCTGGGGGTTTTTTTGTTTTGTTTTTGTTGTTATTCAAAGAATCTAATTGAGGTGTGGCAGAGAGGTGTTCATGAAATTAAATCAATAATCTAGTGAAACAGTTCTCATGTCCCTAATTTGGAGCAATGGCTAAAGGAGACTAGGACTAAGAAGCTCTGATTTCTAATTTGTCTTCAGTCATGGAAAATACTGGGTGATTTACAGCAGTCACTCTTTCTTAATTCATTCTAATTTATAGGATGTGGGTGAAGGGAAAAGCATGGATGGGGAAGTTATTCCTAAAGAAAAGGCAGGATATAAATCTAATAAAAAAATCAGTCCTTTGAGGTAGCCCAAACAAGAAGTATCATGAGCATTATTAATGCTACCTGTATTGTAAGGTTACAGTAACATAATCTTTCAAGTTGAAAGTACCTATTTTCCCCTACACACACACACACACTTTTACTCTCCTGAAAACTAGGAGGGGTCCCTTCTGAAATGTTTTTTTTCATCCTCCTTCAGACTCAGATTGTGTTTATCAGACTGTTAACTAGGCTGCAACTTTCCCCCCTGTCTTGTATCATTCTCATAAACTATTGCAGTCATCAACAGTAAATACATGTTTTATTGACTAATAATATTGGCTGGTTGATTCTGATTGTCAACAAAGTTTACATCAAAGAAAATCAGAATTAGCATTTCAATATTTCCTTTGCTTTTTTTCCCCCCAACAAGTGTCCTGACTAGCTATGAGGATTCCCAACCATTCCTTGATGGGCCCTTTCAGAGGACATATGAGTATTAAAAGCAGTCGTAAGTATTTAACATTTTCAGCAAGAGAAAAGTTATATATTCCAGTCTAATATGCTTAATAATGTAAACTATCTTCAGAAATGACAAAAATATTATTTACTTCATATAGGTATGCTGTCTTCAAAATGAAAGGAGCTAAAAATTCAAATATGTAAATACGGTACCATTTGATTAACATACTGTATTGGGGTGCTTAAGGTGATTCAGAATAGTTTATTACAGTCTTTCTCAACTTTGTCAGCTTGAAGAAGCACGGACTTCAATTCCCAGAATTCTCTAGCCAGCAGAGCTCTCTGGGGAATTCTGGGAGTTGAAGCCCGTGTCTCTTCAAGCTGTCCAGGTTGAGAAACACTGATTTATTACAAGAAGATTACTTGAATGCCAATGGTTTTTATTCAGTGATTTTTAATACAATCTCAAATCATTTCTTTAGAAATGTAGGATATGGTTTGTAACTATTTCAGTTTTAGTTTAGTTTTTCAGGATCATTATTTCACCCAGGTAAGCCAGGTAAGTAATTATAGTAAACAGGCAATAGAGTTTGGGGAAATTTGAAAACTAAGTTTGGATTAAAATATCTGCAAGGCACTTGGAAATAACAAGTGTAGACCAATTGCGTCATTGCACAAAAGCATAATCAATGATGTCATCCCTCAGAATAATGCATAAAGTATATAATGGAAAGTATTTGGTTTTGCAGCTTTGATTTGGTTTCACAGCTTTGAAGTGATATCTTGCTTTTGGCAAAGTAATTATCATTTCAATGTTTATAGAATCAAAATATTCCTGAACATATAGCTGGAGAAAGTTTTAAAGGGATGAAATACTTCTACTCTACCCCCCCCCCCTTAACTTACATCAAGGGCATGGCATTTTTAGCAAATAACCTTTATCAGATCTACATATATCATCCTGTAGGATAAATGTTCCAAGGATAGTTCATTAAAAAATGTAAGATAATCATTAAATCAAAGCCATAATGAAAACAGTCAACTAAATCACAATTGAGTCACTAAAAGAAGAATATCTTAAAATCAGTATGCCACCACTACAATGATCTTATCCACACCTCAGGTGAAGCTGGTAGTAAACTGATGTGAGCTGAAGGCAGGCCAACAAATACCTGGATGCTAGAGTTTATTGCCCATTAAAAATCCAGAAACAAAATGAAGTGGTATGATTTGTCTACATAGCCTTAGTGTTGGGAACCAATCTAGAATTTGTATTGTATGCTAGCTGAAATGTCTTTAGTAGTAGTCCCACATACAATGTGTTGAAATATGTAAGTCTCAGTTACCAGGGCATGGGTATGTAAAGCTGCAGGTCATGAGTGATAGTAACTTTATGCATTTGCTTAAGGAGGATGACATTCAGGATGACTCATTCTCTTTTTCTAAGAACTTGTGAAAGCCCAGGTTTGAATCTTTCCCCAAATGCTTTTATTTCTGCTTGTTTTCTACTACCATAGTTCAGGAAGACATTGTTATTCAGTCTAAGTCCTTGCAAAGAGATGCCAATAACTCAAATTAGTTAACTTAATTAAGTCATCTCTATCCTGGAGATTATTGGGATTATAGCTCACAGAATTCTCGGTCTTCCTCATTTTTATGCTGATAACTGATTCAGATATTATATTCTATATGTTGTAAACTGAGATAACCACTGCTGGATTTCTGACTCCCTTCTTCTTCACTGGACAACTTTTAATGCAGTGGTCGTAATCTTGATATCAAAAACATAATCTCACCCAGGATCTTCATTTTGCATTCCACAGCATCATTTTTATGCCCATTTAGTGATTAATTTAAATACCACTGCTGGTGTTTTGCACAGGTGGTTATTTTATGAAATCCCCATTAAATCTAGGCTAAGGCGTACGATCAACCTTAAACTGGCTGATACTTTTGTGTGGATACCACCCCCTTATCCACAAACTTTAACTGAGCACTGGAGAGAACAGCAGTTTAATTGTGGTTCCAACTATGATAGCAAACAAAATAGCCTACCCAGTACATTTCAGTTCATACATTTTGGCTCATCAGCCAAATGGTAGAGGCATGTTTTATTGCCATTTCTGTTGCATCAATCAGGCATGATTATTGCTGCTTTCAGATTTACAACAAGAAATTTATAACTTCAGATATGATTTATTCAAAATGTAATATGCCAAAGTAATCTATTTCAGTTTAATCTGCAGATACATAGTAAATTAGTAATAACAAAGCTGCAGTTGTAATGGCCTAGTGGATTTGGAATAAGGAAAATATTCTTGCTGAGAAAACTATTGATACTTTTTTCCTGCTAATTTATCATTGTCTGTTCTCTCTAAAGTTGATTTTATAGATGTAGTTGATTTTAAAAAGAAACCCAACACATTTCAGTAATAAATAATTCTTAATACAGATAAGGCACAGAAGAATCTCAAGGCTTCATAGAGCATTACATGCATTTAAATCACCAAATGTAATTCTCAGTTTCAAGGATTTCAGGAGCATGAGTATAGACAGACTTATTTCTGGAAACCTGGAAACTAGTGCAGCATAGAGAACATTGACTGATAATCATGAATTAGATTATCATCTATTTTCTTTGCTTTTAATATTCTGATAGTTTTCAGAGTAGTTGATATCCTAACTTTGAACAACAATCTATAAATGTAAAAGCCTGCTGCTAACATCTGTTATTTATACATGAACACTTTATACTCTCCCAGTCACATGACTTTGCTGATTAACATAAAATCATTATATAAACCACCTCCCAATAACACATTTTGATTGGCATTTCAAGTAGCTAGAGACTGACTGAAACTCATGGTGGAGGTGTATGGCCAAAATAAATAAGTTGCCATCTTTGGCAGAGATGATTTAAAATAGAGCACTAATCAAAACTGATGCAATATATATTCTGAATGGGTGGTCTCAGTTAGAATTTTGACAGATGTATTTTGTGCCAACTGCAATTTCTGTATGTTCTCCAAAGATAGTATACTTGAAATCATTTTTATCTGGTACCAATTTACAGCAGGTAAAAAAGTACCCTTTAACATAGTCAATACATTGAAATTTAGGCGCAAAGTCAGATCCATTACTAAATGATGTACTGGAGTAGTAATCTCATGCAAGGCAAACTGAACTCATTTACATGTTGATGAGTGTACCTAGAGAGCTTGGGGTAGGATAATTTTATCTACCATTTCTAATTCATTATTATCCTAAGACATCAATACAGCACTTCAAAAATCTTGGTGTGCAATGAAAAAGAGTAAAAGTTTGTTATCATTACGTATGAGGTGGCACTATACTCCAAATATACAACTAGTTTCCAACAATGTTCTGAATATATATTAAAGACAATAGAACTCTCTGGAAAACGTGAGTCAGCAATAGGAAATTCATGGACTACATACGGCTCTCAGGCTCTCTTTGGGTAGCCTGGTAAAGATCACAGCTTCTTGACCTTTGCCCATTATTCATTAGTTGAGCACTGGAAAAACCTGCTGTGTGCTCAGCTGTGTTCTTAATCAAAATCAGTAATAGGAATGGGGAAAATTTATGAACTGGGGATATTGCATATTGAAGAAATGCAAGCATTACCATGCAATAATGACTGCATCAAGAGAAATAAAATCTAAAAATAAATCCATCTGGAAAATTTAGACAAAGCTGCTTAGGTAGCTTATATACATGTCTGGAGTCAGGGATAAACCTTGGATTTCTGCCCTTGTGTAAAGCATTTAATTACAGCTTATAAAACTATTATTCTAATAATTGATTTCATGAGGATCAAAGAGTTCCAGGATTTCAGATATGACATCTATTTCTGGTGTCCTGCATTGACTAATTGTATATTTTACCTAGCAAGAACGTTTGCACACCTAAAATCCTGGTATCACTAGGTGAATACAAGCTCAGAATCTGCCTTCATAATATGATTAATATTTTGCCTTTAAGTTGCAAAACAGGCCAGCTTGACTGCCTATCATTTATTAAACTTTATTAAGATTGCTTTGTCCTTCTCTATTGCTGTTAATAAAATACTAGCGATTAACATGATAATTAAAATTGCCTGTCATAGGATACAGTGGATTTACCAATCAATCATTTCTCTAGCTTTCAACTGCAAATTCTTGCTTCAGCTGATATAAACAATGCAAATCAGGAAAGGGGAAGAGCAGCTTCAGATTTCTAACCTAATTTTTGTTTGAAATCAATGTTATCTACCTGCAGAAAACCAGCCACAAAACTTCTGTGTCACAGTTGGAAAAGAAACCTCAGTGGAAAATTGCTCTGTTCTTAGAAAAGCTGAGAAGTAAACAGAGAGATATTTTGCCAGATGTATTTTATAGACCATAAAAGGGGGGGGAGAGAACCAATTTCATTGTTATTCTTGATAACATTTAGGCTCTCCCCATTTAAAACAGTTAGAATCACTTTTCTAGATTCTTAGCATATTGTATAAGCATTGAGTAGATTTGGGAGAGCAAAATCTTACTTGCTTCAGAGCTTTCTAGGGAAGATTACAAATAAAATTTTCTATGTATATTTTATTCAAAATAAATCTATTATTAATATTGAAAATGCCTCTTATGTTCGATTTCCCACGTAGGAGTTATTTTCTGAATATACCTATACATTTCAAGTGTGCTTCTAACCTAAAAAGATTGCTGCAGTTGCTAAAAAAAAAAAAAAATCCAATACAATTTACATTTTATCTGGGAAAAATGCCTTCCTAAGTATGGTTGATTTCATCACTGGAAAAGTCCAAAATAAAATGTACAAACTTAGTTTCCTGAGCAGATGTTCAATAGTTTAGGTGTAGCTATTGGAAAGCTTAGTCTTGCAAATAATTAAAGAAATAAAAATGGCATGGACATAACTATTGTACCCCAACTTAATGTTTTGTAACATACTCTTTTGAGGCAATAACAGCAGTCAAAAACTTTCCGTAGCTCTGAATATGCCTTTTATACTTCTCAACAGCAATTTGTCCCACTCTGTAGCAGTTGACTTGACATCTCCCAGTTTAGATGTTCTATCGGCTTCAGATCAGGATGTTTGGCAGGGCACTTCAGAAAAGTCCAGAGTTTGATTTAAAACCATTCTTGTGCTCTTTTAGATGTATCTTTGGGTCATTCTGTGGAGGACCTATGACCTGTGACTGAGACAGAGCATTCTAACACTGGGGATTATGTTTAGTTCCAGAATGCCTTGATATGTTTGGATTTTATTGTGCCCTGCCTAGATTCAATGCATCTAGTATCGGAGACAACAAAAGGCACTATAACATTATGGAACCTTCTCAATTTTTCACAGTAGGACTGTGAACATTGAGTTGCTGTGATTTACTAAAAATCTGTACTATAATTTTGTTTCATCTGTTAAAGGACATTCTTCCAGAAGTACTTGTCAACATGCAGTTTAGCAAACTCCAGTCTAGGTTTTTTTGTGACTGTCTTTCAGACGTGAGATCTTCCATGGTCCTATGGAGGCCACTTTCAGAGGGTCAGAACTGGAGGGTGAGATTTGATATTGTTGTACTTTGATCTTGGAACTCAGCTCGAACAGATTTGAAAATCAAACTTATCCATGTATGTAAAGTGGGAAGAAAATGACACGTTTCACTTTTTCCCTTTTCAGCAACTGGACTTAAATTTTGCAGCTTTCTTTTCTCTTGTTTTCTCTTGTTTTCAGTCATTTTGCAACGTTGTTTCTACCAGAATAAATTTTTATCAAATGATGATAGTGCATAAGATGAATATTTAACCAAGTGTTAAGTTTGAAAAGCAAGAACAGAAATATAAACAGTCATCCAGAAGACAGGCTTAAGATACAGAAGGATCTGGACAGACTTGAACACTGGGCACTAACTAACAAAATGAAATTCAATTGTGAAAAAAGCAAGGTTCTACATTTAGGCAAGAAAAACCAAATGCACAAGTACAGCATAGGTGGCACCATGCTCAATAGTAGTAACTGTGAGAGGGACCTCGGAGTCCTAGTAGACAATCACTAAATATGAGCCAGCAGTGTGCTGCAGCTGCCAAAAAGGCCAACACAGTGCTAGGCTGCATTAACAGAGGGATAGAATCAAGATCACGTGAAGTATTAATACCACTCTTCAATGCCTTGGTAAGGCCACACTTGGAATACTGCATCCAGTTTTGGTCACCACGATGTAAAAAAGATGTTGAGACTCTAGAAAGAGTACAGAGAAGAGCAACAAAGATGATTAGGGGACTGGAGGCTAAAACATATAAGGAACGGTTGCTAGAATTGGGTATGTCTAGTTTAACGAAGAGAAGGACAAGGGGGGACATGATAGCAGTATTCCAATATCTCAGGGGCTGCCATAAAGAAGAGGGAATTAAGCTATTTTCCAAAGCACCTGAAGGCAGGACAAGAAGCAACGGGTGGAAACTAATCAAGGAGAGAAGCAACCTAGAACTAAGGAGAAACTTCCTGACAGTGAGAACAATTAATCAGTGGAACAGCTTGCCTCCAGAAGCAGTAAATGCTCCAACACTGGAAGTTTTTAAGAAGAGACTGGACAGCCATTTGTCCAAAATGGTGTAGGGTTTCCTGCCTGAGCAGGGGGTTGGACTAGATGACCTCCAAGGTCCCTTCCAACTTTACTACTATTACTATTCCAAATTCCTGAATGTTTTGCATTCACGTACTCTCCTTTATACTGACTAAAGTAACAGTTTGGGGGAGAGAGGGGAGAGACTAATAATAAAAAAATAAGCCTGGAGTTTGTATTCCTGGAAAAATAGACATCCATATTTTTTTTCTATTTCTTACCTCCTGAGGTACAAAATCATCAGCTTTTAAATCTTTTCAAATGGAGATTGCATTGGAAGATTAAACCTTGAACATAATATTCTTTAAGAACTAGGTATAAGAGGTAGCATATGAAGAAATGTAGATCTAATAAGAATACATACAGAGATCTCATTCATTATTTATTTAAATTCATTTATTTATTACTTTATGATAAAGTAGTACAAAAAGAAGAAACCACATTGAAATACCACTTCATTTGCTTCAGATATCACAATCAGAAAATGCATTTCTCTGGAAGTGTAAGAATTCCTCAGAAATCAATGTGCCAGATATTTTTTTTAAATAATATTTTATTGGTTTTCCAATTTTACATTTGAGTATTTGGAAGGCAACATGGTGATTGGGTTAATCAATAGTTCAATAACAAAATCTTTAGTAAATATCTCAGGTTACACCATCAAATATTTCTTTGTTTCCCTTAACATTTGCTATATCATATTTAAGTTAGTAAATTTCTAATTATATCAAATTCAGTAACAACTTCATTATCACATTTATCAATACATTTTTCGCTTATACATATCTTAATAAATATTCATGAACAATCCATATCCTGTTATCAAGTTTTACCTAATTTTTGGTTTTTAATTATCATACTCTATTTAATGTTTAATATCCATAGTATTTGAATTTCTGGTGACCCAAATTTCTTTTGTCTCAATATGCCAGATATTTAAATCCAATAACTAGAATCATTTTTTAAAAAATTTCCTCAGCCTTTTCTCCAAGTTCTTCCTGCAAACTCTCAAGTCAGTACATTGTTCAAGATCACATGGCTGTGCATTACAGAAAACTGCTCACTGCCAAAGGTATTTACTACATAAAATATTTTTTCTTCTAAGGCATCTGACAGTTGTAGTTTAGTGTGGATTCAGTTTAACAAAATGTGTGCATCATTTATCTTTCTCAAACCCAAATATCTTAATATTATTTTTTAAAAGATCATTTCCAAATATTGTATAGTTATTGGTTTTGTCTAGAAAGTTGTAAAACGAGTTCTATGTTATCTTGAGCAAAATCTGTAGTCTGTTCAATGCCCACTTCTTAGGGAGTTTGTGAAACATTTAGCCTAAGCTAACCTAAGCTTTCTATTTTTGTCTTTTAAGACTTAAGTAGTCCTCAATTTATGACCACAAATGAGCATAAGATTTCTGTGCTAAATGAGACATTTGTTACGTGAATTTTGTCCCATTTTATGACCTTTCTTGCCACAGTTAAGTAAATCACTGCACGGTCATAAGTCACTTTTTTTCAGTGCCGTTGTAACTTAGAACATTCACTAAATAAACTCTTATAAGTCCAGGACTGCCTGTAATTGTTACAGTCAAATTAATAAAAGGAGCACAATAGCCTTATATTTTGCTATTATTCTTGTGATGTTTTTGTTTTTTAAGTTACCAGATAAAGAGTCCCAATTCTATGGTATCTGAGATCTTGGACTTATGGTGTTCTGTAGTGTTGTTTTTATTTATTTTTTTATAAGTCTCAGGTTTTATATGGTCTTGAATGTCATAAAAGCATCAGAAGGGATATGGAGCTTGTCTGCTGATTCAGCTTGGTAATAGCAAATCAAACAATTCCCCTTAAAGAAGAACTATACAGAAAGCTGAAGTGCATTTTTTATACTTTGGACCATTATTTTTAAAAAAGTGCTGTTAAGCCAACGACTTCCCTGTTTTTGCTTTCTGTTTGAAGTAACCTTTAAAATTCATAGCAAAGAAACTCTGATGACTGAAAGCAAAAGAGCCAAGCTCCCCCCCCCCACCCACGCTCAACCCCGGTGGATTCATCAATGTATAAACAGATCTGAACTACCAGAAACCATTTTAAAGTTGAGTTCTCTGCTATTTTAAAGTTACATTCTCTGCTACGTTGAGTAGCTTGCTCTCAGTATACCTGCATGAAGTAGAATAAAAGACAACCAAAAAAAATGGGGAAATTAATTCAAGAGTACTTTATAACCTTCAGCATTCCAGCATTATTATATTTATTTAAGCAGTTTATCTACTGCCCCAGTTGTAGTTTTCCCTAAAAGGTAGAGATTAATAACATATAAAATAAATTCTATTAATGGTACAACTGGTGCAGAAAGCCAGTTTGGTCTAGTGGTTAAAGCACCAAGCTAGAAAGTAACAGGTGGTGAGTTCAATTCCCTCCTTAGCTATGGAAGCCAGCTGGATGACTTTGGGCCAGTCACTCTCCTAAGCCCAGCCCACCACACAGGGTTGTTGTTGTGGAAAAAATAGGAGGAAGATGTGTTGGATATATTCTCTGCCTTGAAGTATTTGTGAAAATAATAAAGGCGGGATATAAATAAACGTACATACATGCATATGTATATACATGGTTTTATTAGTCTAGTAGGCTAGTTCTATACACCCCTGTTGTCATTCTCAAGGCATTCTGCAAAAAACTTTTTTTCCCTCTAGAGACCATAAGAATGGATTCTTCCTTTGCTTATGGGTGGGGGCAGGCTGTTCTATGGGAGAGGAGTTGCCCCAGACAATGCCTGTGGTCCCATTGCACCTACAGGGACTTCTAGTAGGTATTCCCTGGCAGTCTGGTTCAATTAGACAGAATCTAACTGGTAAAGGTAGTTTCTTAGCTAGACACCAAATCATATAGGGCTTAAAAGATAGCAAACAAAACAGAAACACAGTGACATCTATTATATGTTATGCAGAAGCAGTATAACAGGGCAGGACTGGTGAACATGGGCTGCTGCATTCTGGATGAGCTAAAGTTTTTCGGTGGTTTCCAAGGGCTGTCCCAAGTCCTTGCATTATTGCACTAGCCTAATCCAGAGATGACAAAGTTCCCAGTGTCTGTCCTCATACTTCCCATTCCGATAAAACATTCCAGGAGGTGAAATGTTTAGGGATTATTTCTTGACAGAGTGAGTTTTCAAAGCTGATTTCTTCATTGCTCCCTTAATGAAGCTGCTTTCAACTTTTCATACCTTGCAATCCAGTTCTGAGTTATACATTGCATTCAAATATGTGAGGTGGGTCCCTAAGCAAAATCTCTGCAAGAAAAAGTTTAAGTAGCATACAGAAATACGATTTCTTTTTGATAATCCTATGTAGATCTCTAAAGGGTATGACCAAAACAGCATATTAATAATACATTGTCTCCGTGGGTGTTCTGTTTGTTTCATGGACTACAATCATGCAGAAAAATACATATTTGCTTTGGATTAGGAAGACATTTTTTCTTCTGGCTTGGTTGGTTTACCATGATTTTACAAAACTATACATGTTCTTCTGTTGGTCTGTGTGAACTGTCCTATACTATAAGACAGAAAAAATGATAGTAGTTTTTGTTTCCTAGAGAAACAAGAGAACACCCTACAATATAAGATTCTCTAAGAGCCATAGTAGTTGGGTGGAAGAGGGAAACCATGTTGGCTTAAGCAGCAACTGGGAGTGTGACTCCTATGACCTGTATTTGACACTACTTCTGTTTTTCCTCTTCTATCAAAATAAAGACTTGCCCTGGCAGGAGAATCCCCATTCTTATTTATTTATGTAATCAAGGTTCAAGGCCATTCAACACCTTGACAACTCCTGGCAGCTTACAAATAAAAGAAAACCATTTGCAAACAATCAGGTCACCCTCATGAAAAGAATGCTCTCCACCCCCTTCCCTGGGGAACCTTCTAGGCTTGTATAAAAGAAAGGATAGGCGACGTGTCTAATAAAAAAAAAAAGAGGAGATTTTCTATCTATTTCGGCTCTGATTCTATACATTACTGGCTTAGATTGTACATTCACTGATCACAATTTATTTCTGAAGAAATGTGGATCTCCTCAAAACTAAAAGAAGAAATTCCTAAATATTTTATGGAAGATGTTGACAATCTGCTCAGGCACTCCCCTGCTCTGTCATCCTGTGGTACAGAAGCAGGAAATGGAAATCATCACTCATTTATGGTAGCAGCTTTGGAGGGGACCCCAAGGACCCACTTTCTGGGAGGCGGCACATAACCTTGTTTTAATTAATTAATTAGAAGAAAGTATTCCCTTTGAGCCACAAAGGCTTTCATCTGTTCACCTTCATACATCTTTCTGCATCTGCTAGCTAAATTGGTACAAAAGACAATAGTTTGAAGTCTTGTCCTGAATGAATATATTTATACATTTTAAATGTACCTGTATATTTGATCAAATCTAATTTGATTTTTAGGTGAATTGAAAACCACTTTTTTGCTTAATGATCTTATTATTGTTAGCCATTATAGACTTATAGAAAAGAAACAATATAATAATCTTTAATATATTAAAGCAGTGGTTCTCAACCTGTAGGTCGGGACCCCATTTGGGGTCGAACGACCATTTCATGGGGGTCGCCAAACAAGGCTGTCCGCCAATTTTTTCCCCTTTTCTTTGGCCATGCTCCTGGCACCCGGTGATGTATAAGTGCTTGGGGGTCACCACAACATGGGGAACTGTATTATGGGGTCGCGGCATTAGAAAGGTTGAGAACCACTGTATTAAAGGAATGAATGAAAATAAATTAATAAGGCAATAGCTTTTAATTAGTATTGTACAGAACTGCAGAAAATGCATCTTGCCTAAAAACTGGACTGTATTCTATATCCATTACTACAGTAAAATTTGCTGAACTGTGGAAATTCCTCTTATTATTCAAGTTGCCTGCTCCCATTTTAAATTCCAATCAGGCTTTTTGTACAGCCTTAATTTTTTTTACTAACAATGAAGATTCAAGCAGTAGTAAGCTCATTATGCTCAAACGGATATGCATAATGTTTGTAGCAAGGTCAATTTGGAAGTGCATGCAACCACAGTTTGGAAACATTTGTTCCCACTCTGTATTGAGCTAAAACAGAAGCTCTTGCTTTACGGCAGAAATTCAAACTATTTATACTATTTTTTTATAGGCCTGAGTCATTTCTTCCCTTTCCAAAACAGTTTTATCATGTATCACTTTTAAAAAATATGCAAACTGCCAAACTAAGAAATGAGGTGAAAGCTGTGGAGGATACTTTGAAAACAAATACGTGTGCCAATAACGTCCCTGAAGCACTGCAGGTAGATTGCTTGGCTTGAACAAGATGAGAAACAGGGCTCACTTCAAACAGAAAAGCAAAATCAAATCACACAGCTATTCCTTGAAATTTATATTTCACTATTACACTTTTTTACAGTTGGACTAGTAGTTTTCATCTCATAGTCAACAAAGAAGGTATCATCAGTTTATTTATAAGCAAAGCATCTAAATAAGATCCTTAAGAGCCCAATGATAATTGAATCCAGGCTTCAATAACCTCTGTTTCCTATTGGTTGTAAGCAAGCTATTTGTTTCTCTTTTCTGCATTTGAAAATGGAATACTGTATTGAGAAGATAAACATTTTTGTTGTTGTTAATTCAGCTGCTGTTGATTCATCTGCTCCAAAGAGTTTGAACACAAGTATTAAATGTAGGTACAACTTGCTTTGTTTTCCAAATAATGTCTGGTTTCATTTTGTTTGGACTGGAAATGTTTGTTTTGGACTCTTTCTCTCTCTGTCCCCTAGTCCCAGCTCTCAAATCTAAGTGAGGGACGTGTGTACTTCATAGGCGGGTGATTGTATCATTAGCAGAAAAAAAGGTTTAGTTACATATACTCCAAGTTTCATACAGAATATCCCAGAGTAGAAATAAAACTGATCACACAAGACGAATTTCCACCTATGGGGGTGTTTCAAACATACCTGAAGACAGGGGAGAATTTGGAAGTATTAAGAAATGGCATGAAACTCTGCTTCAAAATCAATAAAGTCTGGACCTCCCCAAACCTCCTAACAATTACACTTAACAGTCATGAAATATTCCAATGGAGATTTCATATGGTGGCTATGTTCTTCCTAACACTAAAAAGAGAATAAAAGCCAATAGCACTGGAGAGGGAGGAGAATGTAGGACAATTGGTAGAAAAGGGGAGAGAGAAAGCAAGGAAATATACAATAGATCAGTGGTCCACAACCTTTTCTTCATCATGGAACCTTTTAAATACTTTTTGTGGCCAGGGACCATGGCCACAGACCACCAAGACTTAATTCAAGATTTAAATCATAATATTTCTTCAAGCCTTCACGGACCCCCTGTGATGACATTGTGGACCCCCAGGGGTCCATGGATCACAGGTTGAGAACCAATGCAATAGACTATAGTTCCTAACCTGGAGTCCATGGACATTCAATTGGGAGAGAAAAAATGCAACTTTATTTTTACCACAAATTAAGGCAGATTTATTTTTACCAACCATTAACTGAAATTTAGCTTTTCATTGCATATGTATGTAGGCAACAAAGTAATTTATAGCCTTTTGATTCCAAAAATATTTGTTAACTTTAATAAATGTTACTATTTAAAATTATTATACTCTAACAAGAAAAGTTTTTGCATTGTTTACTGATCTAATGGACTAATTAGGAAGCACCTGTATCAATGTGTGTATCAATGTATTACGATTTGTTATTTTTTAATATTTCAAAAACTGTATTTGAATCTGTTTGGCTTCCCTTGTAATACAATCTATATCCATATATTTTATGTTAGGTATATTTAAATACATTTTTTGACAAAGCATTGGTAGTTTCACCTGATTCTCATAGGGCTCCATGGCACACAAAAAATTAAAAACCTTATACAGACTTATAAAAAACAAACCCTATTCTTCAGTTCAAATAATGAACTCTATTTATCTATCTTATTTATAAAATTGATGGCCACCCAACTCCCAACTACTCTGAGCACTTCATGACAATTAAAACAAGAGAATGCAATTAAGAACAAGAAAATAAAATGTATAAATTGAAATAAAATATGCCAGGAAGCACAAATTGGACAATATATCATTGGATCAAAAAGACCATAATAGTAAAAAAGACTTTTTTGCAGAAGCGGTTGGCCAAAGTATTTTCCTGAGATTTTGTAATCCACCATTTCAGTGAAAACTTCCAAGATACATTGCTGTCTAGCCTATGCTTGAGTACATCTACTGGAAGAAGAACTCATTACCTATGAATATTTGGCACTTAAGCAGAATAGATAATTAACTCTCTGCACCATGTAATTGTTTCAAAATAATTTTATTTCATTTTGAATGTTTTAAAGCAATAGCAATGAATCACATATTTATAGCATATATCTTACCCCTGCTAAAATGGGAGAGTTATCTTCTGGATGCACTATAAATTTTTCTCTGTTCCTTTGCTCTGATATCTTAATACTGTATTATGATTTTTATTCATCTAGCTCCGATATCCTTAACCAGCCCTTAGATTCCTTGTTTTCCATTCTCTCTTTTCTCATTCTTACCCCCATGGAATATATAAAGTGATAAGGTTTTGTTTTGTTTTTAACAAATAACTACGCTTAAGAGGTTACAATTAAAATAATTTCAGAACAATAATATCTTTCTTCCTTGTTTCTTTCTCTTTGCCTATTTTTAGATTGTAAATCCTTTGGGGCAATGTCCTATCAAATCTATTCTGAGTAAAATGCCTTGTACATGAATGGCATTGAATCTGCAGAAATTGTTTTTGTTGTTACTATTAATAGATAATAAGCAATAAGTGAAAAAAGGCCCCCAAAGAGTGTATGAAAAGATTCTTTGGAATCACTATCCTAATTTAAGGTACAAGAATTATCTTAATAAGCTCTAGTGGCTTTCTCTGCCAAATAACCTTGAAATGGTTTCTGAACAACAGATCTAAGAAACTGATTACTGTATACCAGAGGTTTCTTCTAGTTCTCAGCTCCTCCTTTAGTTTTTGTTACAGAACAAAATATTTGCTGAGCGTGCATTCTGCCTCTTCCTTAAAAATATCTTAAAATGAATCAAGAAATGCAGCCATGTTAACATGGGAGAGAGAGCAGAATCTGCATAGTTTAGCATAAAGAAGACTGCTTTACAAAGTGAAAAATGATAGCAAGAGTGATTCATGTTATAGGAACATCACTGCTTTGAAATATTAAGTAGATGTTTTTAAGCGCGACTATTACTGACTTAACTAGGTACAGTACTTTCAGTAGAGCAATTTTTGGAGATCATGTGTTAACAATTTCCAGTTTTGACACTAAACGTTAGTTTTGTTTTAATAGTAGAATCTCTTTTGGATAATTTTTTAAATATGTGATGTCGTTGTTAAGAGGTTGAATTTGAAGTAATTTGTGAAGGGATGACTATTATATAATGAATGTAAAGTAGTAAATGAATATTCTTTGAATCTAAATGAACATGTATAGAAATGCACTGTAAGCTGTGATATATTTAACGGGCCTTATGTACAAATATATATATATATATATATATATATATATATATATATATATATATATATATATATGTTTGTTTTCTGAGGTTTTTGCGGGTATTTGTATGTAGGTCTTTGGTTGTTCGGGTTTTCTCCCAGCCTGAAGATGACGAATGGGACTTCGTCGAAACGTCGCCAAGACATTTCCAATTTTACGCGGGAGAAAACCCGAACAACCAAAGACCTACATATATATATATATATATCAGAAGTGTTCATAGCTCTCAAAATTGGCTCATACTTAATCTTTGCTTAGAAACAGAAAAATATATATTTTATTAGGTAATTAGAGTGATTTTATGATATAGTAGCTTTCTGTCTGATGGGATTTTCAGTAACCTGTGTTCATTCAAGTAATAGATAAAATGTTTTCTTATTCATAACATGATTACTGCTGAGAAATACAGATCCATTAAAATGCTTTACAGATTATTGCATAAAACAGAAAGCAATACGATAAATACTAGTCCTTAATTGAATAATCCATTGTTCTTATTTTGTTAACATTTAAAATTAACAAATCATTCTTCTTAACTTTTTAACATTTGAATTTAATAATTCACTTCCTTAATTTATTAATATTTACTCCATTATAATTCAGAACTTGCAGCTTGGAAGCAGCCTTATGGACGATAGAAAAAATATTTAAATTAAAAGCAAAGCATAAATATTAAGGACTTTTTATGATAGTTGTTAGCCTACAGATATTGAAACCAGGAAGAGAAAAAAATGGTGCAGGAGGAAATTGGCATTATATAATTAAAAGTATAGGCTTTTAAAGTATATAGCCAGTGTGATTTAGCATGGCCTTCCATAGTGTATATTATTATCTGCTTGGAAGAAGTACCATATTACTGGGTAAGTTAAGATCTAAGGGAATCGTAGGATATACTATCCATTACTTCTGAGCTGTTATAATTTACACATAAATAGCAATTTTGTTAGAACAAGATAGGAAAGAAATGTTTACTATCTTCCAATCTCTTCCAACCTATTTTATCTTCATAGTTATATATTCCCAGATTATTTTTCTCACCTCCATTGGAGCATGATTGTTGAATCTATCTCTTATGATTTACTCATTTGTTCACTTAGCAATCCCACATTCTGGGTTTCAGACCATGCTGTAGCCCAGGATGTAGCAGTGAGACCTATACATTTATGAAGGAGTGGCTTGCCTTCAGAAGTTGTGGATGCTCCATCACTGGAAGCTTTTAAGAAGAGATTGGATAGCCACTTGTCTGGAATGGTATAGCATCTCCTGCTTGAGCAGGAGGTTGGACTAAAAGACCTTCAAGGTCCCTTCCAACTCTCTTACTCTGTTATTTTGATTGAGATGTGACAGGTAGTATCTTTATGGTGTCCCCAACAATTCAGAGCAGTTAAGGAGGCAGAAATTGAATCGCTCAGTTTCTCGATTTCTGCAGTCGTGTTACCCAATTTATTAGCTATCACTTCTATACCTGCAATATTTGGAACAACATTTCCTGTACTAATTCCTTCTTACCATGCTCCTATTGTAAACCATTTCCTTATAGGTAGACAATTTTCTAATGTACCAACAGTTTTTTCCCTCCATAATGTCCACTCTGTACAAATTCTTTACACAATGGAATAAATTTAAATATATGAATCTAATGTTTTTTCTTTTCAAGAAAAAAAATAGATTTCCCCAAATATCTTTTCTCCTTGTTATCAGATTATTTAATCAAAATCATCATCCGAATATTCTTTTGCTTTCTTCGGTTCTAATAATTTAATATTGTTAAATTATCTAATAATTTTATTAGGTTATCCAAACTTTAACTTACTTTTGATACAACAGTTTAAAAATAAACTAGCCATATAAGAAAGCCATATTAACTTATATTCCACCTTCTTCAAATCAAAAGCAACACACATAGGGATATCCCATAATTTTATATTCACTTAACAACCTCTGAAATGTTTGGCCCAATTTTCAGTTAATTATGTTTCTTTTTCTTCCCTTTCCTGGAAATTTTAAATCTCTTTTCTGTATTTTCTTCTCTATGCCTGACTTTACCATTCTTTTATATATTTTATTTTTTTTAAGTGGTAATGTTCTCAGTTCAACACATTAAATACCAATGAAAAAGAAAAGTTAGAGGAAAGAAATTATTTGGCTCAATACTGTGAATAATAACATCTTACCTGTTACTAAAATTTGCTGAGGGATTGAAATGTTTTTTTTTTTTAAGGAAATGAGTTAGATAAGATGTTAAAAGGTCTTAATTTAGCTTTCTTCTCCCAAACTCTTTAAATCAGGCATGTGGCCCTCAACAACTAGTAATGCAGCCCCACAAGATCATAATGAATAAACGATTTAATATATATTATAGTATATATTGTATATTTATTATATTATATATTTTATATCTTGCCCAAGACAATTCCTCTTAATTTAATGTGGGTTAGGTACGCTAAGAGGTTGGACAGCTTGACTTAAATGTATAGTTACACTATGCTAAAGAAAATGCAGAGGAATAGGTAACATCTTGCTGGGTAAAGAAGGATCTGCAAGTAAACACGCAAGCTTGGTGAGCACCAACAACTCTATAGTTCAACCCTGAGCTATAGAAAGTCTCTTTTATTGGAAGATGATAAGGAAAGATGATAACTCTTTGTGTCAAAACTTTCATATTACAGACAGAGACCAACAGAAAAGAGAGAAGCTTATCAAAGCTGTTGAAAAATTCAAGAAAGAAATAGCATTGATCCATTCTACACCACCATGCCATTCTAGAAGTGTTCCCACTAAGAATCACAAAGTAAGATAATATACTGTACTATGTTTTGGAGGCAATTGATAGGAAGTGAATATTTCTCCCAAGGGTCTGTATTCCAGTGTCTGATGAGGGCATGAAAACCATTTCATTCGTAGACCGAATGAAACATCAATTTGGGGAAAGCTTAATGCTATAATTGTCTACTTTAACAATGGAATATGGACCCATATCCTCAACTTGTTTTCCTAAGGTGCTGAGCACCTTTATTAGATGCTAGTTCAGCAGCAGTAAGAGCAATCTATTTTCAAACTCTGTGTTGTTTTAATTTATTTCATTTGATTTGATTTTGCTCAGGTTACATTACATTATTATTGCAATAATCAGATTAATTAATTAATTATGGATTGTGATCAATGTTAAATTTCATTTGTTTTCTCCAACTCTATTTTATCATCTCTTCAACAAAATGGCCCATGTGACTTGAGATGGTCCTGTGAGTTAAAACTGGTATAAATATCACTAGGATGATGAATTAGTAAAAGTGTTTTTTCCTACTCACATTTTTATCATTTTACCCACTTTCCTCATTAGGTTTGATTTTATTTCCCACCTAGATTTTTGCAAGACCTGTCCATGGAAAACTGAAGCTTCTTTTATAATGTCAGTTCCAGCCTAAAGATAAATTTCTGCTGATTCTAAATCATGTCCTTTTATCATTCTTTTGTAAAGTACTATTTACCTTTCACCAATTCTTGGTCCATAATTGAATGAAGTAGGAATGAGGGATACAAGGAGCAGTTTACAATGCTTACACAAATTTTTATATGCTTGAGTTTTTCTTCCCACAAGTAGAATGTATCTTTGCTTTTTTTTAAAGAAAAAAAATCTGCAGTGATAAAGCTAGCCCAGCTGGGCTTAAACTTTTACTATGTTGCTATTTATATTGGAGAAATTTGATTTTAAACACCGAAAAACTTGTAAAAGCAATTTCTTCCTCTAGTGTGGAATGGAAGAATTTGATTTCCCAGCTAATTTTTAACAATTAAATCTGCTATATAGGTAGTCATCAACTTACAACAACAATTGAGCCCAAAATTTCTGTGGTTAAAGTGAAACTTTTTTTAAGTGAGCTTTGCCCCATTTTATGACATTTCTTGCCACGGTTGTTAAGCGAATCACTGCAATTGTTAAGTTAGTATCCTGATTGTTAAGTGAATCTGGTTTCCCCATTGACTTTGCTTGTCAGAAGGCCGCAAAGGGGGGATCACATGACCTTGGGCCACAACAACGGTCATAAATATGAACCAGCTGCCAAGCATCTGAATTTTGATCACATGATTATGGGGATGCTACAAAGGTCATAACTGTGACAAATGGTCATAAGTCATATTTTTCAGTGCTGTAACTTTGAACAGTCACTAAACAAACACTTGTAAGTCAAGGACTACCTGTATTTATTGTCCTTTATAAGATTTCAGGCATATGACTCTAGGGCAGGGGTAGGCAACCTTGGCTCTTTTATGATTCGTGGACTTCAACTCTCAGAATTCCTGAGCCAGCACTGCTGGCTCAGGAATTCTGGGAGTTGAAGTCCACGAGTCATAAAAGAACCAAGGTTGCCTACCCCTGCTCTAGGGTGAAAATGGACAGTTACATTTTTAAAATGTTCTATCTGTTTTTCCTAAATTCTCAGCGGTTACCAAATCACCTGAATTTGGTTTCAAGAGGAAGATCGTCTCCTTTGAGAAAAGAGGAGCATCACCCTATTCGAGATTCAATCTTATCTCGTACATACAGAAGTGCAGTCCAACCGTGTACTTTACCTCTTTCCTTGTCTCCTGGGAAGTTGTGTCAGATTTCCAAAAAGAAGAAAGCTACCAGTGGAGATCTACTGGACACACATGCTGATTGGTTTACGGAAAGAAAGCAGCCTTTTATCCCAAAGCTCTTAAAAACAGCAAGCAAATCGTTTCTTTCAAAATATAGATATTATAATCATCTGTGCAGGAAGAAAAGTCTTTCTCCTCATACACAATCACACAAAAGATCAAAAAGTGTTTACAGGTAAAGTGTTTGTCAGCTTATTATCAACTAGTTTACAAATAGTTGGTGAAGCTGAACCAATCTCGGTTTCAGACAAGTACATTTTAAATTGCTGTCAGTGTTGCTAATATGTTTTATTGTTTTTTTCATCTTCCAGGTCTATGGATAACGAGTGTCTAAGAGCTTATGCAGATGACCATCCATGCCATCCATTCAAGGTTGCTATGTCCTACTCAGTAATGGATTAAATTACGCAGGCAGTAACATTCATAAATATCAACAGTAGTATTAAAATGTATTGGGCATTGCTCAGTTTTTTTATTTATCCATAATGAAATTTGAATCCTCTACCCACATGCACTGAAAAATGGGTCTCATTAGATTCAGGGAGGCTAATTTCTGAGAAGACACAAGTTAGATTGTGTTGTGATTAATGATATTTGATTCTTCTAAGTAAAACTAGTTCTGAAAGCAATTTAAAACTGCACTTCTTTGGGAAATCTAATATTTCAAAGTGGATAATGACAGTGGTGTTCTGTGACAGTACACCTAAAATTACAGAGCTGCTTTGAAAACACATTGTTTAAAAACATATAAAAGTCATAACACAATACAATGCAGAATTTTCCCTCTAAAAAGAAAATGTAAAAACATAAATCAGCTGTTCACTAGTGTAGTCAGAAATTGTGCAAAAGAAACACACTGTTATTTTGCTTCTCAGAAAAAAGCTGCTTTACCTTTAAAAGCAATTTTTTCCCAAACACATACAGAATTAAAATTTTCATAATTCACAGATAGTATCTGTTGAGTCCTCAAGTCAATGGTGAAAGAAGAGCATACATTCTGATGGTTATAACAGCTTTTATTCTCTTCAGCTCTCTCCGACACAACTCAGAGGCTCGCAGGCCTCTCTGCCTCTAAATAGAATCCCCGGGCAAAAAGGTAACAAAGAATGGCGCGCTTTTGCGCCTTGCGCATGCGCGCAGGCTGGCACCACTCAGTCTGGTCCCGGGCAGCTTGCAACAGCCTGGGACTATTGCAACATCCCGGGCCTGCTTTTGCAGGCTCAGGACACAACACCCCTTCCCCCCGAATGAAACTTAATTAACCTATATAGATAGGTATACGCGACCTTCAAATGGACGTGGTGTGCTATCCCTTATGGAACCGCACAACTGTTGCAGCTACTTACTAGCCACTCTATAACATGGTACCATGCTATTATTTTGGAATTAAGTGCCCAAGACTCATAATTCCAAGTTCACGCAACATCAGGCACCCTCTTCACCTCCCTTGCTTTGACAGCAATGTCACAAAATCTTCCAGATATTTGGGAGATCTTTTAACCCTCTGTGACCTCCTCAGATTTTGAGAACTCCTTTGACCATCCTGTGTAGTGATTGTAGTGGAGTTGCCCCCTCTTTTAAAACCTGGTGGTCCCGTGACCCTGGTTCTGTTGCCTTGTCTGCTTGCTTGCCCACCGGGCTTGTCAGACCAGGACTTTGCTCCCTACTGTACCTGGTTGATCTGCCTAACTGTAGACTATCGGCCCCTCTATGTTCCCACCAGTATTTGGCAATTCTGTGGTACTCTCCAAGTCCACAATGGACCTATCAAGGGAACGCATCCCTTCACTCCCAAGCCGCGTAACTGGGTTGTCTAGGGTTTCTGCGGTGCCCCACTACTCGGTTGCCCCCCATTCCATGCCGGAGGTACCAGAATCAGGATTTGCCTCTCTGACTACCTCCCTGTATGCAGATTTCCTTTTGGGAGCAGTTGCAGCATTGGGCCAGCTTGTTTGTTTGGATGCCAGTTCTCTTGTGTTATTTGGGTTGTTTAGACGCTCCCGGTTATTCTCCCTGCTTGGAGTGCTGTAGTGGGGTTGTGAATAATGAGTATGCCCCCTGGGTGACTCCCTGGCTGAAGTCAGTACCGGTACCTGTATTGTTCCTTGTTCCCCTGAATTCCTATTAGGGACACTTGTGGAACCTTGGGAGAGACCTTCCTCCGTCTCTCCGTTTGCGCCTGATTGCTGCCAACACCCTTCTCTTTGCCCACAGTGGTCCCCCTCCCCCCCGGAGAAAACCCAGGTGTTGAAGAGGGAGAGTCCAGTCTCATACGCAGCTGATTGATATGCCACCGGAGGACATGACCGTCGTCCAGGGAAACCTCATAGGACAAGGGACCGGTGACCTTGCAGACTACAGCTGGGACCCACAGGTGACCGGGCCCATAGTTCCGGGTCCATACCGGGGCACCCACTTGCAGACACCTAGGTGCCCTTGGTTTGGAGACCCGGGGAGCCACCCTGTCCGGATGCAGCCTGTCAAGATTGGTGATCAGTCTGCGCCCCAAGCGAAGTTCAGCCGGGCTCTTCCCAGTGGAAGTAGAAGGTGTGGTGCGGTAAGCAAGAAGAAAATCTGCCAACCTGTGATGCCAGTCACCATAAGTCAGTTTCTTGAGAGCATCCTTGGTGATGCAAACCATCCGTTCAGCCATACCATTGGTGGAAGGGTGGAATGGAGCCAAAGTCGCATTACGAATCATGTTGGCCTATAGGAAAGCCTGAAACTCGGAAGAAGTGAATTGAGGACCATTGTCTGAAACCAGAACTTCTGTAAGGCCATGAGCAGCAAAAATCCCTCTTAATACTTGAATGGTCTTGGCAGCAGTAGTGGAAGAGACAGGAACAACCTCAAGCCACTTTGAATGGCTGTCAACAAGGACCAAGAAGAATTGTCCCTGAAAGGGCCCAGCGTAATCCACATGCACCCTAGACCAAGGTGACTGTGTTTCTTCCCATCTATGCACAGGAGCCTGAGGTGTTTCAGGGCGTGAACATTGGCACAAGTGGCATCCATGCACTTAGGCCTCTATTTCCTTGTCTAATCCTGGCCACCATAAATGTCTGCGCGCAAGCGCTTTCATCCTAACAATGCCAGGATGACCCTCATGGAGAGAAGCTAAGACTCTAGGTCTCAATGAGGTAGGAATAAGTACTCTGCTGCCCCATAACAGGCAACCCTGAAAAGTGGATAACTCATGCTTCTTGAGCCAGAAGCTTTGGAACTCAGTACCTGGACAACTCTCAGGCCATCCAGACAAAATCCATGAAAGCACACGAGTAAGCATGAGATCTGTGGCTGATTCAGCAGCCACATCTCTGGCATTTAGGGGAGACTCAGGCAATGCCTGAATAGAGAGAATATTGATGGCAGGAGCAGGGTCAGCTTCTACCAGTTGCAGAGGTAATCTACTTAGGCCATCAGCGTGGCCCATTTCCTTGCCAGGTTTGTGAATCAATGAAAAATCATAGGCTGATAAAAAAATAGACCATTTCAGCATTCTAGGAGAGATGATATGGGGAGTTTGTTTGTTAGTGGTAAACAACCCCAACAGAGGCTTATGGTCAGTATAGACTGTGAAATGTCTGCCATATAAAAAAAATCATGGAATTTTTTAATTCCAGCTACAATGGCCAAGGCTTCTCTGTCTATCTGAGCGTAATTTCATTCAGCAGAGGATAAAGTTCTGGAGTAATATGCAACAGGGACCTGAGTCCCATCAGCTCTTAAGTGGCTAAGTACAGCCCCCACCCCATAAGGGGAAGCATCACAAGCGATGCAGACTGGTAGGTTTTCATTGAAATGTGCAAGCACATCATTTGATGTAAGCAAGGCCTTGACCTCATTGAAGGTTTTTTCATATACTTGGGACCATTGCCAAACTGCCTGCTTGCCTATGAAGTGGTTCTGCTACATTAGCCTTGTTAGGTAGGAAAGTGTTGTAAAAATTCAAGAGGCCTAGGAATGCTTGTAACTCAGCTTTAGACTTAGGCCTAGGAGCCTGCTGTATGGCTTTTAATTTAGAATCAGCAGGGTGTATACCCCTGGCATCTATTCTGAATCCCAGGAAATCTGTAGAAGTAACTCCTATCTTGCATTTATCTTTTTTAAGTTTTAGGCCTGTTTTTCTGAAACGAAGCAAAACAGCCCTTAATCTCTCAGCTAAATTCTGAGTGGATTCTCCAGCAATAAGGACATCATCAAAATAGGGGCAAACCCCGGGGATACCTCTCAGGGTGTTCTCCATAACACTTTGGAAAATTCCAGGAGCTACATTTACTCCAAATTGTAGTCTCTTGACTTTGAATGACCCTCTATGGGTTACAATAGTCTGTGCTTCAGCAGCAGCTTCATCAACAGGTAACTGTTGATATGCCTGTGCCAGATCTAACTTTGCAGAAACACGCCCCCCTTTGAGGAAAGCCAAAATATGGCTGACTACAGGTACAGGATATGCATGTTATTGCAATGCCTTGTTTAATGTGCATTTGTAGTCTGCACAGATGCGAATGTCCCCTTTAGCCTTGAGAGGCGTAACTATGGGGGTTTCCCATGGACTTGAATCAACAGGTTCTAAAATACCTTGCTGGATCAATTTATCCAGTTCAGCATCAATTTTCCCCTTAAGAGCAAAGGGTATTCTCCTTGCTTTCACCCTAATGGGAGTGACAGTAGGGTCAAGTTTCAAAGAAACTGGAGGCCCTTTGTAAGAACCTAGCTGTGGACTGAATACATCTGCAAACTCCTTGCAGACCTCTGTTAGGCCTAACATTTGCAAATTGTGTAGCCCTGTAACTTGGATTCCCATGGCCTCAAACGAATTGAGTCCAATAAGACGCGTTCATTCACCCCCAACTACCAATACATCCAATGGACCTTCAAAATCCTTGTGCTGTACTGCAAGGGTGGCCTCCCCCTTTACACACACCTTAGAATTTTGAAAATCTGTTAAGATTATATTGGATGGCCTAAGTTTGGCCTGAAACCCACTGCTATTACAAATTTTCCTGAAAATGTGAATAGAAATGATTGAAAGAGCAGACCCAGTGTCCAGTTCCATAATCAATGGAACTCCTTGTAACCTCACCCTAAGTGACAGTTTCTTCTTCAGTGGTTTGTGTGTGCCTGTTCTACAAATACTTCTGCGTGATGCACAGAAACCCACCCTGTTTTGGCTGGGGACCCTGGTACCTTTCAGACGCAATTCTTCTCGAGGTTGTGCCTTCTGACAGCCCAGACAAACAGATGCTATGTGGCCTTGCCTGCCACACGCTCTACAGATTGCAGAACGGAACCTGCAGTCAGCCCTCCTGTGGTGACCTCCACACCTGAAGCACTTAAGGACACAGCTGGAACCTTTTCTTTGCCTTCCCTCTGCTTCCTTTCTTTGGATGGGTAGAGATGATCCACCTCACCTTCAGGGTCTTCCTCCGAGCTCTCTTGGACTCCCTCATGGTGCACGGAGACTGATTCTAGGTTGTTCCTGATGGGCCTCATGTTCTTGACCGCCCCACCTGCTGCCTCCTCTGCAGTGACCTCTCTCAAGGCATCTTGGAAAGAAATATCTTCTTTTGCAAAGAGTCTCTGTTGTAAGTCTTTGTTCCTTAACCCGCATACAAAACGGTCTCTCAGCCTTTCTTCTAAATCTTTAAAATCACAGGGCTTAACTGCTCTTCTCAAGGCTGCAATGTATTCTTTGGCTGATTCACCAACTCTTTGATCCCTCTGTTCAAACGTGTGCCTCCACGCAATGACAGACAACTTGGGCTGAAAATGTTCCTTCAATAACTTCTTTAAGTCTGTATAAGTGACAGGCTCAAAGGGAGCAGGGGCTGCCAAATTTTCTGCAATTTCAAATGTATCTTGACCACAGACACACAGCAAAGTAGTGGCCTTCAACCATCTTCTCTAACTTGATTCACTCTAAAGTAATTTTCTACTCTAGCGACATAAGACTCCCATCTTTCTGGGTGAGTAATGTCAAATTCAGACAATCTCCCTATCTTCGCCATCCTTGCTTCTTATTCTAGGAAGGGATCTATCAGCCAGCTTACCTCCAGCGACGCTGTACTGGCAGGCCAAATGCTGAGTTTAACGCTGTCTTCCTTTTCTCCAGGACTCCTTGGGTAAGCCTTACAAGTCTTCTTTCTTTATCTTGTAAGCGATCCCACCCTCGTCGCCAGTGTTGAGTCCTCGAGTCAATGGCGAAAGAAGAGCACACATTCTGATGGTTATAACAGCTTTTATTCTCTTCAGCTCTCTCCGACACAACTCAGAGGCTCGCAGGCCTCTCTGCCTCTAAATAGAATCCCTGGGCAAAAAGGTAACAAAGAATGGTGCGCTTTCGCACCTTGCGCATGCGTGCAAGCTGGCACCACTCAGCTTTTGCAGGCTCAGAACACAACAGTATCTGTGACTGTAGTGTAGCAGTAAATGTGCAGAATTGCTTTAAAGAAACAAGAGAACACAAGTCTGAAATTAACATTTCCCTTTTTCATTTGCATTTTGGTCTTTGCAGTATTGCAGCAGCAACAGAAAAAGGAACAGTTTGAAAAGTGATAATTCAAAGTACTTCATTGGACTATTTAGTATCAAATGTGTATTCATATAACATTACCACAATAATTATTGTACAGTATCTCTTCCCACTATATATTAGCCTTGCTTGTATTGTGTCTTTGCAAAACATCAGCCGAGCACCAGATGGTGATCAGGAGGCTCATTTTCCCTGCTTCTTAATAAGCAGAAGCCACGGCGGCAAAAGAGACAGTTTATACCTGCCGCTTCTTTTAGGAGCCAGAGAATTTTGCACTGTTATTGAAAAAAAAATATTAGGGATTTTCAGATTTTAAATCTTAAAATCAACACCTCATCACTCAAGTTTTTTTAACGGTATAAAAAACTATGCACATCCTGAATTCGAAATAGCTACCCAGTTAGTGGCATTTTTCATAATTGTTATTTTCAGGAAAAAAGCAAAAAATATCAATTGTAGAATATATACTTCATATATATACATAAATATGTATATTCATATACATAAAAACAGGATCACCAACATGATCGCCAACGTCCAATAATGGATATGGCACAAGAAGAAGAAGAAGATACTTCATTTTGATATTACAAAATATTTTGTTCCATCAATTTTTCAGTGGATTAGTTGGGTTTTTGGCTTAACCTGATAGCTTAAAACAAAGCAGAATATGGTCAGAATTTGTCTCTGTGTGTGTGCTTTGTATTGCTGCCTAATTGTTAAGCAACTCAAGGCAGCACATAGAACAAGTGAGGAACACAATATAACAGTAAAAAAAAAAAAAAAACAGAAATCACAATCCAGAAAATAAAGAATGCAGGGTTCTTCTTGACCAAGGGCCTGCTGAAAGATCCATGCTTTTATGATGTTTGTGTTAGATCAGGGGTCTTCAACCCCCGCTCTGTGGACTGGTACTGGGCTGTGGTATGCCAGCAACTGGGCCATACAAACAAGCAAAGCCCCATCTGTGGGATGCAGGCAGCACACAAAACCACGCCCCCTCCTGTCTGCAGAAAAACCTCTCTCCATGTAACCAGTCCCTGATGCCCAAAAGGTTGTGGACCTCTGTGTTAGACAACAGATTTTCCATGTGATCACAAGAAAATTTTATTTGTCTTTAATTTGAGATGGCATTCACATCTAAGAGTGTGAAGCCTTTCTACCAATCTGGTAAATCATCAGCTATTCCTGACATGGGATGTATTCAAAAGAAATGTTTCCTTTGATGCAGCAGCCAACATCCAGATAAGCAGGGCTTAGCACTAGGCAAACAATCAAGGAGAAAACAATGCTGTAATCAAGGAACTACCAAGGAAAAAACCACACCCCCACCAAATTAGCAGGATAAGCTATGGGATATAAACAGAAAGTAAATCTGTTTATCTATCACTATCACTGATGATGTTACCTACTTGGGTAATGATATGTTTGCAAGCAAAAAAGTTCAGAGAGCACCAAGCATATGACAGTTTCACCAGAGGGAACAGATGGGATTTTTGACTCCATATGTATGTGACCAAGAACATCCCTCCCTTATGGGAATGTGTGTTCTGTGTCTGGCAGGCAGTTGGCTGTATTGTGGGAGCTTGTTTCCCATTGTTAGTTTCCCATTGGCAGAACTCTTCTATCATTGCACTTTCCTGTTTCTAACAAAGATTCAAACATGGTGGCCTCTTAGTGAATCACTATTATTTTCACTGGTATTTAAAGGGAACAAAAAAGTGTGCCTTAGTAGCTTTTCAGATTCTCCTTCTAAGACCAACCATTCAGATTTTTTAGAAAAAAAAACCAAATCACCAGCAGATGTGCTGATCGTGTGTGTGTTTGTGTGTGTGTGTGTGTATAAATTTGAGGATCAGCAGCAATGAAATTGATTTCAGATCAATGTTAAACTACTTTTGTCAGACAGAGGGATAAAAGTGGTGGCGTGGAAGTGTCCCTAATTATATCCTGTCAGACATGGTGTGTAAAAATATGCAGGATTTGTGCAGAAATCCAAATTGATTTCATAGTGGGTATACAAAAGGAATACATGCAAATACAAATAAAGTATGTGCAATATATATTATATATTCTCTCTTTTAAAAACTGATTTTGTTGTCCTGCATCTGAAAACGACCATGTCTCATTCTCAAGTATTTTCCTTCTGTGAATTATTAAGGCCTTTTCAGAGAGACATTTTGTGCCTTATGATCTTTCCATTCAAACTGGGGATTTTTTTCCAGAAAAGCAAATAATTGTCAGCCTAGCACACATGCTCAAACTGTAGTTGCTGTGAAGCTAATTATTGTGAATCTATCTATATAAAATGGTAGATCTGTGCAAGGTGACCTAGACTTGTTATGACAAAGAGACTGGTGCTGCAGAGGTGATGTGCTTCTCTTAATTGACATAAAGAGGGGATAGCATTTGTTTATAAAAAGGATTTTGCATTGCCTTGAAGCTTATTGTTATTTCCTACTTGTACTTTGCCAAAGCCAGAAGAGCATTGATCTTGACATTGCGTCTAGGCAGATGCCTCCTTGGGCGTTGACAAGGGCAGCTAGGGAAGACAAAGCTGTGTAGCCTCTCGCACACTTTATCAACACTTGGGGTGAATGAAGAGTGACCCGTCCTCTATAGCATTCATTAAAACTTTGCAATGCAAAGTGAAGCAACATGGCTGCTTTGGAACAGATGTTCTCCAAAGCAAATACCTATTCAATGATTTGCACAGCCTCAATATAAAGCAATGAATGAGATAAAGCAATTGCTTATAACTTTTTCTTTGTGTTTAAAAATTATAGAAACATTCTGGGAACTCAGCTGCTATTCAAACACTTCTTCATGCAAAGTGAGTTCTACATTTATTTTTAATAAGAACGCTGATCGGTGTGCAACAAAATATTAAAATTGTGGCTGTTTCAAGAAACCTGAAATATGAAGACAACTCCTTTGTAATAATCTAACAAGGCTTCTGAATGACTCAGGCAAAGGCCTATCTAGTTTGGCTTCTTCTCTTTTATGGGCACCCAGATGCTTCTGAGTCTGGAAGCAGGATAAATGATCTGTCTATGCAGTGGTGGGATTCAACCAGTTCGCACCAGTTCAGTAGAACCAGTAACTAAATTTTGCTGAGTTCGGAGAACCATCTTAATGCACAGTGCTTCCGGAAGTCCAGTCTAGGCCTCAGAGGTCTGGAGGAGGCCTGCCAGAAATGCATGGATGCCATTTCCGGAAGTCCATTCTAGGCCTCAGAGGCCTGGAGAAGGCCTCCCAGGCCTGCATCTAATAAGAGAACCAATTGTTCAGGTATTTGAATCCCACCACTGTGTCTATATTAATATTATCATCTCAATGATGAGAGCAGGTGATATGCAAAACCCACAATATCAACTAGGCATTCCATGCAGATTACCCACATCTCTTTTGCACTCCTCAGAATAGATTTGGCCATGGTTTTTCTGCAGGTTGGTGTTAAAGAGCAGAGCACTCTTTGCCATTTTCTTCCCTAGTTCCAATATGGCTGAGAAAGTTATTTTAAATCTCTGAAGAACTGTAGTCAAGATGATGGGCTTAAAAGCCTTTTTAAATCACATTGGAATCAGTGCTGGTTCACTATCACGCTATGCCATAATGTAAGTTGTTAAGTTTTGCCTTAATGTAATGGATTTCTAACAGTGGTTGGGTAACCTTTTGATGTTTTGTGAACAGCACAGATGTTGCACTTGGCTTTGGGGCATAATAACACCAGATTGGCTGATTCTTTTTAAACTGACTCAGGAGATAGTTTGCTTATTCCCCTTCATTTTTAACAAAACGTTAAGCTTATTTTAGGGCATACTGAACAGGTTTTGTATGTTTACATCTCATAATGATGTGAAACTCTTTTTTGTTCCTTATGATTAAAAAAAAACCACTGCAGGAGGTATAAGAAAGATTTCAGGGGCTATAGCTACCAATCTGTAGCTTAATGATATTTATAATATGATGCAAGTATGACCCCAAAAATCCTTCATTTAACACAGTGTGAAGGCAGCTATGAATTTATAGCATCCTTGACAATCTCCAGACATGCGAATAGGCCTCTTGAATACAGTGACAGACAAGATGGCCCCATATGTTGTTGTTGTGACTCAAACTTCATTCTTTTGTACTTGGCATCCTGCTGTCTGACACAGGAACATATGCTGCAGGGTTTGTGTAATAACATCATGACATGAGTTTTGCTATTTCGCTCCCATGGACAGTAGATAGGTGAACTCCAACTCCCAGAATTCCTAACCAGCATGATTGTTAAAATTCTGGAAGGTGAGGTTCACTCATCTGGAGAGCGGCAAAGTTGAGGAAACCTACATCATGTCTATATGATTAGAGTCATTAGACTGACTTTCAGGTAATTCATTTCAACAATATTTGACAGTTTTAATGTAAGTTGTAGGAAGAAAAGAATGATTAAAACACGAGAGCTGCTTTTCCACAGATATACCTGTTCTTATTTTTGTCTCTTTGTTTTTTAAGAAATGAAGAGTTGAAGTACTTGCAGTTGCTTCAAGAAGTTACGAATTATATTTTGCTTAGAAGTTGTTACTGGAAGAAGTGAGTCAAAACATTTTTTAGAAATATTTTATTTCTGTGAATAGTATGTAAAATATTTCTCTTAAGATGAAATATTTTCTTCACATTGGCCTAACTTCCACCTGTGTTGGGTCTAAATTGGAATAAATTGGCAAAGATTTCAATAGATAACTTTCCTTAATTAAAATCACAATATGTAAAGCAATCCAACAGTAAATGTAGGACAATCTAAACAGATTCTAACAAAGCACTGTTTTTTCTTTGTCCCAACAGAAATAATACAATTCTTGCTTCAAACTTTCTGTCAGCAAATTCAAATGATTCTTCAAGATGCTGAATGCTTTAATTGCTCCTTTGTAGATGCTTGTGCTCTAACAAAAGAGCAATAGTGGCAATTTGCAGTTTAATTCATGGCTTTGCAATGTAAAATTCTGATTCCCTTGCTCCTTACAATCCAACTAACTTCATATATCAGTTCAATTTATCTTATTCAAAGAATAAGGACCCATTGTTATTATGCAGCTTTCCAATAATCATGTCCCCAGTATGGCAAGACAAATTTTTCTCACCCCTTTCCTGGAATGATGATGATTCTTTACAAGGCTAAACCAAGGTACCATGAAAGTTATACATGTAAAGCTAGACAATACCACACATTTTTGACAATTCTTGCATCAATTCTAACATATGTACGTGTGATTAAACATAAGCTGGAAAATGCAAACAGTGGAATGTGTTTCAAAGTTTTAAGTTTTATTACATATTCATTTGACTGAAGATACCTAAAATAGTATTGTGTTAGTATCAGGATGGCTAATATTACTGCCGTACCTTTAGTGCATTAAGCATATGACAAAGTAAAATATATTCTATTAAAAATATAGTTATTGAAGATAAACTTATTTGTTTGGTACATATCCCAACTTTCTGTGTGGAGGCACTTATATCACAGAACATAAACAAAACCCAGGAGAGATGTTACCTCTAATCAAATGGTCTTAAAAATGGGTGGGTGACATTCCATGAAGTGAATGTCATTGGAAATGAAAATTGCTTGCTAATATAGATTAAAGAAATTATTTTATCTCCCATCATCCTTTGTAGAACATGGTAGAGACAATAGTTTTATTAGGCTAAAGGTTGTTCTGCATTGTGAAGATACTTTTGGTATAAACCACTTTTGATTCCTCTGCTTACAATGCAACACATTATAAACCATCCCAATCACATTTACTATTTTCTGGAACTTTTTCAACTGCAACACCAAAAGCTCAGGAAGCAATACTGACAATATATTGGAAGAACACAATGTGGGGGAAGGTTGTTCCAGTTATCATAAAAGTAGTTATTCCATGGTGAAACTAAATAAATCATCAACATTTGGATTCTGCTTTGTTGAGCAGAACAAATAGGGCTGTTTCAGGAAATTTAAATTCCTTTCAATGCTACGTATTTTTAATTTTAACATCAAATGTTAGGGAAAGTAATAGCTCAGCCACAGCATTGATCATTGTTTGAATGCTGTTTCATGTTATGCATTCTTTATGCATATGCATTCTTTATAAATATGTAATTATGTATTTGATACATATGTATTAACCATATATGCTCCTGATACGTATAGAAGGAATATTTGAGTTAAAATGTAATTGGTTGAAACATGATTGTACATGTACTTTATATCCAGATGATGTGTTGCTGAGTGATGTTCAGTAAATATTAGATATATTGCAACAAAATACATGGCTTATTCAGTGTGGCTTATCAATGAGGCAGCTATGAGTGGGTTGTAAGTATATACACATTTATCTTGGTGTAAATCCTATTGAATTGAAATTAAATTATCTCCCTTTAGACATATCACTTTAAATGATCTTTGATTTTTTTTTAATGGGGACAGTTTTATCTTTGGATAACAATAATATGGAGATTCTTAGGTGATTCTGAAGATCCAGCAGTTTGTATTTTTTAAGTGCCTTGAAAACAAAGTAATATCTGTGTTATTATTTTATTGATGTATTTTGTTTTCTTTTTCTTTCTTTCCCTTTAAGGTCATTAGGTGATATAATTCGGATGCATATTATCAACAGGTGTGACCTTGATGAAGTAAGTAATACTCATAACCACTGCAATGTATTCCATGAATAGTCTTATGCATGTCTAGAAAAAAATATATCACAGTGTTTAGGCTGCTACACTTTTTAATTAGGAGAAGAAATTCAGGTGCCAAAAGCTAGAAAGAAATGAATTATAGGGGTAATAAATTCAAAAGAAAAAAGGCGAAAATGTTTTCGTATATCTCCAAAGTACAACTAAACAAAACAATGTTTGATTGAGTAGGTAGCAATCTGCATTCTGGAGTAGCCAAATGTGAATCTTTCTTGCAACAAAAAATTTCTGCCATTTGACTCAACAGATAATGTCAGAGAGAATGTTGTTAAATTGTAAACCCAGGGGGAAAATGCTCAACTTCTCCAAGTTTCAAAGCATCCTCTTTAGCATGAAGCCTATACTGATGGTACAAAGCACATGGTGAACAAAACTGGTGACAGTAGAAATACAAAATTGAGTGTGTAGGTGATAATTCTTCATAGCTTTGGGTTCTTTATATTAATTGAAAGAGTATATGCAATCAAGTTATTTTCGACTACTAGTAACGACATAGATTTTCTGCATGTCTGTCTGTGTCTATTAATCATTTATCTAAATTCCCTTTTCATCCATATGTATGGTGCGTATCTTCCTCAGTCTCGGGTCTCCTGCTAGAGACCTGGGAGTTTGAGGGTTCTGCACAGTATCTTAGCTGTTCCCTGCACTGCACTCACTTCTGGACAGAGAGCTCTGATGTTGTTCCTGGGATTCATTGGAGCACTCTCCCAGCTTACAGTCATAGCCCCAAATTCTCCTATTTTCCACATTCTCTCCAGGTCCTGGTACTTCTCTTTCAGGCCCTGGTACTTCTCCAACTTTTTCCTGATGTTGCTGTCACTTGGCATCACTGAATCTATCACTCCTACTGTCTTCTGGTCCTTATTTACTCCCATGATGTCTGATTGATTGGCTAGTACCTCCCTGTCCATGTGGATCTGGAAGTCACACAGACTCATAGCCCTATTATTCTTCATAACCTCTGTGGAATCACTGTGCAGATGTTCCTGAACACAATGCCAGCTACTTAGTTGTGCCGTTCAGGGTATGCTGTTCCTGCCTGCATCTTACACTCTGCCATTATGTGCTGGACTGTTTCTGAGGCGTCTCTGCATAATCTGCATTTGGAGTCCTGTCTAGTGTGATTGACTCCTGCAGAATAGTGCTAGTGCTTGTTCTTCTGTAGCCATGAACCTCTGGGCTGCCTTTTATTGCAGCTCTTTCCAGCCACTGGTAGGACTTTCCAACTCTGCAATGTCAGTTATCAATTGATGGTATATCCTTAGGCATATACCAAGAGATCTTGCCCAGCCCTGGCACTTCCGATACTTGATCTTCCACCCATATCTGCTGCTGTCTCAGGCATTATCTCAGCAGCTCATCTTTGGGTGCCTTCTTACTCCTGTATGCTCTGGGTTTTGTCCAGGACAGTAGTACATACACATATATTTCTTCTATTCAATTGTATCTGATTCTCAGAGACTGCCTGCACAAGTCTCTGAAGTTTTCTTGATAAGGTTTTTCAGGCGTGATTTGCCATTGCTTCCTTCCTAGGGCTGAGAGAATGTGACTGATCCAAGGTCACCCAACTGGCTTCATGTCCATGGCAGGACCAGAACTCACCGTCACCCAGTTTCTAGCCTGATGCCTTAACTACTAATTGGACCAAAAACTACTTCTTTTGCTGGATGTGTTGCAATGTTAATATGAGAAAAGAGGATGTATTAAATATACATGGAATAATTTTGCCAAAAAGATTTAATTAATGTTATCTGAAATACATACTTTTTGGAGGATGGACTCCTGTGAGCCACCAAATGTGAACAGCTTAAAAAAGTTACATATCTCAGAAAATCTTACCTAAATTGGCCCAATGTTTATCAGTTCCAAAGTTTAGTTTCCAACTGTCATCACAAAGAATTAAGGAGTTAATTCTCTGTGACCAAGAGAATTAATGGAATTAGGAGAAACTTCCTAACAGTGAGAACAATTAATCAGTGGAACAGCTTGCTTTAAGAAGTTGTGGGTGCTTTATCACTGGAGTTTCTTAAAGAAGAGACTGGACAGCCATTTGTCTGAAATGGTATGGTATAGGGTCGCCTGCTTGAGCAAGGGGATGGACTAGAAGACTTCCAAAGTCCTTTCCACCCCTATTCTCATTGATTGAGATGTTTCTAGGGGACACATCTGTTTGGTCATTTCTCCTACTGCTCTTTTCTTTCCTGGGAAGGAAAAAAAAAACCTACATTTTTATTGGCTTGCTGAAACACTAGTCTTTAGAAAGCAGGTTTTGTCACATAAACCTGGAAGACTTAAACTTCCAAAACTAATTGGGCAAAAGAAACAGCTATACACTATATTGGCATTCTTCATCAGCCTTCTGTAAAATTAGAGGTTATGTGAGACTTAACCAGATTTTCTATAAAGACAATTATGTGATAATCTAAGTAATTGCAGAATAATTGGATGGTAGAGTGGGTTTCTATGGGATCACTGCAATAGAATAGGCTATTTTAGCAACTGTAATGTTCAGACAATAGTGTAAATAGCATTCAGTAGACTGTACAAAATCTGTTAAAGAACAATTGAAACAGAATTTGGGTTAACTTCTATAGAAAATGGCACTTGGCAAAAATTACTTATAAAAGGCAATTGATTTGTAATGTGCCTCAACCAGGCAGTCTAGAATTCATCTTTTTAAAGGTCACATCCTACAACTATGGAGAGATTTTAGCTATAGAGAGCTTTTAATATTAGTATAAATAAATTGGTAACTGTGATAAAGCCCTGTAAATTCCTTACAGTAAGTGTCTAGTTTTTATGAAATAAAAAGTATGGATCTGAAAATTAATGTATCAAACACTAAGACAGTTGTGATTGACAGGAATGAACATTTGCAAATTATACATACATAATTAAAATTATAGCAAGGTAGATGAATTTATATATTGGTAGAATATTGTTGAAGATAGGGAGAAACTTTTAAGATGCACAAATGTTTTCATAAAGATGGGAAGAATGAATGTTTCTTGAAAAAGTAGCAAAAGTTACTTTAGCAGTACATAGCACCAGAAGGCAGGATGAGAAGCAATGAGTAGAAACTAATCAAGGAGAGAAACAACCTAGAACTAAGGAAACGTTTCTTGACAATAAGACCAATTACCCACTGGAACAGCTTACCTTCAGAAATTGTGGGTGAGATTGGACAGCCATTTCTCCAGAATGATATACTGTCTCCTGCTTGTGCAGGAGGTTGGACTAGAAGCGCTTCCAACTCTATTATTCTGAACATCACCTGCCCTTAGGGAAGTCAAGGTTGGGTACATCAGGAAAAAGGTAAAAGTGCTAATACTGGTTTCCTCCTGCAATTTCAAGAAAGTGTAAGATATATTCTGCAGTGTTCGACAAGCATCCCAACAGGTACTTAGACAATCCCTGTCATTCAGTTTTCTTTGAAATTCTGTTGGTTGATGATAAAGTTCTGAAGTAGAACGTTTGAAAAATAGATTTTTAGTACAAGCACATACCACTTTTATGAAGGGTGAGGGGCCAAATTTGGTCTTGAACAGCATGCTGAGAGCCACATTCCAAAAAATGGACAGGACATGAATAAAATAAAATTGACTTTAATTGAAAGCTGATAATGAAAACACCTTTCTGAGTTTAATCAATTTCATCTTGGTTCACATTAAAAATTATAAAGCTTTCCAGCCTGTATGTGGTTACAGTTGGACATTCCTGATCTGAATTACAGAGGTCCTATACAGTTCATGTACTTGACACTCCTCTTTACTCATGTCATTGGAGTATAAAAGTACTAGAAGTAAACAAATTGCAGCCTCATTAGAGAGAGGAAAAGAAGTAGAGAAGAAAGTTACACTGCACATCTCTGGTTCATTATGAGCTACCACATTGCATGAGATACAATGACATATTTGGACACTAGGAGCTCTTTAGGTTGAAATTATGCCTGTGCAGGACATATTTCTAGGGAATTAGTCTGACTTAAACATTTGGATATAGCTATAGTAATAATAAACAGCCCTAAGAGTCCAATTTTTAAAAATCTCTCTCTTTTCTTCCCTGTTTCCCTTCTCCACTTTTTAAAGGTAAAAATACAAAGAATTTTTCAAGCCCTGGAGGAAGATTTGAACATTTACACTCATCTGCCTGATTCTTCTGAGTTACACTGCCTTGAAACATGGGAATAGTGGCTTTAATATAAATTATACATTGGCCTATTTATAACCTTCTAAAGTATCGTATTCAAAGAAGAGTAAAGATTTCATAATAAGCATAGGAAGAAATTTACTATGCTGAAAGCAATTTACAATAAACCTTAATTAATCTGCTAATACAAATTAGACTTCTAAATTCATCTAGACAAGTATTTTTGTAGTCTGTATTTTAATGAAGTTTTCAATTCTTAAGAACACCAATCCTTTTTGATACATAATTGTACTTAAATAGCTCACAATAAGATACTTACAAACCTACTTCCACTGAAAAGAGAATTAGTATATCTAGACAGCAACTTGGAGATTTAGAGTTTTCTGTATCTCTTTGCTGCCATCTATTGCTCCTCCATATTTTTACAGTTCTGGAATTGTAACTCATGCAACTTATCTCGAAAGAACATAAAAGTTTATTTGCTATCTAATGGTCTGTCCAGACTTTTGAAGTCTAGCAATGTCAACCCTACCAGAACAACCATCTCAGATGTTGGATTGTGAAATCAAGTATAATGTATAATTCAGATCATCTTTATCTGGCAGCATTCATTCATTGTTCCTTATTATTTCATTGTTATAATTATTTGGCTGATAAGCTTTATTTTAAATAGCATTGACTCTTTAAGTAGCTTTCCTCATGTGATATTTACAACTTACATAAACAATTTGCACTGTTGTACAACATTTATGTATCACTGCATTGTTACAGAAAAATGATATCAGCGAAAGGTCAGCAGTGTGAGGTCTACCAGAACCCAACTGCCTGTTTCTTGAATCATCAATATCTTGTGATATTATCAACTAATAAGACTTGTTAGGGGACTTTGGTCATTAAAAAATTATATATATCTTTTTGGCTATGGAGATTCTCAGTCATTTTTCAAAAAGCACCTTTGAGACAATTTTTTTTTTTTTTGAGCTCATCCAATAGCCTGTAGGGTGATTCTATGTCAATTATTATAATTTGTTTGAAACGGTTACCTGTACCATATATTTTACAGTAGAAAAATGACACGAAGAGATTAAATACATATTAAGGTCTATTTACGTCTAAGTTTAATAGTGAAATTGTATAAACGTTCATTTAGAAATCCCGCTGAATTAAACATGCTGTACATTTAGAAAACTGGAGAACCTTCCAGAACACATTTAGTTATGTATATAGGAAAAAGAGGTTTCAAATAGATATTCTTCTTACAATGACCACACTAGTCTGCTACCTCCCTTATGTGAACTCAGTTCTAAAGAAACAGTGTCACTTTTTATCAAAATGAAAGCAATTGGGAAAAAGAAATTCAATCAGACTGATTTCAAAATACTTTAACATTTGTATCTATTGCAGGTATTCCATTTTCTGATGAAAAAATGCCAAAAAATATTGCAGATTACAGTCATGTGAGGGTGGGAACATTGCAGCTGGTCATAAATGCAAGTTGGTTGACAGTGCCTAAAATGTGATCATATGACTATGATGCGTATATGTATGTGTGGCAGTTGTAACTTTGAGGATGGATTGCAAATAACTTTGTAAAAATGTATTGTAACTTCAAATGTTTGTTAAGTGAAGATTATATGTAATATTGTAATGTCAGACCTATTATAAATGTTCTTTATGCATATGCGTGAAAACACATCAAGAAATGTTTCTTTGCTCTACATTTTAAAGGTTAAGATTTTTTTTCTCCTGCAGTTCCCACAAGAGCCAAGACCTAATCAGACAAAATACGTAATCTTTATCAATAGGTCAAACTCTCTATTGTATTTAACTGTGCTTGTCTTTATATATAAATACCATGCACGCTTTAAAATGAATGCACCATGTAAATTCCTTGTAGCTTTCTAGGAAATTGTTTAATTTATATTAGTTACCTAGTCCTGTTCTAAGCAGATTTAGAAAAACCATCCATCTAAATTATCTGAAAATTCTGTATAGGTGTTTAAGATTTAAATTGAAAAGATAAAGTTTTTCCTTTTAGCTCAACCCCCCCCCCTTTAATACAAAATCTGCATAGGTACCAGCATAGGTGGTGCAGTGGTTAGAATGCACTACTGCAGGCTGTTTCTGCTGACTGCTGGTTGCCAGCAGTTTGGCAGTTCGAATCTCACTGGCTCCAGGTTGTCTCAGTCTTCCATCCTTCCTAGGTCAATAAAATGAGGACCCAGATTGTTGGGGCCAATATACTGACACTCTAAACAGCTTAGAGCAGTGGTTCTCAACCTTTCTAATGCCGCAACCCCATAATACAGTTCCCCATGTTGTGGTGACCCCCAACCACTTATACATCACCGGGTGCCAGGGGCCTGGCCAAAGAAAAGGGGGAAAAAATGGTGGACAGCCTTGTTTGGTGACCCCCGTGAAATGGTCGTTCGACCCCCAAATGGGGTCCCGACCCACAGGTTGAGAACCACTGGCTTAGAGAGAGTTGTAAAGCACTGTGAAGTGGTATACAAGTCTAAGTGCTAAATACCATTTTTTTTCCATGTATAAGATGCTATTTTTTCCTGCAAACACCCTGTTCAAAAATTAGGTGCATCTTATACAAGTGCAACGTCTTATACACGAAAAAATAATGGTAACCTCTGCAGCCCAGGGCATATCTGTGTGGGTTCTTTACATGCCGCTGCCATCCACTTGGTGCAGGAGGATATCGCTGGCCCGAGATGCCGCCTGGATGGAGAGAAAGCCAGCCACCTTCTATGACCCATTTTTCACTGGCTCAGCTCGGGCTGAAGCCGCAAGAGGCTCCAGGAAGCTGCCTCAGTACAGTGATTGACGGCCGAGGGGGTGGGCGGGACTAAGCCTGCAGAGCACCATCTGATTGGAGGAAGTCGCCTCCCTTGTGTGATGGTTGGGGAGGTGTCTTATACAAGGTGCGTCTTTTAAATGGAAAAACACGGTATATATGTTTAAGTGTTATTGCTATTGCTGTTAATACTCTCACTCCCTCAAGATTCAAACAGCTCTAGAAAGGGATCATAGCAGTGTAGATAGAAGTATTAAACCCCTTCAAATAAGACTGAACAACAGTATCGTGACACTCATTCTTTCTAGACTCTTCAATACTTAATTCAATATAAAGTCACTTGATTAATTCCTCAGTTGCATCATGATTCAACTATTACATTACCGTAAATGCCGGCGTATAAGACGACTTCCGCAAGCGCTGAAATCGGCGCCAAAGACGGGGGTCGTCTTATACGCCGAGTCGTCTTATACGCCGGAAATACTGGTAGTTTCCGGCGTATAAGACGACGTTCTAGGAATGCGGCCCGGCTATAAAGATGGGGGTCGTCTTATATGCCGGGTCGCCTTGTACGCCGGCATTTACGGTAACTTGTCCTTTCAATTCAGAGCCAAGTACCTTCAAGACAATTTTGCAGAACTGGGCTGCAAAAATCTGGGCTTTCTAGTAGAACAACAGATCTGCTGTGTATAATTTTTATTAAGGATTTTGATTACAATAAAGTAAAACTTAATACAAACTAAACTTAAAGAAACTAAACAGAAAGAAAAAATACTAAGAATAAAAATGCAAGAACAAAGATGAGCATATGATAAGGAAACAGAAATATATAGACAGCTGACTTCCAACCTTCATTACAGCAGGTCTAGACAAATTTAATAACTGTTTTAAAGTTATTATAAGGTTACAAGCAAGTATCTCTTCATCCCATGTCACATTCTTTATACATTAAGCATCAACTTTTCATCCTTGGTGTCAGGCAGAATTTTCTGAAAGCTTTTTGTAGCCAAATATCCTACATGGGAAAAATCTGGATTTAACGTAACCAAACTCTGTAGTAGGCTTTGTTTCCAAAATACAAATTACTTTACAAAGATTGTTCTGTTCCAAAGTGCTCAACTTGCTTCCAGCTTATTAGAAATGATATTTGATATTGCATGGGAGGAAGATGGCTTGCACACTAGTTCTTTCCCTTTTTGTTCTCCTTATTAGTGTTTCATTAATGCAAACTGTCACTGAAACAATTGTATTTGGGCTTTATCTAAGGAGTGTTTCCCAGCCTGTGCAGGAAAAGCAAAAGAAGAGCAAGCTAATCTTAGCTATTTTTAAAAGGACTATATTTAAAACCTCAGGGTGCTGGGATATAATTGGTCATATAAATCAGCGCAACTGTTAAAGTAAATGAAACCAACCTGATTAAAACCAAGGCAAGTTCTGCTTCCAAGTTGTAGGCAATTCATGCCCTTTTGCAGCAGCTTGTTTTCTTATTATCTAACTGTTAAAACAGCTACTTTTTACTAATGAGAATGTTCCTCTTGGAGAAAATTCTGATACAGGTAATCCTCAAGTTACAAGCGTTCACTTAACAACCATTTGAAGTTACGCGATAAGCACTTCCTAGTGTTTACAAGCAAGTCCTGAAATTATGAATGTTGCAGCACTATGGCAGTTGTTCGCCCTTACGAACGACTACAGAGGCTCTGCAACATTCACCATATTCCCCCCCGCTCCCCACAACTGCTTCCCCCTCCCATTTCGCCACACCAGACTCACTTTCCTTGCAAAGATATCTCTCTGCCGCAGTTTCTTTGCCTTCAAGACAGAGGAGAGTCGATGGAAGCTCCTGGATGCCGTAATATCGCGCAAGTTCAGGCACCCATCCTCTTTTGCAGAGAATGGGTACCTGAACTCTTGCGAGATCACGGACCCCAAAAACTTTTATTCTTGGCACAAAAAGTGTTTGTGGTGCCTGTCTCCTGCTTTCCCCCCCCCAACTCCTTTCTACCACCATCGGAACATTTTTCGCCCAGATGGTGACCTGAAGGAGACTGGAGGCTTTGTCTGTGTGCAAATTGGGTGCTTGGAAATGGAGCAAATCATCCTATTTCCAAGTGCCCCATAAGCACTCAGACACTTTTTGCTCCGACGGAGACCTGACAAAGATCTGATGGAGACTGGAAGTTTTGTCTGCAAAAGAGGATGGGTATCTGAATTCGCAGAATATTACAGCATCCATCGACTCAGCAATCAAAGGCAATGAAACAGCAACAGAGAGGAGACAGATCTTTGCAAGGTGAGTCTGGCGCGGCACGAAGGGATGGGGAAGCATGAGGTATTTTAGTGGATTGGGAGGCCTTGGAGGTCTATTCCATCACTAGCCCCCCCCCATAGCCTTGTCCACCCTGAGATACCTCATGTGCACTTAACGAACCATGCATTCAATTAGTGAATGCTTGGGCAAAAGCAGGGAGTGATCTCGTTCAAGGTACGAGATTCACTCCTATGAATCCTCGAATTACGAATGGATTACATTACATTACATTTGTAATTTGAGGACTTACCTGTATATATTTATATACTGCATATGTGTGTGTGTGTACATATATACACACATCCCTTTCCCATTTACATCGACTATCCATTTTACAGTATTTTAAAGCTTCTACTTAAGATTTTCTCCATCCATATTTTTCTTAACATGTCTGCAAATCCCTAACCAAGGCTAATAGTTAATAAGAATAAATAGAGAGCTTGCATGTAGTATTTACATCAACTGAATATGAGGTAAAACAGGAACAAAGTATAATGGCTTTCATTGGATTATATCTAATACAGTGGTTCTTAACCTTTTTATACGGTGACCCCGGTCATAAGCAGGCGGCGCGCATGCGCAGTGGCGCCCCCTGCGCGGCACGCATGCGCGGTGGCGCCCTCATGCGGCGCCCCCTGCGCAGCACGCATGCGCGGCGGCGCCCCCTGTGCCAGCTGACGAAAAAAATAGTGGATCGCGTTGTTTGGCGACCCCCCTGAAATGGTCGTTGGACCCCAAATGGGGTCGCAACTCACAGGTTGAGAACCGCTGATCTAATATGTACATCATATATGACTGCAACAATAAAAATCAATAACTGTTCAGTCTAAGCATGCCTAGAGATATCCCTTCACTTGTATTTGCACTATATCCAAGGAAGTTTAGATGCAGATAGTTACCCTCCATAGAGATATTGTAAACAGACTGAGCAAGCTAGCCCAAGGTCATGTATTAATAGCCTTATCATGGATGCAGCAGCATCTGCAGCAGGATCAATGCATATACTACAGAGGCAGGCTTTCAACTGCACTACTGCCTGTGGAATTGTGACACCTCCCCCACTCTCCCCAATCCTTTGCAGGTGTTGTTATAGGGATTGGATAGTGTGAGCAATTTAGAGAAAACATGCTCTTTTTGACTCCATTCAATTTACTGAGAAAGAGTAAAATGTTGATTAAAATCAAGGGAAAAGTATCATGGCTTAATGCTTGAAAATATTATTTATTTATAGCAATATTTACTCACTTGTATACATGTTCAGTCTAAAAAGATATTAAGCATCATACACAAACACCAGAAACAATGCCAGAGCAGCATAGACAGTAATACATTTTACAGTTACAAACATTTAACATAAGTTAAGAAAACCTTAAGTTTGGTACCATAACATAATCAGGCTTGTCTCCCTGTTATAAAATGAACATTTACAAATATCTCAGGTCTTGCCAAATGTAATCTTATTCCACTTTCCATATTCTTTAAATAGCCCCTAATCAAGAGGCACTTTAATGCTTGTGGAACACCACCCCTGCCATAGATTTCCCCAAGTGATTTTGAAAGTGTGTTAAAGTTAATAATTTCTTTTTGAGAACTTTTGAGATTGTAGAGTATGTATTATTCTACATTCCAGGTTATAAATTTGTCCCAGCATTCAAATATACATACATTCATGGGTATATACTTGCCTTAGGGTAAATTGTCTTACAAAAAATTCGATATGCATGACAGAAGTTTCAGAAAGTGTAGAGAAGATGGTTAAGATGATAGAATTGGTCAACGGTTAAAACATTTGTAACATCTTGCATAAACATTATAAGAACAGGACAGCAAACAATTCTGAGGTTCCTACAAACATCTATCTCCTTGTGATTTATAAAATCTGCCAGAAGATGTCACTCTTGTGACATTTCTCTTACAGTATTTTACTTTGTGCAAAAATCTATGCATCACTGAAAGTAAAATATTAAGCAATGTGTAAAACTAACTTATTAATTTGTAAGGTGTAATTAAGCAACTTAAGAGTGAATTGACTGAAGCAATATAAAAGTACTCAGAAAAACTGACTAATCAGCACTAATTTAACCAATCTGCATACTTAAAATACCTGTCAACATAATTACTGACAGAAAATGTGTTAAATTTATATTCTGCTTTTTTGTTGATCCAGGTAGAAACTCCAGTGGTGTTTTAGCTATTGAAGACAATTGTATTGCGAGGTAAAGCAAACTATATGTCTGAATTCTCAGCATCTTGTTACTGCGAAGCCAGAAGTAAGCTTCAAAAGCTACACTTGGATTTCAAAAAGAATTTCCCCTAGCAATTCCTAGCATTTTGCTCACTGAAGCAATTTACTATATTTTCTAATGACTTCTGCTAGCAAATGTACCAGTTCAATAATATCTGCATATCTGCAGAGATAGGACTACTAGATCCGGGCAGCAAACTCCAGATATCATCAGAGGGCAGCCAGGAGTCAGATGTATCTGTTTTCTGCCATTTAATGATCATCTGGGTTTCTGCATCCCAGATCTAGAATCACTGTAAATTAATTCAAATAACCAAACTTTACATTTACAGCACTTAAAGATAAAATTTTATTTGATTGTTGGGTCTGTAATATAGCAATCCCATGTGGCAATATGCTGTTATTACCATGCTTCTAACTGGCTCATCTGGGATGGGATGATTCAAAACAGGTATTTGTATCTTTCTTTCCTTCATAGGGGTAAGGATGTGTTTTTTTCTTAATGCCTACATCCAAATACTGCTTTGACTAATGATGAAATTATGTGCTATCATACTGCTGTTGATGTGTACCTCCATTGGGATTTGGGTTGATCTCTCTCAACTTGGTCCTTCACACAGGTCCACTTTAGATGATATTATAATAAAAAGATATGTAAACTCCTGTTTCAAATATTATTCACTACATAGGCTTGGAAGTTGAGAAGGCTTGGTTTTAAAGATTGTTTGCCTGGTGGGGAGTAGTGGGGTGTCATTTATTAAGGCTCTATAAGCAGCAAGCGACTCATCGCCCTAGTTATTGATAACCTTCTGTTAACACTCTTATTTTCTTGAAGAATAAAAACAGAAAAACTAATCCTGTAAATACTATTCAAATAAAATGAACTAAATTAAATAGTAAAACAATACAAAGAGCTAAAATAAACAAATGGAATAAGGGGGGGGGAACTACAATAATTTGGAACTGAGATGTCTTTTTATAGTACAAGAATGTGAGTTACAGGTTAAACCAGTTTTTAAGTGAGTCTGTTTAAACAGGTTTGATAATTTATTAGGTTTTTATCCCACTTTGTATTTTTGGTCAGCTCAAGGTGACATAACGTTCCTGCCTCCTGCTTTCCCAACAACCCTGTGAAATAGAATGATCTGCAGGAGATCTACCCAAACAGCTTTCATGTTTAAAGGAGGATGAGAAATCAATCTCTGAATTTCTAGCCCAGGACCATAACTACTACCCTGTGCTTCCAAATTTTCCTTTCTATTGATTTAGGACCAATTCAAAGACTGATGATTGCAGTTTGCCTTTATAATCTTGAAGAAAACTTGCATGCCCTATCTTAAAATATTCCAATATAAAATTTATCTTGAAACAGTGTTGGTCTAGATGTGCTGCCCAATACAACTTTCTTGGTGCTTGCCTTTTTCTTCTTTTTCAAAATGTCCAAATAAAGACTCGGGGACGGGGCTAGCAGGATTTGGGCAGTGGCTATTCGTTTTTAATTTGTATTTATTATTTTATATGTCTGCATCATCTCACTGTCAAGCAACACTATTTTTGTTTAAAAGGCGCTTGGAAACAAGACATAGTATATTTAGGATTTACTTTTTCCAGAAAGGGCCTTTTTCTCTGAAAATATTAAGAAAAATGGCATTGATTACATACAGATATAATGCTAAATTACAGTTCATGGTTCATAGCCAGCTTTTTTTTCTGGATTGTCTAATATCCATAGTTGTCTGAACTGTATCCATATATTAGCAATTTCTTCAGAAAGTGAAGTTCCTTTACATTGCCATTCATGATTTTCACAAAAATAAATATAATTTAGGAATTTAGTAAAATGAAATTGAATGTTTTGGTAAGTGGAGCAACTTAGCTATTCATTTTCTTCAAGCTCCTTTATTCAGGTACACATAGAAAACCACAACTTACTGTTATATACAAAACCTCATAGCTTGTAAAAACCTTTTGTGGCTACAAATATGTCCTTATAGATGCATATCCCAGAATGTTGGGATCGCAATATCAATAGCACTTAGACTTATATACCTGCCCCACAGTGCTTTTTAGCATTCTCTGGCCAGTTTACAGAGTCAGCATATTGCCCCCAACAGTCTGGCTCCTCATTTTACTGGCTTCAGAAGGTTGGAAGGCTGAGTCAACCTTGAGCTAGTCAGGATCGAACTCCTGGCAGTGGACAAAATAAGCCTGTGTTACTCTAACCACTATGCCACCCCAGCTCCTAGGATCAGACATGGCTTCCTTTTGTTACCCATGCAATCGTAAATAGGATTCTTCCTTTGCATCAGATATGGACTTAAAGAAGCTTATGAAGACATTCTTAGCATTTCATTCTGAATCATTCTTTGCTGCTGGGATTTCAAGTCTAACACCAACCCAGTCCTGGTTCATTGTACATGGCAGGCTTTGTCCAAATCATTTTCTTTTGTACTTGGAAAGTATCTTATATCAAGATGGTTGGTAGGTCGTTCAGCAACCTTTTGAGATGACAGGCTAGAGATGGAAAGGGGAGATCTGGGAATAAAATCCTGATCCAAACTATCAACTTGATCATGGTTCATCTGAAACATACATAAGAAACAAGGTATTTCAGTTATGCAAAGAAAATGTAAATAAAATTTAGCAGTGAACATCAGTTTTGTATTTTAAATGAAAGTAGCAGAAAAATTAATCCTATTCGCTTGTTGATTTTTCTGTTTATATGAAACCTGTTGCCTCTTAGATATCTCTTAGAGAGATAAGCTTCTTCATTTCTTAAGCAGAAGTTTGGCAGATGCATCCTTCCAGAGGTGAACCAATGAAGTTATTTTTTGATGTTAATATAATAGGCTATACTTGGTATCCATAAATTTGGAAAATTTGAGAAGGCAAAATTAATTGGAAAATGCCAATTAATTGGCATTATTTGCTCTTGATTTAGAGCATGAACTTGCCTCCTCAGACACTGTTGATGCCATTAGCATTATTCTCAAAGTATGTACACAAATCTGTCCAAGAGCTGGGTTCCATACTTGAGTCCAGAAAGATGTTTAGGATTCCATCCTTGTAGAAATCAGGGGATATGGAACTAAAGACAATCCATCTCTCTAATAATCTCAATGCTAGGGAATACCTTGCTTTCATTGATTTGTTTGGCAACTTTCCTATTTTTTTTTCTAAAGATTGTCAAGAAGTTTCTAATTGAGTGGGCTTTGGGGAAATGAATTGTTTAGTCTGAGTGTTGATTTCTGAGTTTGAATCTTGGTTTTATGATGAAGCTGGACCATTGTTTTTATCTTTTTGTATATGAATTGTTGAGCATCATGTTTTCATACACTGTTGTATTTGTTTACCCCGGTGGGATTTTACTGAATTTATTTTTAGACATTGTAAGCATCCTGAATTCATGGAAAATGGATAATATAGAAATATATGTGGTTATGAAACCAGCAAGTTAATCAATCCCACTCAGGAACCATGCATTCACAAACCTTCCGCACAGGGAGTTTCAAATTTAGCAAGCAACATGTATTGGAAAACTGCCTTCATACATATGCTGCCTAACATTACTAGCATTTTTACTCTTTTTTTAAGAACAGTTCCATTTTTCCAGTTTCATACAGGATTTATAGTTTTCCTACTTAGATTTAGAATTTTTCTAAACCAGCAAGTTTAGAATTTATTCAAAATATAGTTTATTCCAGACTCGCCCCCCCTAGCTTTTGAAGTCCTTTATATCTGATAGGCATCATATTGGAAGTTCATGTTTATCAAGTAGGCAGCAATTTTGTAAGCAGTTGTGAAACAGACATCTGCTTTAGGCACTCCATTTATTATTGTTTATCCTTAAAATTGATAAATGAATTATAATTTTCTGAGCACTGTGCCTTCAAGAAGGAAAAGAAGCAATACAAGAACATTCCATACATACATCACAGGCATACATAGGAAGAATATTTTTTTAAGATTCCATAATGTAGTGAGATCAGGAAAACACTATGGGAGATCTCTGCTGCCTTTATTCACTTTTTGTCTTCATCCTAAATATGTTTACAGCTCGTTGATAAGTCACTCTTAGGAGCACTTGGAAATATTAACTAATATTAATATTGAATTTCTCTTATTTGACACATTCAAGCTGATGTTTAATAATGCTGGTTACCTTTTGTAGTCTGCTGCCCTCTGCTGTTGTTTTAAGATTCTCTGTCTTAACCTTCTCTGTTATTTGTGAGTTATCAATAAATGTTGGCGATTTCAAGCTAGGACTGAAAAGGCAGGAGTCCATTCTTGGTTCTAAGGATGCTTGATGAGAAATGCAAGGACAGCTGTATTCTGGAAGGATATAAAAAACACTTGAGAAAATTCCTTATACATTTAGTAGGCTATGTAAAAAAGGGAAAACAGAAGATTAGTGTCAGCAGACCATCATGCCAGTTCTGGGAGACCACAACATCCAGTGACTGTGCATATTTATACGAAAGGATTTCTATCTCTAGAATTTGATTGGGGCTTGAAAAACAATTTAATTCAATTCAATTTAATTCAATTTAATTCTAACTTAACTTCTGTGGACCTCCTAGAAGTTTTTAAGTGTGCGTAAGTGCGCTGGTGTGCCTATTGTCCCTGTCACATTTTGATTTTCTTTGTTTGCATTTGTAATTTTTGTTTGATGAATATAAATAAATACATACATACATACATATATACACATACACATACATTTTCCACATGAGTATAAGATAACTTGAAAAAATTATCTCCTTTGGTCATCACCAAGTCGGAAACTTCCAGACCTGCCTGTGTACTGCTAGAATACAGAAGACTGCCCTAGGTATACTAAGGCTGCAGTTATCTCCATATTTACCTGAGTAACTTCCAGTGAGTTAGTGGGGCCTAACATTTCTATTTTACTTTTTGAATTGTAATTAACCTACATTTCCCTTCCTTACTGAGGAAAAGGGGAAACTGTATGGTGTAACTACACTATGAAGTTGTGTTAAGTGATGTAAGATTCACCTACATTTCTCAATGCTCCTTTTGTCTCTGGCTGCGGCTAAATACACTAATAAATAAATAATCCACAGTCAGTTTGCTAATTTACTTCTCCCTTAGGCATACCAATCCAGCTACTGTATGATCATTATCATCATAAAGCAGATGGCAAAATGGTCTGGCCCAGGGCTCAGGGAAAGAGCCAGGTTTTCAGGGGTTTGTGGAAGGTCAGAATGGTCAGGGCTATCAAAAACTATATTCCACAGAATTTATGCTGCAACAGAAAACATGGCTTCCATTTTTATGGAAGAAATCCAAAGCATTCTCACTCTCCTAGATCTCACAGAACAAAAACAATTGGCGTCATAAGAAACTTGGCTCTTTGTAGAGAGCAAAGAAGATGATCTTGATGGAGATATCTAAGATTCATCACTAAAGTGACCAGGAGTGAACCGTATTTTAATTCCACAACAGAGAGAAATTATGCAGAAGAAGCTCAGACAGACACTTCCCTAATTTACATGGGTACATGGAGGGAGAGGAGGTAACAGCATTAAAGTCACTTTCAATAAAAATAATTGTAACCTTCCTGGGGACCTGGGTTTCCTGGTTTGTTCTATCTCAGTGATGGCAAACCTTTTAGAGACCGAGTGCCCCAAAACCGGCCCTCCTTGCCCGCCCCTGCTCCGCCCCTCATCCCTGCCCACTCTGCCCCAGCTCTGCCCCCACCTGCAGGGCCATCCACTGCTTCTATGGCCTGCCGCAGATCACCCAGGTGGCCCAGCAGTGCTATGGCAGCCATGCCTTCCCCCTACGCCCCGTAGCATCAACTGCATGCAACAGGGCTCAAGGGCGGAGTCATGTCCCTGCTGCCTGGCTGCCATGTTCTTGGCTGCACTGTTCCGCGCGGGCCATGTTCGAGAGTGACTCCGGGGGGGGGCTAATGGGAGGAGGGGGCCATGGGGAGGCGGGGCTGGTGTGAGTGCTCATAGAGAGGGCTCTGAGTGCCGCCTCTGGCACCCGTGCCATAGGTTCGCCACCACTGGTCTATCTGATGGGCCTGACAGCATGTATCATGAAGGGCTCTTCAATGATAAGCAGCACTTTCCAACTGCTTGATGAAATACTAATCGCTCAGAGTGCTGTAAAGTACTATGAAGTGGTATATAAGTTTAAGTGCTACTCCCTTTCATCTGTGCTGCATCTTCCCACTATTTACATTAATTAAAAAAGGGAGAAAAAAGTAGTAACATTCTAAACCATTCATAATTACAGAAGATAACTATTAAGAATACTTAAGTTTTTCAAAGTGAATTCTCACCATTGATTCTGTTTTCTTCACATCTTTCTCCCTTCTTCATGATCTTAGGCACATCTGCTCTTTCTGTAAGAAGCCCGTTGATTTCCACTGGGTTTTGAAAACTTCTGAGAGAGGAACTGGTGTCATTTGATAACCGCTTGAGACAAGTGTTTAAAAGCGAGACCTGAGTCCTTAGCATCTCATTTTCTTCTTCTAATTTATCATGCTTAATTAACAGTGCACAATATTTTTCCAAATTGTGATTTGCCTCTTTGGTTTTCTCCTCAACTGATTCTTTCAATTCTTCTAGCTCCAACCCGATTTCTTCTGCACCAACATCCACCAGAAAACCTATGCAAAACAAGGGGGGTCATTACTAGGAATTAATAAATTTACTAAAATAAATCTTGCACTCTTATATATGGGTTTTTAGAACGGTTGTTCAAATAGGACATGGAGGACAGCAAAAATGTATCCATGCATTTACATATGTCCTTTCCCTGTTCATTCCCAAAGAGGTGTAAGAAGGCCTTCCCTTTAGTTACCACCATGGAGATGAGAAAACAAGTACTTTAGCAGAGACAGGAATAAAAGATACTTTGAAGAGATATTTATAGATAAACGCTCTGCTGGTTCTATATAATCCATTTAAATCCCTCCACAACAAACATTTTTTCTTTGCATTCTATTGACACCTGTAGCTACTGATGGAAAAAGTCTGTTTTCTTTCAAAACATGCTACGTACGTGGAGCAATCATCTTCATCTGAGTTTCAAGTTCACAAATTTGCTTCTCCATTACTGCTTTTTCCTGCTTTAGAATTTTATAGGCGTTCAAACACAACTGAACTGAATGACAGAAAGAATCATATTCTTCTTTGAGTTGAAGAATTTGATTTAGGCTGTTTGCCTGCATAATTAAAACAACATATATGTATTTATTGCAATAGAAACTTTATATAATTAAAACAAAGTGCATTGGATATTTATTCAGTTCTGAATCTAGTTGTTTCTAATATGTCTTCTTCTGATTAAAGCTTATGTGGTCTTTGAACTTAAATTATCTCAAGCATTACCTGTTTCTATTCCGGCCAGCTGATTTTCCATTTGATTTTAACTGCCAGCCCCTTCATTACATTTGCAATTTCATCTCAGATGCAGGGCTTTCTCTGGTGACAGCAAGAGTGTTTTTGAAACACCCTCCAAAAAGTAAGCCAAATGCTTACTTTGTTTTCTTTTTTACACTGAGTGAAAATGTTTTTATTTTTCTCAAGGTTTTACTTTGTATATCCATCTTGTAATTATAATCTATTACCTTTAATCACATAAGGTAAATATCATTATCATTATCTAGGTTTATAAGGCTGCCATTTCAAAACAACTTAAGGTGGTGTACAAAACTAAAAACCAAAATACAAACATGTAAGATAAGCACAAGATAATTATATCTTCTAGATGATTTGGATTCTATTTTCAGAATTTCAAGCCACCATTGCTCATCCAATTCATACTGAGAGCATCAGAATGAGAAACATTGCTGTATAACAAATGGGCTTTACATCGACAGGTGCTGCAATTTTTGGCATAGTTACCTAGAATCAAGCCCCAATGAACACAGCAAGAACTGTGTTTCTAAACTGTGTTTAGTAACTGTTACAAAATTTCCCTCAGTACAGAGATCCTATTTTATACAGATGCTTTTACTCTCCAGGATATTCTACCCATGTTGTATACAAATTGTACAATACCTTTTCAAAGATGGCTTTTTCACATGGTGTGACTTCTAGATTTTCTTCGATAGGTTTGAAAGACACCTGTAGGTCATTTTGGATAGCTTGCAAAGATTCATTTTGGAGCAATGGCTCAGAAACATTTTCATTCAGTGTTTGCTTGAAGCTTTGTAATTCCTGGATGAAAGCTCTCATCAACTGCTCTACAGTAGAGCTACTGGATTGTGCTTCTTGCAGATAACCAACCAACTGCATATTGTCATGTTTGAGAGAAGTAATTTCACAAATGAGATCCTGTTCTTTTGATTTGAAAGTTTCTTTCTCACTATAAAGGAGTTTAATTTCTTCACAGAGCTTTTTTAGCTGTGATTCCATCAATCTTAATGCATTTTCACATTCACCTCTAATTTGCACCTTCTCTTTTTCATTATCTTTCAGTTGATTTATTAATGTAGAATTAGTAACTTCTAAACTAGTTACTTTGTCTTGTTTTTCTTTCAAGTCTTTCTCTAGAGTCTCTTTCTCTAACTTAAAGACTTCGGCTTCACCTTCTAAATGTTGTTGCCTCACACACATTCTTTCTATGTCAGTCTTTATTATTTCAGTCTCTGCTTTAGCTGTCTCCATTCTAAGAATTGCATCTTCCAAATTCTCCTCTGACATATATAATTCTCTTTCCAGATATTCAATTTTGTCTGTGAGAGCATCAGCTTTTCTATTACTTTCTTTCAACTTTTCAGCCAGATAATGCCTGCTCCTTTCATCAGATTCTATTTTTATTTTCAGCTTTTCAATGCCCTGTCGCAACTGATCTGCTTTTACCTGTGCAGAATTTAGCCTTGCTGCAAGTTCACCTTTTTCTACTAGTGATCCTTCCAAGGACTTGGATATCTTGGCATTTTTGGCTTCAAATATGCTTAGCTTGCTGTGTAAAATTTCATATTCTCTAAGGGTCACTTCTCTTGCGTCAGTCAGATATTTGATTTGAATTTCTGCTGCCTCTTTTTCCAACATGAGATCCCTCATAACTCTGTCCAGATTCTGGAACTGCACCACATAGCACACATTTTCAACTGATAATTGATCCTTTGCGGCCTTAGCAGCTGGAAGGAATTTTGCTTGGGTTTTCCTTTCTGCTTTCAATACTTTGATAAATTCAATAGAATCCATTTGATTTGAGTCAAACTCTTTTATATTCTTCTCCATTTTGCTGCACAGCTGATCCAATACTTCTTTATCCCTTAGCAAAGTAGTCTGATTGGATTGGTTTCTCTCTGCAGTGATAATCTTTAGCTGCTCATGAAGGCCAAAAATATTTTTTATCTTGATTTGTTTTTCTTGCTCCAACCGCTTGCTTTTTGATAAAAGCTTTTCAGTATCTGTCTCCATGGCCAAGGTATAAGTTTCACAATTTGTTTTCTCAGATTTTATCCTGCTCAGTTCAGTTTCAGCTTCAAAAAGCTTCTGGGTATTGTCTGCTTTGATCATTTGTAATTCTTCTAAAGTATGTGTTGCATCAGGCAATCTGCTTTTATACATTCCCCATTCCGATTTTACCTTATTCAGTTCTAGCTCACGAGTCATAAAGTTAAAAGATAATTGTTGTGTATCAAAAGGTACTGTTTGGAGGACCTCATTCAAGTCTTCCTTTTCTTGTTCAAGAACCACAGCTCTTTTGTTACATTCCGCACACGCAACCTCTTCAGTCAACTCTGTATTTTTTGAATTCAAATCTGAATGCAGATACTGAACTTCCATGTTAATTATTTTGTTGCTTTCCTCTACATTGTGGAAAAGCTTAGAATTGTTATTACCAGCTTTCTTTATTGATAACCAAAGCATTTCAGTGGCCTTCTGGTTTTCCATGGAGTTTCCCAACATGTGTGTGCTGATATTTGAAGGAAAAAAGGATGACTCTAGAGGACATCTTGAAGAATGTATGGATCGGTCATTTGCTTTATTGATATGTGGGAAGTATTTTTCTGTAGATGTTATATTTGCTACATATGCAGAACTTTTTTGTCTTCTGTTTGCTTCATAGATTTTTACTGCTTGATCATTTATAGCTTTTAGTCCAAGGCTTTCCCCAAGAAAGCTATCCATTTTCAAATAGCATAAGGGATTAGGCGGTTGATTAGCAGATATTGGCTAAAGTGGAATAAAACAAAAGTTATTTTCATCAAATGAAAGTTAGTTGATAATTAACAAACTATTACACTTATGCCAACCTTGGGAATGTCTTCCTCATATCTTCATCATCATCTACCCATCAGTCACTCATATCCTAGTCAACTTGTGATCTGACTACTTGAACATGCTTTATATTGAGACTGTCCTTGAAGATCAGAAGCTTCAATAGTTCACCCTGCAGCAGATCAATCAGTGATGGGCATGCTTTGGTATTTCCATGAGGCTCCCCAGCTTTGTGAGATGCACTGGTTACCAGTTTGCTTCCAGGCATGATTTAAGGTGCTAGTTATGACTTATAAAGTCCAACATGGTATAGAGCCTAGTTACTTGAGGGATTGTCTATCTTCCATAACATCTGCCTGGGAATATCCTAGGAAACCAGGAGCATGACTTTTCCATATTAATACCTGCCCTCTAGAATGAGCTTTCCTCTGAGTTTTAAATAGCCCTCGCCCATGATATTTCAAAGGACCCTGAAGAAGTAGTTCAGTCATTGTCCAGGCCTTTGGTGATGGTGTGATGACCCAGGGCCCCAAACGGAGGCAAAACAATTAGCTGGTCAGAATAATTGTCTTTGTAAGCACTGCCAACGTTCACCCAACAGCCCCCACATATGCTAGCACAAGTTCAATAAAACAGTCAATGGAGTTAAACAGTTCTTTAAAGTAAAACAGATGACAAAGTATGATCTTTTCAAGCTCAGCTTGCCTGTAACCTGCAAACTGCAAAACTGAAGACAGCAAGGAAAACTCAGCAGGAAACAAACTTGATCCAAAAATACAAAGAGTCCAGGTACAAGAGCTCATATCACAAAAGTTCACATTTGTTCCCGGCAAATGCCCCACCCCACAGCGTCTCCTTAAATACCTACTCCCCAGGTGTGTCTTGTGAAGTGGGGCGTGAAGCTCTCCTCCCGAGCAAGTGAGCCTGGCTCCGTTGTTCCCTCCTCCTCTCTGTTCTCCTTGCTCTGGGATCTGGTGGGTAGGGGCCTTGCTCCTCGCCTGAGCTCTGCCTTCCCTGTTCCAAACTTGAAGGGCCCTGGCCTGCTTTGGCCTGTTCCTCCCCACAGTCCTCTGAAGCCAGACACCCCCTCCTGGGCCTCAACAGGGAACTCCATGTCATCCTCAGAGTCAGGCTCCGAAGGAGGCATGACAGATGGAAAGTGAGACCCCTTATTTCATTCCATCCAATCTGTTATTCTTGTCACTTTTTTATACCTTTCATTGTAATTTCTTTGATTGTTGTGAGTCACTCAAAGTTGTTGGGAGTTGAGTGGCATACAAATTTAATAAACTGCTATTAATATGGTCAGTTATACATACAACCAAATGTTTACACTGGATTTGGCACTTTTATCCACCTATCAAGTCTTTCCCAAGGACCAGAGATAGGCAAATGACAACATCTGCCTATCCAAGGTCCTTGGGAAGGACTTGATAGGTTGATAAAAATGTCAAATCCAGTCTGAACATCTGGTTGGCTGTGCAATGAACCATATTAAAACAGAAATGAGAAACCTTTTCCTACCCTGAGAAATAATTTCTCAGGCCCGATGTTGGCGGCATCACCTTTTTATTTCTGACCCTCTTTCTAGCAGGTTTTTCTAGCAGGATTACTTTGTCTGCAATTAAAACAGAACTTTGGGGTGGGGAGGAAGAGGGGAAATATTGAAATTAGTTTGTCATACATGGGCATTTTCCATGTACTTCCCATGTTCTTCAGTGCTATTAATCCCTCTCGAGGTTTGGTTTAATGGTTTTAGTGCTATCTCTACAAACATGTCATTAATTTTGTTCAAATGCTTTGTTTTTAATTATTGTATGTTTATATTACATTTTATTGAATTCAATTCATGAAGATACAGAGTACAAGACTGTAGAAATAAATATAGTTAAATATTTAAATTGGTAGAAAAACATAACGAAGCAAAATAATTGGGTTTTTCCCTTAACAGAATTGTTATCACAATGGCATGTTCCAAGACATGAAGAAAATATTTGCTGTTCTAATACTGTTGTTCCTATTAACTGCTTAGACATCTTGATTTTCTTCTGAATAAGCACTGTGGTGCTTCCAAAGTGTATATTCTATCCTCTGTATCTCACATTAACTACTAAAGTAGGCTCACTTTGTGAGCACATGTAAATATGTGTAATTTTATAAAGCCAGAATGGGATTAAAATTATGCATATTGACAGCTTTCTTCAATCTACTGTTCTACAAGTGTTGCTAGGACTACATGAATCTATACCACAAGAACTAATATTTATTAACTTAGAACAGGAAGAGTAACAAAAATGGCTTATTTTTTTTTAAATGGCTGGAATCTCAGAAACATTTAATTTAATTGGTGCAAATTCAAATTAGTAAGTTAGCTATTCTTTTAGAATTGAGATATAAAAACAAATATTCAACTACTTCTGATCACAAGGCATCAGTTTTCAATGCTGTTAAAAACTCTGTCTTCAAAGCAAAGTGTAATTAATTCCATGTTTGTGTTTTGGGAAAGGCCTACGTTAAGGCTTTCTAAGTTCTTGACCAGCATCCTCTCAGTCATCAAGCAAAGTAACCCCTATTGCCCCACAAAAGAAGGAAAGTCAGGACAGGGATATTTCCTTGAATATGCCTAAAGAAATTCAGTCAAATTAGGCAAACTTACTTGGCCAGCATCAGCACAAATTATTGGATGAAAACTTAAATCAAGGTCTTGTAGTTCTCCTTGTTTCTGAGAGAACAGCTTAGGAAGTTTCTTCTCAGCTGGAAGTTCAGAAACCACTTGCAGGATCACTTTATGAATTTTTTGTTGCCAGTGGTCATTGCCAGATATACTGCCCTTTCGTAGACCATCTACTTCCTTCTTTGCAGAAAGGAGCAGCTCTTGAATCTTCTCTATTTCCTTACTTTCCAGAATCTTCTGAGATCTAAATGATTCCTTAAGCACCTTAAAGGAGTGTTCACAATATTCACATTGAAAATGTTTGGACATAGCCATTGGTTTAGTGAGAAAGGCCCAGGCATCATCGCTATATAACTCATCAGCAATATTAAATTGTTCAAAAGAATCTTCCAGATCAATTTGTCGTCCCACTTCATTTGATGACACACCATTTTCCAAATCAGACTCCATAAACATTCGTTTTGTATGGGAGAAGACTTCACGATCATACAGAGTTTCCATACAAAATTTTCCATATGCTTTAAATTCTTTATTGACTGAGCTTTGCATCATCCGTACTGGAAAAGAAACTAGCTCGGCTTTGTTGAATATTGGCAACGCAATAGTTTTATCTTTAAGCATCTCATTGCAGGATTCCAACTCTGACAATTCAAAGGCCACATTCAGGTTTTGAACATATAAAATTTCATATTCTTTTTTCAAAGAAAAGATCTTTTCCTTGATTTCATTCAACTGTGTTTTGATTTCTTTGTTAATTAATTTCAAATATTCGTAATCAAATTGCATATAACCCTCTGGAGTTATTAAGGGGACTTCCTTCATATCAGATTGTGCTTCCATTTTACTCTTATCTTTTAATTTATCAGAAACAGAAATAGTCTTTACTTTCAGCCTATCCATTTTTTCTATTAATTCTTTTCTCATAATATCTGTGTTTATGATGCATTCCAACTGTGAGTCTTTCAGCTGTGATGCTAATGCTGAGTCTTCTTTCTGCAGGTGTTCACACATTTTCTCCAACTCATTTAGCTTGCTCATTGTCATGTGTAGGGAGGATACTAATTGGAGATAATCATTTTGGCTGGGCATCAGATCATGAGGAAGTGATGAACACTTGGCATCTTTCTGTAGGTTAAAATTGTCCTTGATTACAGCACTGAAACACATTGGTGATTGGTCATCTTCACTGATCTCTGTTATCTTTGAGGCTGAATTTTGCAAATCTTTAAGTGCTTGTAATTTATGCAGCAACTTCTCTTTTTCCATTTCACTTTCTTCCATTTTTATCTCCCTAATTCTCAATATCATCTCCAAGTCCTTTATCTGATCAGCATAATTTTCTAAAGAAATTTCTCTGTCCTCAAGGTCCATTTGAAGCAGTTCAAGCTTCACCTGACACTTCTTAACTTCATTCTCTCTTTCTTCTACAAATACCCTCAGCTGTTCTAATGCTGGTTCGTTTAAAACAAAGTCAAGTGCTGCATGTTCACTTACTTTCATTTCTGAGATCAGTGTTTGCAGCAAGATATTTACAGAAGGGCGCCTATTATTTTCTCCTGTTTCCTCCTTTCTTAAACTATTAGTTTCTTCAGATACTGAGTGATTTTTTTCAAGTTGCCATAGCAAATTATTCTTTTTCTTCTCCAAGGACATTGGCTTAGTCTGCAACTGCTCACATTTATTCATAAGCGGTTTCTTTGGTATATCAGATATGGCTTTTTGTACCTTCAAATGGCAAGTCCGATTCCTTATACTTCCTAAATAATCTTCCTTTGTACTTTTCCTTTCTACTTCTTCATCAGCTTCTGGCAGTAATAAGCTCGCTTCTTGCTTTCCTTGTGACCACTCCAAAAGGCTTTCCCTCCATTCTCTAAAACTTTTGGAAATTTCTTGCTCCATGTTTAAGACTTTTTCTTCCAAAATATTGACAGTATTTTCAAACATGGAATTTTCATTTGGAAGTCCTTCAGTTTCATCTCGTTCTGAGAATATTTTGGTAGATACATTTGTTTCCTTTAAGCCCATGACTTTTAGGTGCTGGATCAAATCCTTAAGCAGCACATTGCTCTCTTTCAAATCCTGAATCTCTGTTTGTTGCCTATTTGATTCCTCAATCAACTTTTGTAGATTCTCGTTTTTTCCTTCAAGAGCTGCTAATGCTTTGGAAAGTAGGCCTTCCTTTTGGAAAACTGTTTCTTGTAATTCACTGATATGCTGCTCCATCTCCTGAATGAAGATCTGTTGCTTTGGGTCTTCTTTTTCAGCTAATCTTTCCATTTCATCTCTGGTTTGGACCAGTTCTTCAACCTGTTTCTGAAGGAATGCATTTAACTGCACATAAGAAGCTAAGGATGTTTCAAGTGAGACAATACATTTCTCCTTTTTTAACCCTTCATTTGCTTCAGAGTCGAGCCTTTTCTGCAAGATGTCCATTTCTCTAGTGAACTCAAATAATTTCAGTGAATTGTTTTCTCTCTCTTTCTGTAGTTTTTCCTCGGACATTGCTGTTCTTTGCTGGAGGTCACTATAGGCTTTTCTTTGTGCCTCTAGTTCAGTTGTTTTATCTTTTACCACCTGCTCAAAAATGTTCAGCTGTTCACTAAATTGTTCATGTTCATCTTGGAGAGCAATTTCCTTCTCCTGATGTTTAAGTTGCTCAGCTTTTAAAGCATTTTCCAAACTCTGTATTTTGCTCATTAATTCTTCTTTTTCTAAATCTAGTTCATTCAAGAGTTGTTTGCTTTTCTTTTTCCACTGAGAAAGAATCATAATCTCTTTTTTAAGGTCTTTACATTCTAAAGTAGTTTTCTGCAGAGTTTCCGTGTTTTCCAGTTTCTTATTGAGCTCTTCAATTACATTTTCTTTGTCCTTGAGAATTTGCTGGAGAGAATTGTGTTCATGTTCAACATCAGAAACAGCAAGGCTCATTTTTTCTAAACTGACAGAATTATCTTGCTTGTTCAGTTTTTCTTCAAGCAATTTGAATTCTTTTTTAAGTGAGCAATTTTTATCTGCAATGAGAGTCATTAAAAAAATGTAAAATATGAAATGCTTAGTATACAAAGATTAAAATATAAACTGACAAAATACAGGCTCCAGTTCTGTCTATGAAGCCTTAACACTCCACAAATAAAATCTGTGCTCCTGTGATAACTACTCCTATCTTTATGCTCCCAGGAAATATTAAACTACAGATTGCCATTGCATCTAAAAACAGGCAACTTGCATTAGAAAAATAAAGGTTTATAAACTTCATCTGAATACAGCATTGAACTGTTGATTGATACTTATTAAATCTTACCCAGGAGAACAGGGACTAAGTGCTTATGTCTTGAGATTTCCTACATTTATGTTTGAAATATCAAAAGTATAACATCTAAGCAATTTGTTGAATATTCCAGTTATCTTTACAATGAAGCTATGATAATGAACTAGATTCTGAGGTCAAAACAATTTATGTCAAGATATACAAGATGCTTTCTCTTTATAAGGGCACTCTTCTATTATCCACTTTGACCTTCCATCAAAATCTTTTAACATTCCCCTCTATAGGGGAAATGAAGGGGGAGGGGTAACATCTCCAAGTAGTTTTTTCTATTGCAGTCCCCATGATATGAGATTGGTATCTTGTTGGCCTATTGGAGATTATTAAAAATGAACATTGTTCTAGGTCTTTGGGGAATAATGGTAACATTACATTTACTACCTTATGTTTGTGTTTTTATCAGCTTTTATTGTTCTATTGTTTTTAAGTTGTAACCTGCTGGGAGCCATTTTTGTAGAATCTGGCAGTTCGTAACACAATTTAAAAAAATATCATGTTATGCCTAGCAGTTATATAGAAATATGCAAATTATATAAGCAATCATACATTTATGAAATGTGGATAGAATTAATATCTTTTGTCTAGAAGAAAGAATTCAAATAATTTTCTTTAGATAAGTTTTGGAACTGCAAGGCAAAATGACAAGATTGATACATAATTAAAGAAGGGAGAATAATTATTTCATAAATCTGATATCAGTTGTGAACTCTTGGCTTTTTGACTATCAGGTAAGGTTTCCATTGCAGAATATAATGCAAATTCAATTTCTGCTTTTTAAAAAAAAAAAACACAGTGGCACACCATAGCATTCAAATGAGATTTTATCAAGTGTACATCACACACCAGGATGTTGCATTGAAATAAGGTCTATTATTAAGCACAATAGAAACCCCCTGGCTTACTTTTCAGGTCTTCAGCAAAATGCTGACTCTGCTGTAGGGATAGTTTAGTGCTACAGAGTCCTTCTTTTAGTTGAGAAATTTCTTGCAGATGTTCAGCGGACTGGCAGCTGAGAAAGTTATTTTGCTTCTTAATTTCCTATGAAATTGGAAAAGGTAGTAACCGATGAATAAAAAAGAGAAAGATGTTCTTGCAAAGGAAACGACCTGCAATCCCAACCCAAATTTTATCTTTTATCAGGTGTCAAATTCCAGTAGCCAAGTGTCCTATACTTTCAGTCTATTGTCACATGGCAATCTACACTGAAAGTCAGCGTCCGCTCCGAGCAACTGCCAAGTGCAGCTGTTAACGAAGGAAACCTCTAGCCTATTATAAATTGTGCCATGGTGAGGTTTCCACAGGGTAAAAAAACAAAAAAAATACCGGAGAGTCACAATTCAACTGCATCTCTTTTAGAGCTTAAAAAGAAAAGATAAATTAGACTACAGCTAAAGGTCTTGGAGTAGAACCAGCATCTAAGACAAGGTTCGATATCAGGGACAGCTTAGAGGCCAGCCTTTTGATACTCAGTTACCTTGAGAATTCCTAAATCAAATGCCAGGCATCTTTTCCATTACAGAGGCTGGAAAGCATGACTTTTTGGCTGGTTTGTTTTTGCATCCTTTTTTTATTGCTAACAGAGAATGTGAAAGATTTGGGGTCACTTTGCTGTCAACTTCAAAGCATTTTTTTTTTAAAGCCGATTGGTCTATTCTTTATAACCCTACCCTCTTGGGAATAAAATAAAGAATCTTTCCAAAAGAAAATGGCACATACATTCGTGCACCACCCACTCCTGAGCTGCTAAGATAACAGATGGCATTGGCAGAGCTTTGTTGGTCTCGAGCCCTCAATTATCCATTGAGTTGCTACCAGCAGATGGGCACCAAGGCACCCAAGCCAAGTGTAGGGGAAGGGGCCACCAGGATGGGCAGCATAAGCTGGAAATTTGCTGGCAAAGCAGGTTTGTATTTCCAGCCATTGAAGCAAATCAGCCTCAGAGTAAGGCTGGACTTCTTGGTGATACTGTTGATCAATCTTTGCCTTGGTTTTCTCTAACAAACAAAATAGTTAGAAAATCAGGGGATTGTGCCAATGTTCTCTCCAGAGGCCCACCTTTTAAAATATTTGAACAATTTTTGACATACAAATCCATTATGCTACTTCCATTTAGGGTAAGCAATATTATACGGACAGTAGAAAAGTAACAAAGAAGCCAAAGAAAATCAAGAAGCGAGATAAGGGGGAGGGAGGGGAAGGCAGATAAATGGCTAAAATTAGCTTATACCATCCACCTTCCCTTCTCATAGTTTTCTACCTTTACAAAATATACTTGTGGATATTACATATATACTTCACTTCATACATTGCCTCTTGATCTTTAACAGTTTTGAGAGTAAGCAAGTTCTTGACATGATAGTTATTTTTTTAAAAAAAACTCCCTTAAAATATAGTGGTACCTCGGTACCCAATTGCTTCAAAACTCATAGTATTTGGTACTTGATGCATTGTGACATGAAAATGTTGTCCCAGTACTAGTTGTTTGTTTGGTATTCGATGCATTGTGATAGGAAAAGGGGAAGGGCCACGCAAGAATGGACAGGAAGTTGGCCATGCAGGAAAAGTTGCTGCAAAAGAAAGAAGAGGACAGCCATAGAGGATAGAGAGGAAGTTGGTTATGCTGGGAAGGTCGCTAACATAGGAAAAGGGTCAGAAAGGAAGTTCTTTCTGGCTGAAACAAAGAGTCACGTGGTAAGTCACGTGCCTTGTTTGGCACTAGTCATTTTTAGTACTCCTTGAGCCTCCCAGATCAAATCATGACGAGTACTGAAGTACCACTGTATGATCAAAGTCAAGGAGTTTAGGTAGATGGAACGTGTAATGGGATTTGCAACTTGTAACAGTTACCATTAAATACTTCCAGAATATAAATATGGCCAGGGTTTTTTTTCTCATAGAATGCCCAGAATGGAGTTCCGGCACCTTTTTTGGATGGAACCTTGTAGGGTAGGCAAGGCGGGTTGTATGATGTGTGTGAGTTCCGGCACCTTTTTTTTTTTTTAAGAAAAAAAGCACTGAATATGGCTAATTAAGTTTGCAGGATTTTAAAAAATCGATATAAGTCCTTTAGCACTGGACTATATGCAAAGAAGCAATACTCTACTATACTCTCCTCAAACTTTCCCATTTATCTTGCATGTGTCATCAGCAAGCATATGATTCTGTAAGGCTACTGATCCAGATTGCTGTAGACCCACGTTTTCCAATCTGCTGTGATTCAGATGTACTAGACTACAACACCTATTTCTCCAGGCAGCAAGGATTTGTAATCTAACATATGTGGAGGGCATAGAGTCATAGACAGCTCTTTGAAACTCTTTTCATTGGCTGTATCTACAAATGTACTATACTATAACGAGATTGCATCATTTTCCATCAGCTTAAACTAGAATTCCCTAACTTTCTTGGTTCTTAGTGTCTCAATAATACTTCCATGGTGCCCTAGGCCAAAGACTGCCCAAAACACAATTTCCTAAATGGATGTCACAACAATCTAAGCTATCTTGCAGTGTCCCTGTGAATTTGCTGTAGTGCTCTACAGGTGTCATAGTGCACATTTTGGAAACTGTGGGCTTGAACAATTGAAATCTAGGAAATGTCAATCTACCGTAAATGCCGGCGTATAAGACGACTTCTGCGAGCGCTGAAATCGGCGCCAAAGACGGGGGTCGTCTTATACGCCGAGTCGTCTTATACGCCGGAAATACTGGTAGTTTCCGGCGTATAAGACGACGTTCTAGGAATGCGGCCCGGCTATAAAGACGGGGGTCGCCTTGTACGCCGGCATTTACGGTATCTGAAAGACAATGTTGAATGTCCCAAAAGGTTCTACTGCATTTTGGTACGGCTTGAACAGTCACTGTAATTTTCAGACCAAAACCAAACAAAAATATTGGCATGTTTATCAACACTGAAAAAAGGAATAAGATACAGAGAGATCCCAAGTATCAGAAAATTTGCTAATATATTTATTGCTTAGTTCTCAAATACATATCATTCCTTGACAGTTCATTATCCTTCCCTTCCAGATTGATAGCTTTATTAATATCAACTTTTCTACAATATATTAGTGTCAACACCTTTAGGGATCTGTCATCTTTAACTGTTATTTAAAGCCATACCAGGATGCCCTGTGCTATCCTTGTAGGAAACTTTGTTTAAACGGAGCAATTTGTGTCAAAATGCTCAAGAATTGTTTTAAAAACATCAGGAGGACAGGAAGCTTGCTATCTAAGAATACACTGGTGCTTGAATGTTGCATCTCTGCCCTGGTGTATAATTACTATTACAATTTTAATTTACCTCATAGTTTTCTTTCAATTCTTTTTCCTTCAACTGCATTGTTTGTAGAGCCTGTTCAAGTTGACTCAATTTCTGTGCATAGTCCTTGGCATTTTTTTCAAACTGCTGTTTTGTTGTGAGAATCTAAAAACAAAAGATAGAAAGCTTTAATTTATCAAACAGTAAATAGTAGAGAATTATTCTTGCTAAAAACAGAATCTCATAGAAAGTCAATTTTAAAAAAAATATTAGAAAAATCTAGTTTTCTAGAAACATGAATCTTTCACCATCAAGTGTCTGTGTTGTCCAAAATATTATATAGGTAGTCCTTGACTTAGAAGCACAATTGGAACAGAAACTTCATCACTGAGCGAAGCAGCCATTAAGCAAGACATGTCACTGCCCACAAGATAGCTTCATTAGGCAGGTGCAATCCTCACACTCCAGATTATGACTGTTAAGCGATCATACACATGTTTTAACTGGACAGAGTCCAGGATGCCTCAAAGGGATGATGAAGATTCTGGAAGGCTCCATCAGGAGCTGAAAATCTTCCTTGCTAAAATCCAGACAGAAATTTTAGTCCCTGAGGAGAAAGATACTAGTGCGTGGCCTTTGCTGGACCTTGCAGAGCCTCCCCCCACCCCCATTCTTGAAGCACCCTACTCCTGAAACAGCTGCCTGCCAAAGGAATTCAGTTCCCCTCTGAGGATAGAAGGGTGCAGGAATGGAGCCAAAAGCTTTGGGCTTCAGGATTTCAGCTGTTTCTGCAACCTGCTGAAGGAATTCAACTACTCTCAGGAGGCAGCTCTTTTAGCCAACCCTTAGGCAGGTAGCAGCAGCTTGCAACCTTCATTGTCAGCTTCCCATTGAGTGTCTTGGGAAGTCAGCAGAGAAGATTGCAAATGGCAATCACATGATCTTGGGGCAATTGGCAAATGGTTGTAAGTGCAAAATAGTGTTATGACCAGGCGGTCAATGCAAGGTAGGCCTCTAAAGAGTTCTTTATTTCTCTTAAATAAAGTTCTAGCCAATGGTCCTTCAACAACCGATAAGGTTCCACCTCGCAGCCACCCTCAGCCCCTATAGTACCAAGGAAGTCCACAGAGTAGGAGCACACTCATAGGGACTAGAGGTGCTACATTTTGCAAGGTCATCATAATTCTGGTGTCGTTAAATGAACAGTCGTAAGTCAAGGACTACCTGTAATTGTACCTGGATCACATCTGAAAATGGAGATGGTAGAGAAACTGTGCAAGAATGAGAATTTTGGGGCTGAGATTTATACATTTGTCAGCCCAGATTCACTACTGGTTCAAAATTTGGAAATCATGAAACAGACAGAGTCACATAAAAAAAGCTATTTCTGTCCTGAAACAACTGACAACTCTAGATTCTTCAAAAATTGATTTGTAGCTATACTTTATTGTTGAAGTCATGGATATGTTCCTACATAAAATGTTATACTTGTTACAAATTAGTAAGATCTTATATGCACTATGCTTTCTTTTCTTTCAGTCATTTGAGCAAGGTTTCAAAATATTTCAGTGCTCACAATTAAGGGAAAAAATTGCAAGACAATTGTAGTACGAGAAGAAAGAAAATGAAAAACAGTTTTTATTACATGTAAGGTAATACCTAAACTATCTAAACTAGTAGACTAAACTATCCATCTTGTCCCTGATAGCCACCAAAAATGTCTGCATGTTTGACATCACATTCTAGTAAAAATAAAATAGAAGTTTTCCAACATATATTGGGTTTTTTTTTAAATTTTATTGAGTAAACATTTAAAAACAGATTGAACACAGTGTGGCTTTTCTGGCTGTTATTTTGCCATACATACTATATCATATATCTCCCTATTCACTGATCTTTTATACCATTTACAAATTGCATTTTATACTATTTACATATTTATATATTTACATACATATTTACGTCTATTTACAACATAACTTCCATTTCCATTCTTATTTCATATTCTTTCTGATCTCTATCTTGCATTCACTCTGAGGTTGAAAATCTACACTTTCTCTCTTCTAGACTGTCAACAAATATATGGATTGTGCTCATGCACAGGAATTTCTTTTTGCATGTGATATCTAATGCAAAGATAATAAATGGGCCTAAAAGCTGCCTAATAGAAAAAGCTGTATGTGCATGTATATAGCAATATCAATAGCACTTAGACTTATATACTGCTTAACAGTGCTTTACTGCCCTCTCTAAGCAGTTTATAGAGTCAGCATATTTCCCCCAACAATCTGGGTCTTCATTTTACTGACCTAGGAAGGATGGACGGCTGAATCAACCTTGACCCGAAGAGGATCAAACCCCTGGCAGTCAGAATTAGCCTGCAATACTGCACTACCATAGCTCTTGTAAGGTCATATACTGTATAATTTCTGGAACTGAGTAAATATTCCTGCTAATGCTAGAGACCATTTGCAAAATCAACACTAATACCTATCTGAAAACGTTTCTACATGTGATAGGCAGAGGCTGACACAAAACTGAACATACATAAAAAATTGCGAGTTAGTCTGTTATACTACCTGCACCAATAGTAGATCTATGGACACATAGGCTTTCAAACTACACTCTTTGTTGGGACAATTCTGTCTACTCATGTAAATGCAAAGACTAGAACTCTGACATGAAGAAGGGAAGGATGCAGATGAACATGGAACATTTTCTCTTATAAACATGAAATAGTTTATAGTTCCCCTGTCAACTATTCAAAAAAAATTTCAATTAAGAATGCACATGCTTCCCTCAATGTCTTCTCTTTCAAAGCTCCAACCAGTTGCTGAGGAAGTCTAGCTTCCCAGTGAACGTTTTTGCTGGAAATTGACAAAAGAAAGACAGCAAATTGCAATCACATAGCCACAGGATGCTGCAACCAGTTGTAAATGGGACCTGGTTGCCAAGTGCCTGAATTGTGATCGCATAACCACAGTGGTAGTGCAACAGTCGTAAGTGTGAATACAGGTTGTAAGTCATCTTTTCCAAGGTTGTCATAATTTTGAACCATTATTAAACAAATGGTTGTAAGAAGGGCTACCGTAAATGCCGGCGTATAAGGCAACTTCCGCGAGCGCTGAAATAGGCACCAAAGACGGGGGTCGTCTTATACGCCGAGTCGTCTTATACGCCGGAAATACTGGTAGTTTCTGGCGTATAAGACGACGTTCTAGGAATGCAGCCCGGCTATAAAGACGGGGGTCGTCTTATACGCCGGGTCGCCTTGTACGCCGGCATTTACGGTAAATGTAACTATAATGCAGCACCTCACCTCTTGGTCCTTGTCCTTAATCTTCTGTTGTGAAGCACACTGCACACTTTCAAAATTTTGCTTCTGACAGTTTAGCTCGTTTGAGAGTTCTCTGAACTTTTTCTCTTTTGCTGTAAGCTATAAAGAGAGAATGTAAAGGTAATATGGATGGCAAATGTTTCTGGTACTCATCTGATAGTTTAGAAAAAAATAGCCAGAGTGATGTGATGGCTAATGCAGAGAACTAGGATTTAATCTACCATTCCTAATGGAAGCCCGCTGGATGACTTTGGCAAATTGTGACGTCTTAGAGCACTATTGTTATGGGCAAAATTATAGGTGGAAATGCTAAACAGTATAGTTTGAACTCCTGAAACAAAGGCAGAAAGACCAACAGTTAATAACAATAGCACCCAGACTTATATACTGCTTCACAGCCCTCTCTAAGCGGTTTACAGAGTCAGCACATTGCCCCCAATAATCTGGGTCCTCATTTTACCGACCTCAGAAGGATGGAAGGCTGAGTCAACCTTGAGCCAGTGAGAATCGAATTGCAGGCAGTTGGCAGAAGCAGCCTGCAATAACTACTGCACCACCATGGCTCTAATGAAGTAAAAAATGAATATATACAGGTAGTGCTCAACTTACAACCCCAACTGAGCCCAAAATTTATGTTGCTAAGCAAGACAGTTTTTAAGTGAGTTCTGCCTCATTTTTATAACCTTTCTTGTCACAGTTGTTAAATGAATCACTGCAGCTGTTAAGTGAATCCAGTTTCCCCATTGACTTTGCTTGTCCGAAGGACCCTGGAATCCTGCAACCATCATAAATATGGGCCAGTTGCCAACGTCTGAATTTTGATTATGTGACCCTGGACATGCTGCAACAGTCATAAGGGTAAAAAATGATCAAAAGTGACTTTTTTCAGTTCTGCTGTAATTTCTAATGGTCACTAAACATTTTAAGTAGAGGATTACCTGTATTTATGACCGGAAAAAGAAAGCAAGAAAGCCAAGACAATAAAAACTGAAATTTACTTTTCCTGCCAATGTAAGAACACCTTGAGAAAGAGCTGATATTTGCAAGCATTATTCAAAACAGCAATGTTCAATCATTAAGTGTAAGTGCAATTTAAAAAATGGTCCTGTCTCCTTCCCAAGCAATTAGGGTTAGAAAACCAAGCTGTGGAAACTCTATGGGTACAGTTTATGCAAATCCTCTCTAAGAGACATAGCTCATGCAGACAAATAATGCTCATGTCATATTAAACTCAATCAGGGTTGATCTTGCATGTGTACAACAGTTGCATGCATACAACAGTTCTTTGAATTTTAAAAGATTCCAAGATTTTAAAAAGCACATTACCTGATCAGTCGTTTGATTCAGTTGTATTCTAATTTTAATTATTTCATTTGTAGCCTTGTTCAGAGTTTTCTCTTTTTCAGTTAATTCCATCTGCATATTTTCCACTTGCAGATGAGTATCCTGAAGCTTCATTACGTTGGCTTTCACGTCTTGTGTCTGAATTTGTAATTTATTTTCTAGTTCCTGAATTCTGCATCTTAACTCTACATATAAAAAATTATATACATAAAATATAAGTACAATATACCTTGATACATGTTGGATTTCTTCACGGGTAGGGTCTATACTGTTCCTGAGCAGTGGTATACAGTTTAAGGCCCTCAGAATATAGAAGATCTCTTAATATCCTTATCAAATTATGTCATGATCTGAGCACAATACATCAAAAAGGGGAAACTGTTAAATCCACAATTGGAAAGTGATCCTATTAACTGTATTTAGTTCTAATTAAATGAAAATGCAAACAAAATTAGTTTTTGTCCTAGCTTGTGCCACTGGTTGGTGACATGTTTTTCCAAATCTACCATTCAAAAGCCAAATATAGTCTCAGCCAAGAAAAACCTGTGTAACCCCTCTGAATGAAAACTCTGCATAAATTATTTCTGTAAAAATGATACATCAGTTATTACATTTTTCATGACAAATTCTGGCTTGAAACCTTTCCTTTTCCCTAGACCAAGACCATTATTCTGATACTCAGTATAAATCATAACATTTTCTTGTAATGTTCTTATCTTCTAGCAGCAAATTAGGCATGAACGATCAATTTCATTCTTGGAAGCCACATTTTATTTTTCCATTGTGCCTAAGAGCAGCAACGGGTGATATTAGGACTTTACTGCTGTGGCATGCTAACATTTTTGGTTCCTCTTCTTTTAGTGCTGGGGAATTAAAGGACACAGGATTAAGGACCCCATTTTGCCCCTTAGCACCACTCAAAATGAGAAAAAAAAAATGCCTGATTTCTGGAAGAGGTGATTTTGAAAGAGGGCATTACAGGTCTAGACAGTCCCTACAACTCTTAAGCTTTATTTTCTACCACTTTAAAGGCTTATACGCTTCCTTCAAAAAGTGCGGTATTTGAGTCCTGCCCACTCTATGGAATTCAAGGGATCAGATATACTCTTCTGCTGTTGTATGACTGTGCAAAATAAGGGGTCAATTGGATAATATTATGGTGGTATTGCAGAAAAATGTTTTTTTTTTTCTTTCTAGCATTTTCTTCTCACAAATACAGAGTCCCCCTTTTTGGGGGATCAACCAAGTGTTGATCCATTGATTGCCAGGAATTGCCAACCAGTTTGTCACTCTGCCAGCTAGGTGCCTTAACCACTAGCCAAAGCAGCTGTCTATTGCAGAAAAAGACTGCATTGTCAAATATATGAAAAATAAGTAGGTTATAATATTTTTAAAATACCTTGATTTTGAGTTTTCAGTTGCTCAATGGCTGAAGAGTCCTGGCTGTTGTTGGAGACATTGCAATTGATGAAATCTTTCTTGGTTAATTTTATCACATTAGGATTAAGAGTTACTGCAGATTCCAAAGGAAATTGTGACTTGGTTGACCCATTGCTATGAGGAGTTTCTCGATGGCTGGACAAAAGGTGGCTGGGAGTTTGCTCTTGTTGCCATGAGAATACACATGAGGAAGCTTGGTGCCGGGCAATTTCTCTGCGAGTTATATTACCTTCTGAATGCAAGGCATTAGTTTTCTTCTAAAAGTAAGAGAGAAAATGGTCTTAATAAAGAAGATGCTTCAGTAAAGGATAATGAAACAACAAACTGTGGATTTGGTTTTAGTTTTTCATATATGAAGAACTCAAACACATCTGTAGTCCTCCAAACAGTCCAACCTATCAAAAACAGTACCGTAAAAAACAGATTAGAAACACATTAAGATAGGTAAGAAAATGTAAGTGTATAATTAGCCATGTACTGTCTCCTATGATTGATCACTAACACTAGCAAAGCAAAAATACATTGTTATTCAATTGTTAATTCTAATCTTGACTTTAAAATTATTAATCACATGATTCCTTTCTTATTTTAAATCAGTTAGTATGTATGGATACCACACAGAGTTTTAAAGTCTTGCCTGAGATGTCATGCTTTTTGGTTCTGCCTCCAGGTATTTTCTTTCTTCAATTTCTTTGCAAGATTTTCTTTGAAGGTCTTTGATTTTGGAATCTATTAATGTTGAACAAAAATATCACAATAAACCTTTTATGGTAAAAAGGATGAAGGTATTGAAATGAGATGCTTTCAGTAAAGAAAGAATTATATTCATGAAAGCCTCAGGGGGAAAATGTACATAGATACACGTATTTCTTATACCATTGTAGATTGCTGTTGGAGAGCCAGTGTTGATTCTCTGTGGGGTGTTTTCAAAAGATGTATTTCCACTGCCAAAGGTCTTTGGTTGTCTTTCCAGTTCAGATTTGTATCTATTTTTTTTAATGAAATGGATAGAAATTTAGGATAGCAACAAAAAAATTAAGACTGAATTTAACCTGATTGAATTTCAAGAAACACATTAGGAAATTACTTGTACTAATGAATTCAGTGTAAATTAATTTCAACTTAACTTACTGAGCAATTCTATGTATGTTTACTCAGAAATCATTCCTATTGCTTCAAGGGAAGAATATTGCTACATTTGTATAGAATATAAACAATGTAACCTTTTTAATCAGAAAGTATTTAAAATCAAGAAAATGGTAAGATAATAATCTTGACGGGAGCATTGAAAATGTCAATATTATTTTAGAATATTACAGATTTGCAAGTTAATACTGCCTTCCTTCATTGCATTATAATAAAGATCCAGACCACTTTATTCTACTCTGCTGGAAGAAACCGTAAAAAAATATATACAAATTATTAAAACTATTTTATCTATTAAAATGCTCAGTTTGGGATGCTAGGCCCCAATTTTTCAGTGCCAATTTTAGACAGGCTATAATTTCCCAGGGAAAAATGTTCCTATTTACAAAAATAAAACAAAGCTGAAAAAAGGGTATTGTTTTATGTAATTCATTAGTAACTAAAAAACATCAGAAGAGCTTTTCTGCATCAGAACAAAGGCCAATCTAATCAGTATTCCATTCAAAATGGTAAACTACATGCTTATGAAATGCCCACAAGTTGGACAGAATACCCTCCAGCTTTGGTTTTCCTAAAAATGATCTTGAGAGGCACATTGTCACTGCTACTAGAAGGAAAACACAGCCAACATAATCAGGATCCATTAATAGCTTTGTCCTTCATCAATTTATCCAACCATTTCTTAAAGTAGTGGAAATTGGTGGCCATCATTCCAACTTATTATAGCAATTTGAATAGATTAATGATGGACTCGGTGTCTCCTTTTGTCTTGATTCATTCTAGAAGCAGTTATTATCAGAAAGACAAAAATCTCTTTTCACTTTCCTTTTACCATGTATAATTTTAAACACTGCTCTAATGTTCCTTTTTTATGTAGGTTCTAAGTTAAAAGCTTCCAAGTATTTTAACTTTTTATGATGCATGAGTAGCTTTGCTCTTCTAAATGAATACAGTTCCAATAAAACCAAGTGCCTTTAACAGAATAAGATTGGATTTGGAATTTCCTTTCTCACTACTGCTAAAGACACAATTGGCAATGGTTTTGGTGTTGACCAGCCAACGCAATTGTGCAACCTACTCCTATTTTACTCCTTTGCTTAAAAAAAAGATGTTCACCTTTTAAGGTCTTGCTCTAGACTTTCAACCTGTTTCTTGCTTGAAATGAGTTGTCCTTCTTGAAAGTTAATTTCTGATTCTTTCATCTGAAGTTCATGAAAAAGTTTCTGCCTGTTTTTCTCTAAGTTATCACAAAGTTCCATCAGGTTCTGATTTTCTCTCTTCAAGGTTGCACCTTCATTTTTTTCCTTAACAACCTTAATAAAAGAATAATAAAGAATCCATGAACATGTATCCACAAAGTCTGACTTTCATAGGGCTACCAATCTCAGCTGCAGCAATGTGACTATTGGAGACCTGGAGTTCCCTATATCTCTTTGTTGCCAACTAGTAGTTGCCCAGTTTTGATAGACTTATATTTCAGTTTCTCTCGGACAAAATCACTCAGATTCAGAGAGACCTGGACTTCGACTGGGCAGTGCCAGCCGAGATGCCGGGGGCTGGTCTTAGTCATGTTATCTGGAGCGAGTTTGAGCCTGTGACCCCTGATAAAGTGGACAAGGCCGTGAGGGCAATGAATGCCACCACCTGCTTATTGGATCCGTGCCCCTCCTGGCTGGTTTCTGCCAGTAGGGAGGTGACACGAGGCTGGCTCCAGGCGATAATCAACGCCTCCTTGATGGAGGGGTCTTTCCCGCAACCTTTGAAGGAAGTGGTGGGGAAGGTTGTAGAGAAGGTGGTGGCGTCCCAACTCTTGTGATCCTTGGATGAAACGAATTATCTGGACCCTTTTCAATCTGGTTTCAGGCCTGGCTACTGCACTGAGACTGCTTTGGTTGCACTGACCGATGACCTCTGGCGAGCCTGGGATAGGGGTCATTCCTCTATCCTGGTGCTTCTTGACCTCTCAGCGGCTTTCGATAGCATCAACCATGGTATCCTTTTGCGTCATCTCGGTGGGGGTGGGCGGCACCGTATTGCGGTGGTTCTCCTCCTATCTCTCTGACAGGTCGCAGTCGGTGTTGGCGGGCGGACAGAGATCGACCCCTAGGCGCCTCGATTATGGGGTGCCTCAGGGCTCGGTCCTGTCCCCCCTCCTTTTTAACATCTACATGAAACTGCTGGGCGAGATCATTCGGCGACACGGGGTGAGGTATCATCAGTATGCGGATGATACTCAATTGTATATCTCCACCCCGTATCCTTTCAGTGAAGCAGTCGATGTGATGTGCCAGTGCCTGGAAGATGTGAGGGTCTGGATGGGGGTGAACAGGCTTAGACTCAACCTTGACAAGACCGAGTGGCTCTGGGTCTTGCCTCCCAAGGGTCATCCTGATGGTCCATCATTAGCCCTGGGGGGGGGATAAATTTACCTCCCTCAGTGCAGGCACGCAACTTGGGTGTCCTCCTGGACTCACAGCTAAATTTGGAACATCTATCGGCTGTGGCCAGGAGGACCTTTGCCCAGGTTCGCCTGGTGCACCAGTTGCGGCCTTATTTGGACTGGGAGGCTCTACTCACGGTCACTCATTCCCTTGTCACCTCAAGACTGGATTACTGTAATGCGCTCTACATGGGGCTACCCTTGAAGAGCGTTCGGAGGCTGCAGTTGGTTCAGAATGCAGCTGCGAGAGCGATTGTGGGTGCACCAAGGTACACCCACGTGTCACCTATCCTCCGTGAGCTGCACTGGCTTCCTGTGGGTCTCCGGACGCAATTCAAGGTGTTGGTTATCACCATTAAAGCCCTTCATGGCTTAGGACCAGGTTACTTACAGGACCGCATACTGCCGCATAGTTCCCAGAGACCGGTGAGGTCCCACAGATTGGGCCTCCTTCAGGTCCCGTCAGCAAGACAATGTCGGCTGGCGGGCCCTCGGGGAAGGGCCTTTTCTGTGGTGGCTCCGACCTGGTGGAATCAACTTCCCCCCGAGATTCGAATTACTCCCACCTTGCCGGCCTTTAAGAAAGCCATTAAAACTCTCCTGTTCCGGCAGGCCTGGGGTTGATGTCCCCGGGGGGGGGGCAGGATACGACTGGACACACTGTATGAATGCACTTATTTTATTGTTTTATCATTATATTTATTGTTTTAATTTTGTACGCCGCCCTGAGTCCCTAGGGATTGGGCGGCATATAAATTTTATTAATAAATAAATAAATTTATGGAAATGTAACAGTAGCCTTTAGCTTTTTTTTTAATAATATGTAATTCACAAGGTTACAGAGAATAGATAGCTATCTAATTTTCCTATTTCATGGCATAAGTAACTATCTTTGGGCACAAAAACAGCCTGGTGAAGTCCCCAAGAGCTATACCAGGTATGAAACAGAGCTCTATTTCTATTTCTGCAAATTAAAATAAGAAAAAAAAGAAAGAAAATATTGACCTAACAGCTTAGAAAAAGAGAGGCATTTCTTCACATCCCTCCAGGTACCAAGCTGCCTTTTCCATCACATAAAATCCCTGTATTTTTTCCCCACTAAGATAAAACAGCATAGGGAGAATCAATAGGATGAAAAATGAATAATACTGAAAGCTAATCTAAGCAGGTCTACTGCCCTTCCATATTATCCCATTCTGTCTCAGTCTTCTTAGGTATTTTGGTTTTAAAAATCAGATGAATGTAGAAAAACTATGTCATTCTTATTTCAGCTCCTAAATATTTAACCAGATTGTTAAAGCTCCATAAACCTTTTGCTCTGGCCCTTAAGTCTTCCAAATGCTGCATATAATTTGTAATTTTTAATGCATGTGAATTCATTTCCATTACTATATCCAGGTAAATTGAACAAATAAAAGTTTTCATCCTTGTCCCACCCATATGACTTATGAGCCAAGTGTTGCCTTTGACCAATTTAAACATTGTACGTTCATTTTTGTGGACACCAAGTTGACTTTAACTGGAGCTACACAAAACATGATCAGAAAGGAATATCCCTTTCAATGTAAAAGAAACATACATTCCTTTTAATAGAAGGTATTTTTTTTTCAAATAAAAATACTGGAATACACGGTTCCACGTATAAGGACTTGTAATTATGTTCTATTGTTTCCCTGCGTGAAGACACCAACAGACTGTGGCCTGTGAATACTCAATTGAATTTTATTTATTTATTTATTTATGAGACTTATATACCGTTTTAAGTGCAAGCACTCTCTAAGCGGTGTACACCAGTAAGCAATGTATATATATATTTACATTGCCCCCAACAATCTGGGTCCTCATTTTACCTACCCCGGAAGGATGGAAGGCTGAGTCAACCTTGAGCCGGTGAGATTTGAACCGCTGACCTGCTGAACACAGTCAGCTAAAGTGGCCTGCAGTACTGCACTCTAACTGCTGGGCCACCTATTTAATCTTCAAGAGTAATAGGGAACATTTTAGGTGATTCTGGTCACCACTTTTTTTCCTCAGTTCACAACAAGTTATAAAATAAAGAGCTTGTAAAACTCAACAACTTGTCAGCTTTTAGTATGCAAGCTTTTAAGCAACACAATGCAGGAGTTATGAGAAATGTGATAATGATATTTTTTTTCAAAAATAGTAATTATGCTACCTTCTGCTTCTGTTTTTCCAAAGCTGCCTCCAGAGATTCCAGTTGAAATTGCCTTTGCTGACGTTCCTTTTTAAATTTCTCAACTTGACTTTCAAGGTCATGAATTTTCTGAAGGACTCTGGTGGAAAGACCCTCTTTCCACTCTTCCACAACCCAGCTCATGTCACCAGATTTCACTCTCCTAATACAGAATAGACATTATAAAACGGAAAAATTATTTTTCAGTGTCTAAAATTATATTTACATGACCAAAATGAAAGGTAGATGTATTTCAAGCCACATAGGAATTCATGCTTACGTAGGAATTAGTCTTACTGAATTAAATGGGATCCTTTGAGTAAGATACATATAAAATCCATACTGTTACCTATAAGACCAGGTATGATGGAAAGTCAGTATAATATAAAAGACAGGATCATTGGAATGTTATCTGCATGAAGGCAAGCCCAGTTGGGGTTTTTTTTTCCAGTTTCTTCTTTTGTTAGAAATAGTTAAGCAAGCCCTCTGGTGCTTGTCCTATTTCCTTTCCCAGCTTTATGGATTAGTTCTTTATATTTCTGAAGTTATTTTGTATTAGTTTAAGAAAAGAGTTTTCTTTTAGGGCAGTGGTTCTCAACCTGTGGGTCGGGACCCCATTTGGGGTCGAACGACCATTTCACGGGGGTCGCCAAACAATGCAGTCCACCATTTTTTCCCCTTTTCCTTAGCTGTGCTACTCCCTTTTATTCTATTGGCTTTTGAAAGCCAATAGAATAGACTCTCTTGAATAGAGTCTAATTCTATTGGCTTTCAAAAGCCAATAGGAATTGTCCAGGCTGTCTCTGCCCTGCTGAGCCCGCCAAAAGTCCCATTCTGCAAACGGTGCTGCACCAGTTGAGTAGTCCTCGACTTATGACCGGTTGAGTAGTCGACTTACGACCGGTTGGGGGTCGCGGCATTAAAAAGGTTGAGAACCACTGTTTTAGGGAAATAGTATTCCTAAGAGTTTTGTTAGCTGCTTCCCTAAACTGTTTAATGTTGATTATGCTCTGCCTGCATATTTATAAATAGTAATATTATAAAACATCAATAACCCTCCAGAGACCTCCTAAAAAAATCTAACTTGGGGAAGCATTGTATTTCTACAATGCCTCAATACCTGTAGAAGTGGACTATATATAGCAATATTTATTTTAATTAACATTTTAATTAAAAACATTTATATGTCCACTTAAATAAAATGCAAAAATCACCTTCCAAGAAAACTGTCTTTCTCTGCTCAGATAATCTTAGGTATGTTTCCCACAATATAATACAATAATAGAATGATCATAAGCTTGTTGCCCTTTTTGAAACCCAATTTTATTCAGATCTTCCTTGGCAATTGTGGATTCTTATAAACTAATAAAATGCAAGAAGTAGCAATACATTTTTATTCAACAGTCAAGTGTGCATACAAGTTAAATATCAGAGTAGTGCTCCACATATAGGGAACATGTTACTTTCATTGCCATTCTGACTATATTTCTTGGCTGCTAAAATCCTTCACCAACTTCTAGTAAGATTCTCTACACATTTCTAGTTCTTACTTTCAAATCTATCAATTACTTTGTCTACCCAATTCTAATAAATGTGTCTTGCCTACTTCTCCACACTAGGCACTTATGCCCTGCTGATCGATAGAAATATCTGTGTGAGGGCCCTATGTTAGGTTGGTGCTTTTTCTCCGCTTCTTTGACTTGTGCCTCCCATAAAATTAATTTTGGATTGTGTAATTTAAGATCCACCTTAACATCCCTAAATATCTCCCAGCTTTTAGAACCCTTTTAGAAGCCTGACAGCTATCTGCATGTCTGCATGAGTAGCAAACTATCCTGGTGTAAAGGAATTTAGAGAAAGAAAGAAGTGAACCCATAGGATAGGATAGGATAAAGGTAAGGTAAGGTAAGGTAAGATTACCTTTATTGTCATTTTTTATGTGAACACACTGGCCCACATTAAAAATGAAAATCACTGTCCGTTTTAAATACATAGCAGAAAGAGGAAACTTGAAAGTTCACGAGGTTGATGTTATATGGAATAAAATGGATTTTCTGCTTCGGATACCACGAAGCCTCCTCCCAGAAGGTAACAAGGAAAACAGGTCATAAAGATGTGTAGCGTCCCAGATAATCCTGCGGACCCTGCTCAAGCATCGCTTAGGTGCTATGTCCTGGAGAGAAGGGAGTGAATTACCAAAAATCTTTTCTGCCATCTTCACCCCTCTCTGCACCGCCTTCCTGTCTGAAGCAGTAATGCTTCCAAACCAGACAGTAATGCAATATGACAGGATGATTTGGAAGAAAGACAATTCTATCCTGAAAAAGTGGAAACTTGAAAAAGTAACTCAAAATGGTCCTTGCTTTTGTTTAGTATCACATGGGACAGAAAGAAAATTCGGCGGACTTTTAAGAATGTATTAACATTAATACAATATAGTACAGGTGTCTTCAAACTTGGCCCTTTTATGATTTGTGGACTTAAACTCCCAGAATTCCTCAGCCAACTCTGAGAGTTGAAGTCCACAAATCATAAATGGGCCAAATTTAAAGACTCCTAACATAGTTCCTGGAATCCCCGCCCTGCCTGTTTCTTGAATTGACTTATCTCTAATGACTGGCACATATTTTGTCTCCTTTATAGATTTTTATTTCCTTTTTGTTGTTAGTTACGAAGTCGTGTCTGACCCATCATGACCCCATGGACAACGTTCCTCCAAGTTAGTTAGTTCCTTACCACGTCAATATCCGCACCCACCAGTCTTTTCTTGACAGTGCGGAGAAAACAGCAACTCTAACCTAAATGTAATTCATTCCTCACCTTTCCCACGAAGAATCCAGCAACGCTCCAAGCTCTTTTTCACTTTATTTTCCTCGAGCGCCGCTGCGAATTCAAACTTGCCACTTTCTCCTTCGAGTCTTCGGGAAGCCGAAGCTATCCGAGAACGATTGGTCAGTAATTGAAAATAATCTTGCCTCGCGTTCTTCGGTTGAACCAATAGAAATCCTCCGAACAGCGCAATCTGGATTGTTTTTCAAATCTCGTTGGCTAGGAATTCGAAAAGCGAGAGATGATTGGCTAAAGGCAAAAGAGTTGCTGGGGGCGCTGTTGTAGCCCTTGCAACTTTTTCTCTATAAGACTTGTACTGCACGCAGCTTTGAAAACTTGAAGAAGTTGTTAAGCCGCGCCGCAGCCCAACTGAAGTCTGATCGGATGACTTGAGCATGGAATGACTTGCATAGCAATGAGACAACACTATTATCGTAGTATAGAGGAGCCTGTTTTGGGGAACCTCTAGCTCCCATTATTAATATAAACCCCCCCCCCAAATTATCGGAAATGAAGTGGGAAGCGGGAGACAGAAACCAACCTTATTAGAAACACTCAGATTTCTTTTTCTTCATTATAGCCTAAGGCACAACTCAACAACGTGGAGGAAATAAAAGATCTGCACCAGTGTATTTATTTTAGAGCAGCGGGGGAGGGGGGGAAGAATCCAGCATTGCAGTCCACAAAAATTAAGAGCTGCTTTATCTGAACTGTCAAAATCCAATTGACCACTAGATACCGGTAATAGAAATTACAGAAAATCCTCACTCATTGCAACCTAAACTGGAAGTAAATGGATTCATCCTGGAAATGGTCTGTATAGTCCCTAAGACAGGGGTAGGCAACCTTGGCTCTTTTATGACTCATGGACTTCAACTCCCAGAATTCCTAGCCAGCATGGCTCAGCTTGGAAACCTCTCCCTTTCCCCTCAGCATGGCTGGCTCAGGAATTCTGGGAGTTGAAGTCCACAAGTCATAAAAGAGCCAAGGTTGCCTACCCCTGCCCTAAGAGTTGACAACTTGATGCTATATAATCAGGTAAGCACCAACACTTGTTGACTTGTTATAGTTGTCAATTCTCCTTGGACAGGTTCATTGACATTAGTGATTTTAGAAAGAGAGAAGGTGCCAACAATGGAAAATGAAGGACTCAGACCAGTCAAATTGTCTAGACTAGAGAATTTTATTTTATTTATATTTTTAATTTCCTTTAAGAAATCTAAGAGGGCAAAATTGTTCTTCATTCACCACCACCCTGATTTCCCCCTCACATTATTCTGTGTCCTCAGTCATGCCTTCAAGGAGATTCCTGTACTACATAGGAGTTGGGAAGCTCAAAGTTCTCTTTCACTCTCCATGAAATGGTGATACCCAGAGAATTGCATGACTAAAGAGGAGTGTGAATATAGTACCGATTCACAACTCTGGAATATCCATATCTTGCTTAGGAGGAGAACTCTGCAAGCAGTTTGAGACACAAAATTTTAATACCTTCAGTCAAAAAGGGACTGTTTTCAACTGTCATGGTCAGGGATAAAGGTACAAAGGCACATAGAAATTATGAATTCACAGTATAATTTGCTGTAAATTTGCCCTTAAGAGGCCTAGCTGCTTCCAGTCTGCTACCCAGGTCCAATGGCCATTTCCCATGTAAGTTATATGAGGAGGTTACATAACTCAGCACTGGTGCAGTTGCTTTACACGCAAAATCAGCATGGATCATCTATGCCACATTGTTTCTTGGATCAACTACTGCAATGTACTCTCTTTGAATGCTGTTCTGAAGTTGCAATTATTAAATATGAGGCAGCCCAGCTTTAGTATTGCCAGCAATGTACAACACCAGTTTTGTGGACATTCCACTGGCTTCCAGTAGACTTCCAATGTAATTAAAAGTGCTGGTTGTAAATTATAAATCCCTTGGAAACTGGATATTTACAGGACTGACTGATTTAGGTAGAGTCAATATAATCCATTTAGCCCTGAGGAACATGTTGATACTTCTTCTCCAATGAGATCAAAGGAAGGGGAACTAGACTACAGGTAGTCCTTGGGTTATGATGGCAATTGGCAGTGACATAAGCAATGCAGACATAAAGCTTGACATGATATCTCTATGGAGACATATAAATCCTTCCATTCCCCACTGTCCAGTCAGAACTGAAGAAGCTTCTTGGGTGAGAAGCGAAATCTCTTCAAAGAAAAATAAGAAAGTCCAGTTGCCTTTTGAAAAAGCACCTTTGGGATTTGACATGATATATATGGCAATCCTGGCAGCCCTGGTTGCTATCACAACCTCAAGGTGTGGGGTTTGTTATGTATGAAGTGGCAGGAGTCCCAGGTAAAAGAGGAGGGTGCTATGGGGGAAGTTGGGCGATCCCTGGCAAGCCCAATGTGAGTTGGTGGAGGCTGTGGGCAGATGGGGATGCTGCATGCAGAAGTGTCTTACTAGCAATCTTCCCTGCTGGCTTCCCCATTGATTTTACTTGTTGGAAATCAGCAGGGAAGGTCACAAATGATGATCAAGTGATCACAATTCCCTATAGTGTCATAATTGTTAGCTAGGCACTGAAGTGCCTGGGTCATAATCGTATGATGCTGCCTTGACTGGATTTTTGAGGATTGGTAATACATCCATTTTTTTCAGTGCTGAAGTAACTTTGAATAATCACTGAACAAATGGACATAAGTCAAAGACTATTTGTTGTTTATCAGGAGATCTGGATTGCAACTTGCCTTACAGTTTTCTGGAGGTAGTGGAAAGTCTTCTATAGAGCTTCTGAGAATTTTTGTTATCGTCACTCTGATATCACCGTGTCCTTGAGGTGGGGTAGAGGGCTGTTTTATGATGTTATAATTTTATGTGGCTATAAATGGTAGAGTATTTACAAACTCAACAATATAAAGCTACAGCAAATAAATAAGCTCATAAATCACTGCAGACAATACCTGAGTGAGATTTGCCAACACTCAAAACTTTAATACAATGAGAACTTTTCAGTATCATGAAAGGGATATAAATTCCTAGTTATTGGATTTGTTATCATTGCACTTTTATTGCTGGAAAGAATGCATGTATTTCTTTTCCTTCCTTGGGTGCCAAGATAATTACATTGGCCTTAGGTACTCTGAGTAGACGTATGTTATTTTGGAGTTGGTGGTTCAAATTATAAAAATATTGATTATTCTGTAACTGATTATCAGAGTGATAAATTTCATCTTAATTTTTGAAATCTCAGAGTATCTTTTCTATTCTTGCCACTAGGTGATCCCCTTTTACACAGGAAAATTCATACTGTTATATGTGCCTGGGGGGGGGGGGGGGGAAGCAAAAACTTTACAAATTTATTTGGATTTTTAAATCCTTGGCATTCTATATAGCCCCATCTTGATTATTATTATATTAGACTTATCAGCAGAGTCTGGTTTTTAATATTTCTTAGAAATTATTGAATTAAATATATGCTAGTACTCTTGATTCAATGGAAAATCTTAATAATATTGCTTTATGATCAAAGTTCAAAGTTGTATTTAAAAATAAAAAGCTGTATTTCATTTTTACATATATTTCTTTTTCTCGGATGATATAATTAAATTTACCTGTAATGTACTGCAGGTGATCTCTGTCTTGAAACTTATTTCATTGGCTACTGTGTTCCCAAGGAATAGAAAATTGTATTCATTAAGAATTACTTGCATGTACAATACATATTGTTATATATGGCAGAAAAAAGGGGGTGATCTGTATCCTGAAAGCTGAATATGTCCCTCTCTTTGTGCCAGTTGAGAGAGAGAATGAGAGAGAGAGAATAGGGCAAGGCATCCATTATTCCCAATCTTCCTGCCATTAGCAAGATGAGCAGTGATTTACTGTACAGTTGCTCTGAAGGAAATGGTTTATATTCTTCCCTGCTACCAACCGGTATGATTGTGCGTGCTGTCTACTTCATTTGTATGCATGAACAGACATAGTTGTGATCTGTGTACTTGGATACGTGTATATGCAAACCCCTGAAAATATGGCCTTTGCCTGGGCCATTGGCTGGGACGAAGCGACCATAGTGAGATGGCCAGGGCACGTTGAATTGGATTTGTCCAATTCCAGGCCTCTGATCCTTGACCTGACACAAATATGATCTTAAGAACCAAAAGACTGTAAAAAAAATCAAACAGTAAGGGGGGTACTCTGCTTGTAATAGTTAAGGACTCTTTTATGATGGGTTAAAGTAGATACAAAATTTAATTGTAAATGAGGTATTTCAAACAAATACAAACTGAGAATTTGAAGTTAGCAAGAAAACAATGTTATGATCAATGTGTGAATGTAAATAAGAATTCTACCTTCTTAACTGGTAAAACTGTAATATTGAATTAAAGAAACAAACAGTTACAATAATTAGTTACATCAAATCAAGTCAGTTACAAGATTAAAGGTGCTGTTGCTTTTCTGTTTCAATTCTCTTAGAGCAAATATCACCAACTTAGGTACATTAGGTTTGTGGATTTTCACTCCCAGTTGGCCATTGCCAAGAATTCTGGGAGTTGAAATCAACAAAATTAGAGATTGTTGATTGTGCCTAATATAACTAGAATTAGAAAGGGCCCTGAGTGATGAAGTTTAAGCAATCCATTGATATTGACCATGTCACAGTTTAGCCAGCGCCCCACTAAACTAGAATCTTAAGTTTTAAAGCCTACTCTGGGATTGTTTATAAGTGAAAAGCAAGTTAGACATTATGTAAATAAGTAATAGATTTAGTTAGCCACAGCTGTGATTAATATTGCTGCTGATATATGCCACAGCCATATATGCCATTAAAAGAATGGATCATGGAGATGCCTTAGATTTTGCCAAAAGCTTCCAATGATTTAATCATAATATCTCAGTACTTTTAGGTGTGCACAATTAATACTATCCTGACATGACGATAGTATGGACTCTCTTTGTGGAAATGTGGGTAAAAAAGGGTATATATTTCAGTAAAACAGACTCAGTTTTACATACAATGGGATATCCCAAGGCTCTGTCTTACTCCAGGTGCTCTTCAGTACCTTCATTAGTGATTTACCATAGACAGAAAGGGAACTCATCAAATTTGCAGTTGACACCAAGCTGGCAGGAATAAGGAATAGCCAACACTTCAGAAGATAGGCTCAAGATACAGAAGGATCTTGTCAGGCTTGAACACTGGACCGTATGAAATTCAGTGGAGAAAAAAGTAAGGTCTTACATTTAATCAAGAAAAACCAAATGTATAGGTATCGAATAGGTGGTACCTGGCTAAATAGTAGTAACTGCGAGAGGGATCTTGGCAGTCCTAGTGGACAATCACTTAAACAGGAGCCGAAAGTGTGCTGCAGCTACCAAAAAAGCCAACGCAGTCCTAGGCTGCATTAACAGAGGGATAGAATCAAGTTCATGTGAAGTGTTAATATACTTTATAATGTCTTGGTAAGGCCACACTTCGAATATTGCATCCAGTTTTGGTTGCTATGATATGAAAAGATGTTGAGACTCTTAAAAAAAAGTGCAGAGAAGATGACATCGCAAAGATGATTACGGTTACCCTTACTTATTGAGTACAGTTGCGACCAGCAATTCTGTCACTAAGCACCATGGTTGCTCAATGAAAAATCATATGAAGGTGAAAGATTAAAGATATTGCTTCCCATTCAGTCATTAAGCAAGTCACTGCAGTTGTTAAGCAAAGCATCAGGTAACAATTTTTCTTCCATGTTCTCCATTAGCTCTGCTTGTCACAAGCAGGCTGGGAAACACACAAATGGCAATCACATGACTGCAGGACACTGTGACTGTGGTAAATGTGAGGATTGGTCATAAATTCGGGGTTTTTTTACATTATTGTAACTTCAAATGGTTGCTACACAAGACTAGCAAAAAGTAAGAACTAGAGACCCAGCATGCCCTCTCAAAATCAGTATCTCACTTTAGAGCAGGGGTGTTAAACTGCCGGCCGTGGGCCGAATGCGTCATGGCAACACTGCGCACATCCCTTTGCTGGCAATGGAAAAAAAGTTGCAATATGTTGCAACATGTCATATTATGTTGTGAGTTTGACACCCCTGCAATATTTAGAGCAATATTTTTCAAACTTGGCAACTTTGGGAGTTGAAGTCATGCATCCTAATGTTGCCAAGTTTGAAAAACACGGCTTTATAGTCAAGAGATTGTCCATACAGTGGTATTCTACTGTATTTTTGTTCCTCCAAAAATTGAATTAAATTGAAGATCTAGAGTTGGGTTCAGCGGACTGAATAATAGCTATGAACTCTCCATCCTTCTGTAGCCCTTGAAAATGCTACTACTGTTTAAACAGTAGATATACTTTAAATTTGAAGCCCACTAGAAGAAAATGCTAATTCTTTACCTCTGAATGTTAGAAATCTTTTTAGTGAAACAATTTACCATTACTGAATTATATAATTGCTCCATGTTTTGGATTTTTTACTTTTTGAATATTTAATTTAGCATATGAACATTATTATTAAACAATCCTTAGACCACTGGGATCAAACTTCCACAACCTGGAGCCTTCTTGTGGGCTGGGATGGCTTACAGTGATGGGCATTGTGTTACAGCATATATGGAAGAAAACTAGCTCAGAACTGATCCTTTTTTCTGTTGCCCGTACTGGAGTCATGTTCAAATTATTAAGTGGAACATAACATGCTTCAGATCATAGGAATTCAAGCTTTCTATCATAGCTGAAAATTAGGCTGTTTGTTTTCAAGCTCTTAAATGACAATTCCTACAAATTATTGAAATACTGGATTCTGCAGGCTTGCTGTGGCAAGAATAATAAATGATGATGAGGTCGTTAGTTAGATACTCACTCGCGCACACACACACACACAGAGGTATAAGGAAAATTATATTGATTCAAAAGTAATGTTAAAGTATAGAGCATTTGAAAAACAAAAATAAAAAATGCTATATTTCTATTTGAGAAGCTGCACTTCATCCTATTTTCTTTTTCAAGATGTTATCTGAATGGATGATAACCTCCAAGAAAACTATTTGGCTTAGTATCCACCTTAGTAATTGCAAGCCATAAAGTATTATAACATGTTAGCTCATGCATCAAGGCAACAGGTTTGTTTTCCAGGATTGCATAATCCAAATTCCTTTTTCCAAACAAGAGTGGAGGGAGATAAAGCTGGCAAGTGTAAGAATTAGCATGCACAGACACATTAGGCAAATAAACTTTTGACTTAATGATTGTAAGCTCCACAAAATATAAAGCAGACTTTTAGAAGGCATTGATACAATGAACTGACATACAGTACGTTCTTCCTATATGCTGTAATGTTCAGCATGTTTTTTTAGGTTGTGAAAGTACCGGTATATTAAAGTATAACCTGTATATTTTTTTAAAATAATTTTTAATAACTAATTTAAATAACTAGGTTTTCATCAATTGATAAGGGGCATGTGCACCCCCATCCATTTAGATTATTATCTGGGTATTCCTAATGTTCCATCAGAGCTAATCTAGCATACAGTATACAATAGGCAGAGCTTTCTTGCGCTTCTCTTCTGCTTTGTCCCTTTGGGTAGGTCTTTAAGACAAGTATTTATTGAAACTATCCTTTACCAGTTAGGTAGCTATTAAATAGAAATGCCTCACTTTTAATCATCATTGGCTTGTTTTTCCTTGCTCCTGCTTAATAGCACTGTTTTTGTTATGTGTATTGCATTCTGTATGACATATATAAAGCTCATGCAATCACTGATACAAATTTAATTTAAATAAAGCATCAGCAAATATGTATGCATGTATACATGTATGTATATAAGATATGTGGACAATACAATGTAGGACATAATATATTAAATTATGATAAAACCATAATAAAATCACAATATGAAGCCATATAATTGCAGTGGGATAGATGTTATAATTCAATATTTAAGCAATCTAGCCTGTTAACTCTTGTGTAAAAGCTTGAGATGTAGCACTTCAGTCTGAAAACTAGCAGCAGCAGCACCTTCTTTCCAATGCTGTTTGCAAAAGGTAGTTGTGACAAACAGTAAACACTGAAAGCATTTTAAAACAATATACAGAGAAAAGTAGAGATGTGGACTTGGTATGAAGGGTTTCTTCCCCCCCCCCCATTTTGTGAGGTATGTAATATTCATCTGACATGTTTGTGTATTGTATTTTAGGCTCTGAATTGATATCTGCACAGAAAATACAAAGTGAGAACTGGCTCATTCAGACACCTATAGAATATTCTGGCTAGAAGGTCAATGTGAAAAAGCCTGCATTTATTCTGGTTGGAAACTTGGTGCTTTCTACCAGCCTAACATTTCTCAGTCAAGATGACTGGAAAGTATGGGAGCTGAAATCTGTCACAGCAGGAGAATAGCAGGTTAATTTTGAAAAGGCTATTGTGATTATTCTCAAGCATTTAGAAAATGCCAATGAACAACAACTAGCAAGATCAGAAGCCTTTTCAGTGAGCTACTTGAACCTCAATGGTGGCCTGTCAATGTGTTGTGGTTTGCAGATTCAGTAGAAAAGTCAATCACCTACTTTTCTTGCAATCAAGGAGTGGCAAACAAGAGAGGGAAATCATAGCACTTTGTAGAACATATGTGTTGTATTTGACCTGACAAATGGGGCTGGGTTGAAATACGTTGAAACAGTCTTTCCAAACTCATTCCCCGGATGGGTTAGACTAGAGTTCCCATCATCTCCCCGGGTGAGAGTGCTGTAAGATGATTAATACAATACACTTTAAGGGCAACAAATTAAGAAAGATTGCTGTAAATCACAGGGATGTTATAGTGTATTTTGGGAATGAGAAAGTAGGACTCTTTCCGGCTGGCTGATTTCTCTTTGCATGAAAAAGGGTTCTGTGTTACTTCCCAGGATACAAGTATTTTTGAATCTCGAATGCCAATCATAAGATGGTGCATTTCTGAAAGAGCTCTTAATTTCTTACTTTAAACATTTCATTCTGTACCCCTGTAGGATTAATGCATAAAAAGAACTGGAAATCTATTCTTGAATTGAACATTACAAGACTATATTCTTTCAATTTTCAATTTCAATTAAAAATCATTTTTGATTATTTTGAATTTAGTAGAATTATCAAAAGGCAGTGTAATGCCTCATGTTATTCAATGTCTACCACAAGTCTTCATGGTTTGGCTGCAACTGTAACTCTTCAGTTTTTCCCCCCTAGGGTCAGCTTTTGCAACACAATGATTTCTTATCTTCACCTCAGGAACAATATGTAAATATGTAACATTTATCTGACTACAATTTGCAAAAAGAGAAGCATACCATCGTTTTAGAAAAATGTGGGCATCTCTGAAAGATGCCAGGAAATTTTAAAGATTGTTACTCTTCCTTGCTTTCTCAAGTTCCCCTCACACAAAAAATAAAAACAGGTATCCCAATGTCTTTCACTCACACTGTTATGACAATCTAACTAAGGTACATGAACAATCATTTTTTTAATCAAGTTAGATTACCAGGATTAAAAGACATGTGCAAAAAGGTAGGCTTAAGAGCATACATATCTATGTATATACCCATACACAAATATTTTTAAATGCCATATACCGATATAAACAATAAAATTTTAGGGCACTGTGAAGACTAATATATGCCTTTGTCTAACATATTTGATTTTTAAGTCATTTTATTTTCTGCAACTGATTCAAACCAGAAGAATGTGGGTGCACACATCTAAAACATTGCATTTTGAAAAATCATTGCATTACTACATAGATGCTCAGACCTGCTCATCCAGGTCTTATCTGAGCTTCTTGCAGGAGCTTCAGCCCACCTCTGGAATGTGTCTTTTCCGTCCTCTTTCCAACTCAAGGTGTGACATGCAACGGGCCCTGGGGCAGTATGTTGCACAGTATGCAAATAAGATAATCAGATGGATGTTACTCTAGCAACTTTTTCAAATGTTTCAGCCCATTCCATGTGCATTCAGATTTCCAATATAAATTCCTTTTTTTGTTAACTATTGCTTTAAGTGTATATAATTTCTTAGGTTCATTGGAGAGCTTCCAGAACTGAATGTCCTAAAGGCAAGCACTATGGGCCAGTTTAAACATGAAGGTTTCTCCCTACCAGGAACTGAAAGGTGCTTCCTTCTAGTATTATGTATTTACAGGAGAGTGCTCAACATTCACAAGCAATTTTGGAGTAGAATTTCACTTATAGTCAGTGTCCAGGCAAATGCTGTATATCCCAGACACGATACCCATTTTGGGGACATGATCATCTTTGGGGGAGGCAATAATAGTTAATGCTTTCAAATATTCAAAGCCTTCCACATGCACTGGATTCATTTTGAATAATCCTGTGAGTCAGGCTTATTATTTCCTATTACTATAATCCAATGAACATTTTAAAAGACTGGCCAATGGTCCTTGTTAGCATTGCCTATAGAGCTCAAGAGGCGTAATATACAGCCCATAGGCTGCTTACTGAAGGACACTGACTGGGGATCAGTAAGTTCCTTGTAGATCCCAGACTGCGGATTTAGGGTTTTTGGATTTAAACTGGATTTAGCTTATTGGCTATTTTGTCAAAGTTTGTAGGTGATCTGAGTCCTGTGTAGGCAGCTTCTTCCCCCCACCCATTACTGTGAAATCCTGAAACTGCCCTGCTAATCCCCCAATTATACCAAGTTCCTATTGTTGAAATTAAAAAACTACAGCATTATTTTTATGCAAGTGGTATGTTAAAGTTCAGGTAAGCCTGAAAGACCTGATAAACTTTTTAACCCTCCAAAACAAATGAAGGAAGGCCTGGCCTTGCTCCATCAGTACTGCCACATTTTTTTTAAAGAAAAAAAATGTTATCTTTTTGCAACTTAAAAGTTACAAAACTTCCTTTGTTGACCAGAGCAGGTAAAGACATGCATGATAAATATCCAAAGATGAGCATAGGTTCCATGTCTTCCAGGAACAATTTAGCCCTGGGTGATCCTTGATTTTACTCCTCTTACCCCTATTAGCTTGGTAACTGTTTTTTCAATGCAGTTCAGTTGTGTGTGTGATTTATAACCTTGATTCCATTGTGATGCTGAACTTTTGTCCTTCAACTCCTTTTTCAGACTTACTAAGCTGCAAATGTACTCATCTAAAATTAAATATGATTGTCCTAAATAGACTTATTGTAAATCTGTACAGCCAGAAGATATATCTTATTATATTTATGTATTTCATTTTCAGGAGTTCAAGGTGGCATAATCCCTCCTCCTACTTTCCCCACAACAATCCAGAATATGCAGAATATGCAAAGTGAATGATCGAAAATCACCCATTAGGCTTCTACTGTATTATGGCTGAGGGGAGCTAGAATCTGATTCACCCGGCTTATAGTACGTCTTAATCACTACACTATACTGGCTTTAGTATAGGCACCTCTTCAATGGAGATACAAAGTAAGTGCATGCATGGATTCAGAATCAGTATCCACAGCTCTTTTGAGTTTTGAGTATATTATACAGGTATGTACCATTAACAACCAATACTACTGGGGTTAAGTTTTAAATGATTGGAATAATTATTGTAAATACATATAGCAAACTAAGTACAGCCCTGAATTAAATGAAGAGTGGATAACTTGATAGCAGGCAGTTCAATAAACTAGGAATATTAAGATTCTTTTCAATGGTGAAATCTGGGTATCATCCCACAATCACTGCTGCTTTATCCAGCTCCCCCTAGTTGGATACAAATTCAGACTCATGTATTAAATTTCTCCCATTTGTTTTTAGAAAGTCTTGCCCACAATTTAGGAATATTTTTGTTGGCCAGAACAGGAAGTGGTACTCATAAATTTGTAACTTATAACTTGTAAGCAGCCCAGTCATTGATTGAGATGGGTGGCTATAGACGTTGAATAAATAACCATTTGTGCTTAGAATGAATTTACTTGTAAAGAGACAACGAAACATTTTTATTTGAACCGAACATATCAAGAATTGATAATGCCAAAGAGAGAACCTTAGTGTGTAAGCATTAGAATATTTGTAGCTCAGGATTTAAATGAGGGGTCCTGTGTGCTCTCTGAGCTTGCTTGTAGATGTTTCATTACCCTAACTAGATAACATCATCAGTTCTAGTAAGGGGTGGTTTGCTGTCTTTCCTGTCTGTGTGGGTAGGGGTGATTTTAGGGATTCTTTGGTTGGGTTGTTTACTAATGGCTCTTTGGCAGTTTCTAATATTTGTTAAGATACAGGCCTGTGCTGGCTTAGCTAAGGAATGGTTATCAGGAAGGCAAAATTGAAATATGGGGGAGGGCAGGGTTGCATTGCTGGAAATACAAATGAATCCCATCCATTACTGTATGTCTTATGATCCAAACATGTTGTGTTTGTTTTTCGTTTTCTTGAACACCTGGAAAAGCTTGGTGATGCGGGAGAGGAAACCACATTTTCATAAAAACAATATAATGCGTAAATTCTTGCTCTATTTTATTTAAATCAGACTTACCCCAGCTTTCGATCAAATTAAAGAAAACATAAAAAATAGGCAGTAACCTATTCCAGAAATTGACAATTACAGAAGCATTAACAGTTCAAGCAACTTCGAAAGAAATCGTTTTAAGAGACATTTGCTAGTATCTCCCTCCAAACCGTCAACGCCTATGGTTTGAACCACCCAGATGCCCACATGTACGTCCAGTTCCCAAAAGAACTAGCCGAAATTCGAACCACAGGCACATCTGGCTACAAAACACGCGTCCGAGATCTTCGGACAACGGTCTGTAGCGTTACTTCCCAGCGGGGCGGTAAGAGAGCAACTCGCCAAGTCCAGATCGGCCGCTGGGCTCGCAAGGCTTCCTTAAACTCCGCCCTTCCCAAACTTCACGAAGAGCCGCCTCCGTTCCGTTCCCTCGCCCGGCCTGCTTTTCCAACCTCACTTTCCTCACACACACACACACACCCGCCAAATCTCCTACTCAAACTGATTTTCGGGGTTCCTCGGTTTACACCCTTTGGCGAGAGACCCCAAACGTCCTTTTCTCGCCGCTCCTTCCTCCCTGCCCGCAGAGGCTCTTGCTCTCTCCTGGCTCGTTCAACGGGGATGGGTTTGGTGCCCCTTCCCCCGAGAACCACACGTGTAAATCTGAAACGACCCCGACGCACTTCGCGCAAAGCCGCCAGGCAGACCCACGAGCTGAGCTCAGAACCAGCAGCTAGAGGGGAAGAAAAAGACGGCGCCGTCTGAGGAGTCTCTCCTTCGGTATCTGCTCTCCCCGTCTCCCGCTTGAAAGAACCTCCTCGGCGGATCGGTGTGGTGAAGAGGCCGGGCTTCCTTCGGGGGCCTTTCATTCCTGGACAAGGGGGAGGGGAACTCTGTGTGCGTGTGTGTGTGCAAAGCACGAGAGAGAGGGAGGAGGGGGGGAAAGGAGCGAGATCTCAACTCAAAACCCGACGTTTCCTGCCTTCCACTGCCGGCGGCCGCCTCGCATTCTTAGCATTCCTAGGCTGTGACTCCGACGTCGTCGTCGCCGTCTCCGCTGAGCAGCACCGCTTGGAAGAGAAAGACAGCAGGACAGGCACGCTCGCCCCAGCGCAGTGGCCGCCTCCGCAGCGCCCGGCCCTCGTTTTAGTAGCGAGACAGTAATCGCGCCCCCCCCCCAGTGCTCCCGGTTCTCCCGTTCCCCCGCCTCCCCGCTCTCCTTCCTGAATTTTGCGCTTCCTTACCCAACTTCAAACTTTCTCTAGCGCCCCTGTGCTTTAGGAGGGGGAACCAAAGGCGGAGCCGTTTCTCTCTCCCCCCCTTTTGCCGCTCCCCCACCCAACCAGTATCCCGCTTCTCCTTCCTCCCAGCCCGCCCCCTCCCCTCCCCCGATTAACTTTTTGCAACGAACGGACCTCTCTCGCCTGAAACTTTCTTCCCCTCCTGATTGGATTCTTGTGGTTAAGACAGACGCCTGGTCCATCCGTCGTGGCTAGATTTTCTTCGGGATTTTTTCCTCCTCCCCCAAATTGCTTTTTTTCCTCCTCCTTGGGAGAGGGGGAGCGAGAAAAGAAAAGAGGCTCGTGATCTGGATTCTTTGGGGAAAGGAGCCGCGTTTGGTTGATTCCCCCAAGACATGTGAACAGGTAAGCGGGAGATGCAACAGTTTGGAGTGGGGGTGGCGGCCTGGGCGAAAAGTTTCTGAGCGTAGCGTGCGAGAACCTACTTGCCTTTGTAAGCGGGTCTCCAGTTTGTAATCTTGTCTTCGGGTGCTTTTAGTGGCTATGCTTCGATTTATTATTATTATTGTTGTTGCTATCTTCTCATGTAAGTCAGTTAACGAGCAGTTTCTGGGACTTTCATGAGTCTTCTCTTTTCTGAAGAATAACTTTAAATAGAGCTTAAGTTGTAAGTTTTGCATGCAGGAGGGAAATAAAGTGAGTTTGGAAAGAAACTAACTAGACCAAATCTCTGTTCATTTCCCTAGATTACTATTTGTGGTTTTGATAAAAAAAAAAGTATACAGTTTAATTTTCCTGCTCCATGGCTGACTTTCCAAGCAGTGCAGAGTGACTTCTGCCCTTCAACTTTCAGCCAGCCACCCTCCCACTCTCCACTGGTTTATGGAAGGGTATCTTTTACTCTTTGTTCCCTGGCAGTCAAATCTCTGCTAGCCATCCATCTCCAGAAAATGCTGTGACAAGGTAGCAGCATCTGTTACTGTTTCTTGCATGGCGAAATCTTAGCCTGGCCTTTTCCAGCCTGATGTCTTTTGCCTGGATTTGGACTAAACTTTGCAGCATCCCCAGCCAGCCTGGGCAGAAGGATTTGAGGGGTGGGGACGAGTCCTTTGATTTTTAACATCTGCAAAAAAAAGTGTGGATATTTAAATATGATAAGTAAGGTGAGGATTTTGAAGTTTCTTGTATGAAGGTTTTTTGAGAAAGTGCTGCAGGAATGAAGGGAAGGGGGAAAGTCGTGCCCAAAGATGATGTTTTCTTTGCCCTCGTGATGTCTTTATTCCAGTGAAATGTGCATTGTAAAGTTGAAAGCTGCTTTTTTTTTTTTAAAAAAAAAAATTACTTTGTAGAATGTAGATCTTCTTAGTACATTGGATTTTACAATTTTTAAGCTTCTAAGAGTTTAAGACTTTTAAAAAAGCCATACTGCAGCCATACAAGTTCCATTTAGTTATCGCGCATGCAAATGTGGCCTTAGGAGAGGCCCTTAGTGAAAGGTCCTTTTTGTAGTTTCCAAAGGTGAAAGTTTCACACACTTGCTTCCATAAGTCTATACCACAATCATGCACATAGTTATTTGAGAATACAGTTACTGTATTGTCACTTAGAATTCCTGAAACATGGTTTCATTTTTGTATTGCATGAGCAATTGCATGGAAATGTGCTTTTTTCGGTTTTCATTCTGTGCTAGGTGTGGAAGCCCTCCAGATGTTCCTAAGTATAATTTCCATCAGCCAGCATAGCAGTGGTGAGGGAAGTTGGCAGTGGCCAACATCTGGAAAAGCAAAAAATCTTCATTGCTGCTGGACATTAAGAGCCTAAGGATTTTTACTGTCTTATTATTCATCTTGTTTGCCTATCCATAAATGTTGATGGATTCCTCTTTACAGTACAGCTGAATGTACAGTACAACTGAATGACTAGCTAATATGTGAATCAGTTTCAGTGGGGTCAACAGTGTGTTTTAAGTTATGAGAAAACTTTTTCATGTTGAATCTCGTGACATCATTTGATGTCAGAGTATTGTAGATCTTAAGCTGTGGACCAAATGTGCTTGAGCTTATGTTAAAGCCAGGAAACAAAGTAGTTACACAAATTTGAAGTCATCTAGATTAGAAGAAAACCCACTGTTCTGTCCATCATTGCATCATGCTAACAGAGTTATCAGTAAGGTGAATGATTATCTCTATATCTCGGCACCCCCATCTCATTTGTAAAAGGATTTTCAAGGGCTATTCTAATTTTCCAAATCTGGACTGTGATACAGTACATTTTTTCAGTATAAAAAAAGAATCATAAAAGTATCTAATATCATGAAGATATTAGCATTCTGGATACAACTGAAAGGATATTGGTAAATCATGCAAAATTATTGACAGTCTTAACAGTCAGCATTAGGAATGATAAATTTAGAATACTGCTTCATATATGTTATCATCGTTATCATTGAAAAATATTTGATCATGCCCGACAAACCATATTGCATTCTTTGACAAGGAGACTAAATTAGTAGACTAGCAAAATGCTATGGCCATTGTATACTTGGACTTCAGTAATGTATTTGACAAAGTAGACCACAGCCCATGTCTTAGTAAGATAGAAAAATCTGGGATAGCATTACGATCAGATGGATTTATAACTGTCTGACCAACTGTCCTCAACCTCAATAGAACTACCTATATAAATGAAAGCATGCAGTGGCATACCCCAAGGGTTCTGTCTTTGCCTAGTACTCTTCAATATCTTCATAAATGATTTATGAAGAGCCATGGTGGTGCAGTGGTTAGAATGCAGTACTGCAGGAGTTCAATTCTGAGTGGCTCAAGGTTGACTCAGCCTTCCATCCTTCCGATGTTGGTAAAATGAGGACCCAGATTGTTGGGGCAATATGCTGATTCTGTAAAACGCTTAGAGACGCTGTAAAGCACTGTGAAGCGGTATATAAGTCTAAATGCTATTGCTATTGCTATTTACCGTAAATGAGGGGATAAAAGGGGATTGATTGAATTTGCAAGCTGATGGGGGAAACAGCCAACACTTTAGAAGATTGGCCCAAGATCCAGAAGGTTCTTGACAAACTTGAACACTGGGCCCTATCCAACAAAATGCAATTCAATGGTGACAAAAGTAACATTAGGCAACAAAAACCAAAAGCACAGGTATAGAATAGGTATTACACAGCAGTAACTGTGAGAGAGCTCTAAGTATGAGCCAATAGTGTGCTGCAGCCACCAAAAAAGCCAATGCAGTCCTTGGCTGCATCAACAGAGGGATAGTATCAAGATCGGGTGAAGTGTTAGTTCTACTTTATATTGCCTTGGTAAGATCCAATTGGAATATTTCATCCAATTTTGGTCACTATAATACAAAAATGATGTTGAGATTCTAGAAAAGAGTGCAGAGGAGAGCAACAAATATAAGGGATTGGAGGCTAAAACAGATAATGAAAGATTGCAGGAATTGGGTATGTCTACTCTAACAAAAAGAAGGACAAAGAGTGACATGATAGCAGGCTTCCAATATTGCCACAGAGAGGCGAGGGTTGACCTATTCTCCAAAGCACCGAGAGAAGGACAAGAAGCAATGGATGGAAACTTATCAAAGAGTTCCAACCTTAGAACTAAGGAGAAATTTTCTGATAGTGAATAGAATTAAGCAGTGAAATGTGGGTGTTCCATCACTCAGTGTTTTAAAGAAGAGATTAGACAGTCATTTGTGCAGAATTGTATAGGGTTTCCTGCATGAGCAGAGGTTGGATTAGAAGACCTCCAAGGTCCCTTCCAATTCTATTATACTGTAAATATTGTTAATACCTAAAATGGATTAACCTAATTACATGTAATATCCAACCGCAGTGTCTTTAAGAGGTGGATCCAAGTCATGCTGAAATTTTCAGGTTCTGGTAAAATAGAAATATAGGAAATTATCTTCTACTTTTTTAACTGCAATCAGTGACCCTCTTGGGTTTCTTTATATCTTTATTTAGGAATGCTGAGGAAACGTCTATGGACAAACTACGTGCTTTACTGAGTGACAGTTCTACTTATAATTGACCTATCACTGGATTAAAGAAGTTGAACTTATCCTCTTCAGCCTAGGACCATTCTGATGTATTGGACTACATAACTTACAGTTTCTAATAAACATGGCCACTGACATGTTGGCTGAAAATTATAGAAGCTTTAGTCCAAATATTTGCAGGATATTAAATACGAAAAGGTAGTATATTAGGGACTTTTGAGCAATCAGGCATGGATTCATGCTGCATTTCAAGTATCTGATGTTTAAATAGTTTCCTTGAACATTCAGATGGATAAATAATAACAATTCAAATATTTCTTTTTATATATTTGATTTGAGCAGATCTTAAATCTTCATTAAGAGTGTTTCCTCCCTGTATAAAAGATGTGAGAATAGCACTAATAAGAAGGTAGCCTCCAAGTTGTATTCTAATAAAATGCTACCTTAGAAATACAAAATTATATGGTGTAGCATTTTTACCAGGTTTTTCAGAGTAGCTAATTCTGTCAGGTGTCCTGAAGCTCAGTTCTATCCCCTCACCCAGACGTTGTATTGACAGAGCATGGTCAGTTCTCCTTTGCCTGTTTTTGATTTTATTTTTGGAGTTTAGCGTGTAAATTGAAATAATGGACAGATCTGCATAATGCTGCATACATTGCATTATTGGATTATATATATGCTCTGTAGATGTATTTCCTTGACAGAAGCCCTTCTTTATTTAGATTGTCTAGCATCCTAAATTTTCCATGATTGCCCTTTCGTTAAGACGCTTAACTTGTTAGTATTGTAGGATTGCAGTTGCTTAATGATAGATGATTTTTTCATGTCTTGTTTAAAAATTTTATTAGTGGTTGCAGGAATGATATCAAACCCTCAAAACCCTCTTTTAATCTGAATCAAGATTTGTGGAATAGATATTTAAAAAGCACAATCTAGTCTAGTATAAGACACAATTCATCATAAATTTGTTTGCTCTGGAGCTATTTTGTTATGGTGTCTTGATGTTACATTAGGCTTGGGCTGAGGATGTTTTAAAGTTGTAAAACAATATCTATAAAGTAAATATATGTTTTTGATGGGGTTTTTCTCTATTTAGCCTTTTAAGATTCTTGGACTTAGCTGGAACCTGGCTAAGCAAACAATATAGGAAGGTATACCAAGTCAGTGTATGAGAAGAACTGGATAACCCATGACCCATTGGGTCATCCTTTCAGAGATATTTTCTTACTTAAACAGAGAAATAAAATGACCACAATTAATATGGAATTAATTATAAAGTACAAATAGCATTTTTATAAGAATTAACATGAATAAGCAATTTTATTATTTCAAAAAGTGGACACTGGAAGGGATTAAGGATTTTAGATTGTGGAAAGATACAGGCCTATAGGACAATGCAAAAGTTAATGTCAATAAAAATATTAAAGGAGACACCAGATTGAAAATATGATGCTTTGTAGATGTTTATATAAGAGTTGGAATATAGGATGAAAAAACAAACAAATATGAAAGCTTAGAGGCGGGGAAGAGTCATCAAATTTGTTTATGTTCCTGTGATAAGTGTTGGAAATCACTTTTTTATTACTTCCTTTTCTCTTTATTATATTCTTCCTTTTCTCTTTTTTCTTCCTTTTTCCTTGCACTTTTTGCTTTCTATTGTCTTACCTTACCTTAGATTTTAACATTATAATCTACAATACTTAATATATAATATATTATACATACACTCACACATATACTCTGTATGTGTGTGTTTGTGTGTGTGTATGTGTATGTGTGTAGGTATAAGCGTGAGTCTACAGTATTTTTCCCTTATTGTATCAATAATTGGCCAGTGACCTTATTTTGTGTTATTAGTTGCCACATCCAGCAGAGAAGTGTGGAATAGAAGGGAAAAAGAAAAAAAAGTGTTGACTTCCAACTCCCTCTGTTGCAGTAAAATAAGGCATTAACATTGAATCTCAACTTTTTACATTTCTGTTGTAGTATAAACTAGCCATTTCTGTAACAACAAATCAGTCTAATCAGTAAAACCCAAAATCAAAGTATCATTTTTTTCCACCTCAAGCACAGTGCAGAAGTGGTTTCCAAGTAGAAACAAAAGTATTTATATTCTTTTCTTTTATCAGAACAGTTAATTTAGCCATCTCTGCTAATTCCATCAACTCTTGTAGCCATTCATTCATGGTGGGAGTCGAAACATCCTTCCATTTTTGTGCGTAAAATAGTCTTGCTGTGGTCAACATATATAAAATCAGACTTCCAAATTTTTTTCAAGGTCTTTTTCCATTAGGCCTAGAAGAAAAGTTTCTGGTTTTATCTTTATATTCACTTTAAGAATGTTCTGTAGTAAAATATGAATCCTACTCCAATATTTCTTTGCTTTATCATATGTCCACCATAAATGATAAAAAGTCCCTTCTTTACATTTCCAATATTCATTTGAGATACCTTTCTACATTCTAGATAACTTATCTGGTGTTAAATACAAATGATACATCATTATAAATAAAAGTTTTCTTTTAAATTATAATTTAGTGTGAATTTTAAGCCTTTCGTCCACAAATTCTCCCATTGTTCAAGCATCACATTATATCCAAAGTTCCTTGCTCACTGAGTCATACATGTTCACTTTCCATATTTAATTTCAATAATGTTTTGTAAACCTTAGCAATATGTTCATCACTACCACATAGAAAATTTTCCAATTCATTTTTAACAAAATCAAACCCATAACTCTTACCAAAGATGATCTTTTGCTTCAGATATTACCAATATTTATAAACTGATATTCCATTTAAACAATGGCAGAAGGATATTTCCAAGTTTATATGGAAAGGGAAGAAATCAAGAATCAGATATAAATTACTGCACGATGCCAAGGAAAAAGAGGGTTTGGGTTTACCAGATTTGAAATTGTATTTTGATATCATTTGGTCTGGCTAAAGAATGGGTGAACCTCCAGAATAAGAGGCTATTTGATTTAGAAGGTTATGAATTAAGGTTTGGATAGCAGGGATATTAATGGTATGATAAAGTTAAAGTAAATGTTGATTTCAACAATCATTTTATTAGACATGCCATACTAAGAGTTTGGAACAAATACAAAACAAAGGGTTTTTTACAAAGTTGCCTCTTTGGGTGTCTCCTCAAGAAGTTTTTTCAGAAAAGAGATGGTGGTGAAACTGGACTGGTGGACTTATGGTAAAATAATATCTTTTAATTTAGGTGACTCTACCCTCAAGTCTAAGGAAGAGTTAGAATCAGAAGATCATGTCTGCCATTGGTTTACATACTTACAAATGAAAGATTTAAACTAGACAAAAAGATTTATAACAACAACAACAACAACTTTATTGTCACTTTGAATGTACACCAATTGGCATACATCAAAATGAAATTTCGTTGCATACAACTCTCAAAGGGTCACCATCTCCGATATACATTCCTGGTTTATGGCCAGTTCATGTTACAGATCTTCCATTTTAGTCTCTAGGGAGCTACCAATGGCAAACAGGACAGATGGAAACAGAGCTCCATGTGGATTAGCCCTCAAATTAGCTTGTATTCCTGCATGACAATCTCGCCTCCTTTCCTTTTTCTGATTCTGTCTCTTCCACCTTTTCCTTAAAGAGGCCTTTGCTTCTTTTCACCCCTGGAGCATGCTGTCACCACCACCAACTCCTCCAAAAGCCTCTCTCCCATCCTCTGGGCCTGCCGATAGCCAGTTCCTTTGCTCCATAAGGCCTGGACCTCTCCTCCCTTGCCTCTTTTGGAAACAGCCCTGATTTGCAATAGAATCTGTCGCTGGGCCAGCAGTCAGATCTTGCTGCCGGCAGAACGATTTCAGACAGCACCAATGATTTTTAACGGTCTCACCAACAGTTCTGAAACAGCTAGAAACTCTCCATGCCACCAAGTATGTTGTATGTTACCTTAGTTCCACCATGTAGCTCAAACACATTAAAACCTTCCTGATCATGTGGCCTATATCCCTTAATATCCCCCCCCAAAACTTTTCACCTTTGAGAGCCAATGCAGTCGCAGCCGATCCAGGCGCCGCCATCTTAGAATTTAGTATATATTCCTGATGCAAGTTGTCATATTATGTTGAAAAATGTTTTGAAAATTATCTCTTTTTCTGTTGTTCTATTTAAGGCATAGTTTTAAAGCCAGTCATTTAATAAGGTTCTAATACATTTTCTATTATAAAGTGAAGTTGCCATAAAGTTTGGCTTCCATAAATATTCCAGAGATTTGAAAATATTTACATCCATCTCATTTACCTGAATTGTTTCTGACTCTGTTCTATGTCTGTTATTAATAACATAAACTAGATTCAATATTATAAAACTGGACATGGAGATGTCAACAATGTAGCTTGGCTTTGACTTGGTATGAATTCAGCCATTTATGTATCATAAACCATAATTTTTACGATTGAGTTTGCTGTATAGCCGAAGCATTTTTGTTAATTTGTTTAATAATGGTTAAAATGTTGCAGTTTAGCATGTTTTAGCCTAAAACCAAATAAGAACCATAATTATTTTGAATAGGAATAGAAGAGTCAAAACATATGGATAGATTGTACTAACTAGGCCGTTCAGTTGTACACTAGGTCAAGTGTATTTACAGTTCTTTGACGGAAAAACAGTGGGGTTTGCATACATTGAGAGGCCAGGTTTTTTTAAAATAATATCTTGATGTGTAGTATAAAAGAGAATAATTAGGTTCATACATAAAGCTGAGCTTGGACTAAAGAAACCGTATAAAAACATGCAAATAAAAGATGGTATCTTATGGTGTCACTGCTAAAATGTTTCTGATTCCAGTGCTTATGCTCCTTTGCAAACAAAGTGTGGATGGAGCTTCCCATCTATATATTTTCTTATACGGTTAGATCCAAATCAGTTGTATCTCTGGTTGGGGTAGCATTCAGAATTGGCAAAATAGCAGACAGAACATGCTGGCTCTCTGCCAATATTTCTGTCTGCATGATGGTATGATGAATATAATACGGAACATGAATTATTGAGAAAGGAAATTCGGTTGGGAAGGAATGGAGAGATGGAATGGAAGTGAACCATATAAGGTAGGGCCTCCTTTCAATCAAAAGTGGGGTAAATGATGATGAAGAAAATGATGATGATGATAGTGCAAATCACATCTTGCACAGGATCATTGTTAAATTAACACTA